TTAAATTAATTCCCCAACTTACTGAATACAATAATCAACCCAGTTGCATTGTATTCAAATTGATTGTAGACTCCTGTAACATATTCTAGCTTATATATAACATATTTATACCTAGTTCAACAAGTTAAACCCAATACCACGGCTTTCATTTATTAATCTGAATGTTCTTGTTACCGTGGTTGGGTTTAACTTCCGTGCTATGCCTTCATTTGATGCAAATTCTCACTACCAGTTATGAATTAAACGCGCATGAAATTCTATGCGCTACCATAGGCCACCATTAAAATTTTTGCATCAAGGGCTGAATAGGCACGGACGTTAAACCTAGGGCGGGCCACAAGATATGTCAGATGAGAAATAAGGCCCAGACTAGGTTTAACTTGTTGAACTAATTTATACCCTGTTTTTGGGGTAGTTATACTACCCTTGAATATCTTTTCCTCTGTATACTGGACATTAAAATAGACCTCTTATTTATTGAGCATATTGTAAATATAAATAAACAGCATGGTCAACAATACAATTCCAATAAAAACGATACCAAATTCTACCAACTTACAGTAAGTGATATTCCCATCCCAATGTTGCAAACAAAAAACATGGTCTCTTTTCCAGGCTCTATTCATTGGAAATGTTGAGACATGGGGCTTGGAACATGTATAAAAATTGAGTCTGGGTCCCCTCTTTTCCATTTTGACTCTGATACTCAATTATACATGTTCCTTGGCCCATTTGCTCCGTATTAAAATAAAGCCCTGGTGCACCAAAACATACTACCTCACCCCCATACTGCAGCCTGTATTTCTGAAAAATGATACAGGCTACAGTGAAGTTGCAAATGGAGGATGTTTGTTTATTTCCATATTTCTGAAGCTTTACAAGATTTTACATATATTCCAAGTGTTCTACTATACATAGTATAGATTAATCAAACAGTTTACAGTGTATTAATACTAGAAAGGTCCTACAGAATAGACAAAGATAGAGAATACCTGCTCCATTTGCAACTTCGCTGTAGCCTATATCCCTTTTAAAAACATGAAAGCACATCTCTTAGTCAAGTGTTAAAAACGTTAACCCCTCATAGCGTCGATTTACACTATTTTTGATTCCCTCTTGTATCCCTGAAGACTAAATCTATATACATATTCATAAGTAATTCAAGAATTGAATTAAAGTTCCCATTTATTAGGGATTGGTTCATTGCGTATTTTGCACATTCCTTGGTGTATCTTTGCACCATTTTACATTAAATACAGAATTCCATAACATTTGTTCATGTTACATCAAGATAATAATTTCTTAACATTTAAAACTTTTTAGCTCCCATGACTAGTCAGTGATAATTATTCTAATGGTAGGCATCTCTTTAAATTTGATATGCGTCTTTTTAAAATGACGCCACATGTCATTTCATCTGACTGATACTATGCAGGAAATGTGAGACACCATGTATTCCCATGGTCAACTCTAACTATTAGGTCATAAAAATGACCTGAGATTGTCAAAATACATGAGATTCAAATATGGCTGAATATACCAGAAAAGTAATGACTTGGGCTGTTCAAATAAATGATTGTATAGCACTGCAGTATAACATGTACTTATTCCATAGTTAGCATGATATTCATAGGATAACATGTGAAAAAAAAACGGTATTTTGTAATCAGTGGTAAAATATGATATTTTTGACAAATTTTCACTTAACCATAGCATACGATTTTTTAGCCATGACATACGGCGCCGTATGCGATGGTTTATGGATTTTTGCTACTTCAGACTCAAAACGAGGCTAAGTGTCAACATCGCTGGATCGTTTGGAAAATTCGAATTAAATCACTTAATTTCCGATGATTCTGATGATGACTTTAACTATGGAATAAAAATAACATCCTATGATTTACTAGTGATATGATTTTTATCCACGAATGGATATGATATCTGCACACGCTATGCTCGCTCGTGCAGATATCATATCCATATCGTGGATAAAAATCATATCACTCATAAATCATAGGATATCCTCTATATATACCAGTATTATATATATAATGTACAGAAACAATATCACTTAGTCTCTACATAAACCAACAAAACATGCTTTCAGCCATTTCTTGAGCAAGTTTTATACAGGCGACCCCGTATATAGGTGGCGCTTTGGTGATGTGAGGCCAATTTTGATTGTTCTGTATGATTGAATATGTTCAGTATTTACATTGCCTTTGGACAAAATTTGTAAAAATTGAGATGTCTTCTTTCAAGGATGTGATTATCTATCTATCTATATAATGCCTATACCTGATATAAAAGAAATATATACCCCCCCTGGAATGTATGATTAAATAAGCCATTTTGCCCCCCTGCAAATGTACATATTGTTCAACTGGTATACCTTCAGTCATAAAACCTACAAATATTGTAGAGAATATGGTTTGTTGAAAATTTTTAAAACCTGGAGGAAAAAACTTGCCATTTTGGCAATTACCTCTCCCTTCTTGTATTATTCTGCATTTATCTAAAAATTCATTTTTGGAAAATAAGGATCTGTATTCTGTATACAGTATAGTAACTAAACACTTAATCTAATGTTTTGAGGGGTTGTAGCTTAAACAATGAAGTAAAAGAGGATGAAAGATGCAAAATTCAAAAAATTAGTAATTGGTATAATTCATGGGACAGGCTAGAGAATGGTCCAGTCAGGTTTTAACACGAGAGAGAATGGCACTGCGTCAGATTCTAAAGGCCTAGTTAGAATCATGAGTCATACGAGTATATATCAATTATACCTGATGGATTAAAATGGCAAATGTATGGATCCAGGACAATAAACACTAATTGCTGAAGGTAATATTCACGTTTACAAAGAGGATCATATTGATCCATTGGAGTAACACATAGTAACAAAGGTGTCTATAACACATGTAACATGTACCTATAACTGCCAGTCTACAGTAGAGCCTCTTAATTTGATTCACTGAGACTGAAACATGCAACTTCAGGGACATTATCAGATATTTACAAACCATGGTCTTCAAAACCCATTTACATACCATGGATCCTTGAAAGTCCATTTACATACCATGGCTTTTTGAAAGCCCATTTATATACCATTGGCTGTTGAGAGCCCATTTACATACCATGGTCTTTTCAAAACCCATTTACATACCATGGGCTTTTGAAAGCCCATTTACATATACCATGGGTTTTTGAAAGCCCATTTACATACCATGGGCTTTTGAAAGCCCATTTACATATACCATGGGTTTTTGAAAGCCCATTTACATACCTTTTGCTTTTGAAAGTCCATTTACATACCATGGGCTTTTGAAAGCCCATTTACATATACCATGGGTTTTTGAAAGCCCATTTACATACCATGGGCTTTTGAAAGCCCATTTACATATACCATGGGTTTTTGAAAGCCCATTTACATACCATTTGGTTTTTTAAGTCCATTTACATACCAGTTGCTTTTAAAAGCCCATTTATATACCATGGTCTTTTCAAAACCAATTTACATACCATGGACTTTTGAAAGCCAATTTATATACCATGGCCTTTTCAAAACCCATTTACATACCATGGGCTTTTGAAAGCCCATTTACATACCATGGTCTTTTCAAAACCCATTTACATACCATGGGTTTTTGAAAGCCCATTTACATACCATGGGCTTTTGAAAGCCCATTTACATACCATTTGCTTTTGAAAGCCCATTTACATACCATTTGCTTTTGAAAGCCCATTTACAAACCATTTGCTTTTAAAAGCCAGAAAGTATATATTTTTAAAAAATTATTGGAACAGGTGTGTAAACATTGTTTCTAATAACAAAGCTTTTATTTATAAAAGATGGAAAATCACCAGTGAGACTATCTGATTGACTTAATCCCTAGTTTTAATATACAAGTATTTCTGATGTTGAAAAAATAAAAACAGATTGGATTAAAATGAACATGATTTGCCTTTGATTTGCCTACTTAGAGGTTTATTTACTACAAATATATGAACTCGGAGAATTCAATTTGGTTATGAATAGATCAAAACATAAAATGAGTTTTTATTATTTATATTGTATTTTAAGTGTGACAATTGAACAAATAAGCTTGACCCGCAGTTTAAGCTGCAAAGACCCATACAATTTTGAATGTTTGCCCAAAAGATGAACTTTGAATTGTCTAATTTTATGAAGTTTTGTCAAATTCAAACAGTCACCTTAAATACCTCTCAATATTCTAACCGTGAGAAACCCTAGTGCTTAACCCAATTTTTAAACGTCGGGTTAAGCATTCAACTCTTGAGAGTTACCCAATTTTTCATTAGAAATTCCTAATTTTCTATTAAGAACTCACATTTTTTGTAAGAATTTTTACAATTTTACAAAAAAACTTCCATTTTAGGTGGATCCTTATATTATCAAAAGAATTTTCAAGAGATCTTTCTCTAATTTTTCATATTGATCATTTTTACATTAAATGTCAATATGCAGTATACAGTGAAACCTGTAAAGTGGGACACCTCTGTTAATGGGACACTTTTCAGCAGAGGCCCTTAAGACCAACTGGTTTAATGTTAAACTGACTATAATTCTTTCAAAGAATATATGTAAACTTGGATATAGTGACTTCATTTAACACCCCTTTGAATTGTGAGATTCTAAATCGAGCAACTCCCAAGTAGAAGACTTTTTAGAGGTGCCAGAGGTCTTCCAGGTTCTACTGTAAAAATACATGTGTAGGAGAAACTGGAAAAATGTACCAGTTTAAAATATACAAAAAATTTAACATGGTGATCATCATATACCAATCTCAGTCACCAATGGCATTTCTTTCTCTGGACACGCCTCTCTCTCTTTCTCTAAATGATATTCATGAATTTGAAGAGAGTGCTGACTATAATTCCTTGAAAGAATATGGAAACGTGGATAAAGTGACTTCATTTAACACCCCTTTGAATTTTGAGATTCTCTCTATATGAAGACCTCTAAACTCACTTGACATTTAAAACCTCTAGATTCACGTGACATTTAAAACCTCTAAATTCACTTGACATTTAAAACCTCTAAATTCACGTGATCTCTACTTGCATGAACAAATTCTACTAAATCCTGTTTTAGCTGCATAGCAGTTATAAAAATAAAAATTTGGAATTCGTTTTGATATCAACCATGTACCAGCAGGATCCATAGCTGGCAAAAAGAATTCTTTGCTTTTGTAAACAGACACGGGAGCTTCCTTACAACTGTTATATTCCGGAGCTAATACTTTTAAGATCCCGCAGTTTGTGTCAAGTATCGATATCCCTACTTTATCACAGATTTCATTGTTAGCTGCACAAACGTCAAAACATGACTGTCCACTTTTACCCTTGCGTATCTCGTAATCAAAATTTTCTAAATGGTACAGAATGCCCATTTTTGGACGCCCCATCGTCTGATCAAGAAGCTTCCATGTAATTTTGTTGACAAAAGTATGTATGAGATCTGTTGCACTTGGGGCATTATTAGCAACTCCATACCACATGGACGGCTTACACACCATGAGCACGAGATTGCCATATGGACGCAAGAAAACTGTATCCTTGTAATCACCTCTTACGACGCCTCCATTACCCAAACCAACCAATCCGTGAGAAGCCATCACAGCACTTGCCTCCTTTTGATTATTACAATTAGTAAACACAAAATTAGGCACTTGCTTATCCTGACTAGGAAAGAAAAATGCTGCATCCTCAAGATAGTCAATTTTATGAGCTGAACGAACAAATTGTGTAATGAACTCATCATATTCTTTTTCTCCCAAATTATCTAGACTGTGTTTGACCCGAGGACCATCATATATTGATATAGCTTCAGTGTCGTCACTGGGAATACGTAAGTCACTGGGGATGTTAATTGCTTGATTTTCCATATGCAAAGAACGGGAAAGTTCCGGGATTATTGTCACCATTTTATTATTTGCAAGCTCACGTTGAAAAGTGGCATCCCAAGGTACTTTAATATTCAGCTTTGAGCTGAGTATGCCGACATAGTGCTTGCCTGACATTAAAAACCCAAGCCCTCCAAAGTGGCCCACTCTGCGAAAAAATGTTTCATTGCTTGAACACCAACTGAAGGAATTATCGTTAAAAAGTGACACAGACATAACTTTTGGGTCCTTATCCATTAATTTGACCCCTGCTTCAAGATAATCACCAGTGTCTTTAGATAGAATCAGATCATCCTCTAATATGGCACAATATCTGTACTTAAGATCTTTAAATAAGCGATCTAGCATAAATTGGTAGTTCTGCGTAATCATCATATGCTTCTTCAGCTTAGCATTGCCTGGGCGAACTATCTTATGAGCATTTATGACAGGTATGTCATTAGAAGTAGAGTTAAGCATTGAGGCAGGATGTAGCAGAAGTCCCAGTCTTTTAGGATCGTAAGTAAGATCTTTAGGGTCTACATTGTCATAAAACACGTGTATATTTCTCGTTGGTATTTCAGCAAATTCAATTAAATTACGCAATAACCTTGCTGCTGATTTTTTTCTTTCACCAGGTGGGGCTCCTGTCAATATAGCGACACAGAGTGATGCGCCATCTTTCAATGATTCCCCAGAGGCTGTTTTAACATTAGCTCTTGCAGGGGAATCATCAAGTTTTATAGCTCTGTCAAATTCATATTGTGATTGTTGGATTCCTGATGTATCAATGACTACACCCTTTCTTTTTGGCATTTGAAAAAGTATCATCAGTTCTATGATACCAACAAATACTACCATTGTGTAGACTGTTTTCGAGAGTTCAACCATTTTGTATCACCTTGTAGTTCTCAGTATTTCTCCATTATTTAGTTAGTATTCCATCGTTTAGTTTAGCATTCCATCGTTTAGTTTAGCATTCCATCGTTTAGTTTAGTATTCCATTGTTTAGTTTAGTAATTCCATTGTTAAGTTTAAAATCCATTATTTAGTAAAGTAATTCCGTAGTTAATTTCATTCCTTATTTCAATTCCATCATCCACTTTAAAATCTTTCTAGTTACAAATGATGATCCTCTCATTTAGTTTTCTAGTGTCACCTAAATGTAAATCAATACATGTATTAACATTCCAGTTATCAATTTCATTGTGTAGTCAGGTATTCGATTGCTGATTCAAGATAGAACTCCAGAGTGATGTTTGAGTCAAGGCATGCATGGAACATCATCTGAAATGACAAATTAATTATGTTATAAAAATTATATTTTTTATTCCAAATCATAATTTGGGTACAAAAAATTAACTCATTTGCCAAAAGTTAGGCTTATTTAGAAACTGGTTCTCATTCTTTCATTTTCAAAAATTGACTGTATACGGCAAGAGAGAAGAGGATTTTTTATATGCAGAGCAAATTTTCTCATTTTATAACAAATATATCAAAAACAAAAACAGATGCACAATTTATCAAGTATCAGGTTAAGTACATGTCATGTATACATGTCATATATACAAGTATATACATATCTTCATGTAAATTCACTATTATATCTCCAGCAGGACATATTTTGAAATCGTTAAAGCTCCAGAATATGCATTATCATTATGTGCTTTTAGGCAGGACAATTTGCAGAAAACTCACTTGGGGTCTAAAGGCAGAATAAAGCTAAACTTAGAACCAGATAATTAACCTGCCCTAGCCTAATCAAAATTTAATTATAGTTATTATTACAATTGTCCTATGAATTATGAATTATTTAAACACCTGCAAATCTCTACTAAGCTAATAATAACATTAATTTTGAGTTTGCTTGCTTGACTGCTGAGTAAACAAAGGTGAAACAGGGTTCATGTAAAAAACAGCTTTTCTAACAATAGTGTTTCAGAATCTGTTTCTATCACATCATTCTTAATGCCTTGGTCACATTTGCTCTGATTTTCACTACGGCGCCCGACTGATTGAGTATTTTGTTCGAAATTGAATACAATATTGAACAAAACACTCAATCATTTATAATGATCATTTATGAAAATGTCATGCCTTTTCAATCCAAGATGCTTCAAACTATTTATCTTCGAAAGTGGAAACATCCTTATTCGTTATTTTGCAGGTTTACATGTTTCTGCATCTTAGCTGCATCATTTTAATAGCACCCCTATCACTGGCTGACAAAGTATAAAGCCCATAAGGGTATCATTGGGAATATTCTGTGATATATTTAAAGCAGTATTCAGTATTGTATACCCCTATCACTGGCTGACAAAGTATAAAGCCCATAAGGGTATCATTGGGAATATTCTGTGATATATTTAAAGCAGTATTCAGTATTGTATACCCCTATCACTGGCTAAAGCCCATAAGGGTATCATTGGGAATATTCTGTGATATATTTAAAGCAGTATTCAGTATTGTATACCCCTATCACTGGCTGACAAAGTATAAAGCCCATAAGGGTATCATTGGGAATATTCTGTGATATATTTAAAGCAGTATTCAGTATTGTATACCCCTATCACTGGCTAAAGCCCATAAGGGTATCATTGGGAATATTCTGTGATATATTTAAAGCAGTATTCAGTATTGTATACCCCTATCACTGGCTAAAGCCCATAAGGGTATCATTGGGAATATTCTGTGATATATTTAAAGCAGTATTCAGTATTGTATACCCCTATCACTGGCTGACAAAGTATAAAGCCCATAAGGGTATCATTGGGAATATTCTGTGATATATTTAAAGCAGTATTCAGTATTGTATACCCCTATCACTGGCTAAAGCCCATAAGGGTATCATTGGGAATATTCTGTGATATATTTAAAGCAGTATTCAGTATTGTATACCCCTATCACTGGCTAAAGCCCATAAGGGTATCATTGGGAATATTCTGTGATATATTTAAAGCAGTATTCAGTATTGTATACCCCTATCACTGGCTGACAAAGTATAAAGCCCATAAGGGTATCATTGGGAATATTCTGTGATATATTTAAAGCAGTATTCAGTATTGTATACCCCTATCACTGGCTGACAAAGTATAAAGCCCATAAGGGTATCATTGGGAATATTCTGTGATATATTTAAAGCAGTATTCAGTATTGTATACCCCTATCACTGGCTGACAAAGTATAAAGCCCATAAGGGTATCATTGGGAATATTCTGTGATATATTTAAAGCAGTATTCAGTATTGTATACCCCTATCACTGGCTAAAGCCCATAAGGGTATCATTGGGAATATTCTGTGATATATTTAAAGCAGTATTCAGTATTGTATACCCCTATCACTGGCTGACAAAGTATAAAGCCCATAAGGGTATCATTGGGAATATTCTGTGATATATTTAAAGCAGTATTCAGTATTGTATACCCCTATCACTGGCTGACAAAGTATAAAGCCCATAAGGGTATCATTGGGAATATTCTGTGATATATTTAAAGCAGTATTCAGTATTGTATACCCCTATCACTGGCTGACAAAGTATAAAGCCCATAAGGGTATCATTGGGAATATTCTGTGATATATTTAAAGCAGTATTCAGTATTGTATACCCCTATCACTGGCTAAAGCCCATAAGGGTATCATTGGGAATATTCTGTGATATATTTAAAGCAGTATTCAGTATTGTATACCCCTATCACTGGCTAAAGCCCATAAGGGTATCATTGGGAATATTCTGTGATATATTTAAAGCAGTATTCAGTATTGTATACCCCTATCACTGGCTGACAAAGTATAAAGCCCATAAGGGTATCATTGGGAATATTCTGTGATATATTTAAAGCAGTATTCAGTATTGTATACCCCTATCACTGGCTAAAGCCCATAAGGGTATCATTGGGAATATTCTGTGATATATTTAAAGCAGTATTCAGTATTGTATACCCCTATCACTGGCTAAAGCCCATAAGGGTATCATTGGGAATATTCTGTGATATATTTAAAGCAGTATTCAGTATTGTATACCCCTATCACTGGCTGACAAAGTATAAAGCCCATAAGGGTATCATTGGGAATATTCTGTGATATATTTAAAGCAGTATTCAGTATTGTATACCCCTATCACTGGCTGACAAAGTATAAAGCCCATAAGGGTATCATTGGGAATATTCTGTGATATATTTAAAGCAGTATTCAGTATTGTATACCCCTATCACTGGCTGACAAAGTATAAAGCCCATAAGGGTATCATTGGGAATATTCTGTGATATATTTAAAGCAGTATTCAGTATTGTATACCCCTATCACTGGCTAAAGCCCATAAGGGTATCATTGGGAATATTCTGTGATATATTTAAAGCAGTATTCAGTATTGTATACCCCTATCACTGGCTGACAAAGTATAAAGCCCATAAGGGTATCATTGGGAATATTCTGTGATATATTTAAAGCAGTATTCAGTATTGTATACCCCTATCACTGGCTGACAAAGTATAAAGCCCATAAGGGTATCATTGGGAATATTCTGTGATATATTTAAAGCAGTATTCAGTATTGTATACCCCTATCACTGGCTAAAGCCCATAAGGGTATCATTGGGAATATTCTGTGATATATTTAAAGCAGTATTCAGTATTGTATACCCCTATCACTGGCTGACAAAGTATAAAGCCCATAAGGGTATCATTGGGAATATTCTGTGATATATTTAAAGCAGTATTCAGTATTGTATACCCCTATCACTGGCTGACAAAGTATAAAGCCCATAAGGGTATCATTGGGAATATTCTGTGATATATTTAAAGCAGTATTCAGTATTGTATACCCCTATCACTGGCTAAAGCCCATAAGGGTATCATTGGGAATATTCTGTGATATATTTAAAGCAGTATTCAGTATTGTATACCCCTATCACTGGCTAAAGCCCATAAGGGTATCATTGGGAATATTCTGTGATATATTTAAAGCAGTATTCAGTATTGTATACCCCTATCACTGGCTAAAGCCCATAAGGGTATCATTGGGAATATTCTGTGATATATTTAAAGCAGTATTCAGTATTGTATACCCCTATCACTGGCTGACAAAGTATAAAGCCCATAAGGGTATCATTGGGAATATTCTGTGATATATTTAAAGCAGTATTCAGTATTGTATACCCCTATCACTGGCTAAAGCCCATAAGGGTATCATTGGGAATATTCTGTGATATATTTAAAGCAGTATTCAGTATTGTATACCCCTATCACTGGCTGACAAAGTATAAAGCCCATAAGGGTATCATTGGGAATATTCTGTGATATATTTAAAGCAGTATTCAGTATTGTATACCCCTATCACTGGCTAAAGCCCATAAGGGTATCATTGGGAATATTCTGTGATATATTTAAAGCAGTATTCAGTATTGTATACCCCTATCACTGGCTAAAGCCCATAAGGGTATCATTGGGAATATTCTGTGATATATTTAAAGCAGTATTCAGTATTGTAAACCCCTATCACTGGCTAAAGCCCATAAGGGTATCATTGGGAATATTCTGTGATATATTTAAAGCAGTATTCAGTATTGTATACCCCTATCACTGGCTGACAAAGTATAAAGCCCATAAGGGTATCATTGGGAATATTCTGTGATATATTTAAAGCAGTATTCAGTATTGTATACCCCTATCACTGGCTAAAGCCCATAAGGGTATCATTGGGAATATTCTGTGATATATTTAAAGCAGTATTCAGTATTGTATACCCCTATCACTGGCTGACAAAGTATAAAGCCCATAAGGGTATCATTGGGAATATTCTGTGATATATTTAAAGCAGTATTCAGTATTGTATACCCCTATCACTGGCTAAAGCCCATAAGGGTATCATTGGGAATATTCTGTGATATATTTAAAGCAGTATTCAGTATTGTATACCCCTATCACTGGCTAAAGCCCATAAGGGTATCATTGGGAATATTCTGTGATATATTTAAAGCAGTATTCAGTATTGTATACCCCTATCACTGGCTAAAGCCCATAAGGGTATCATTGGGAATATTCTGTGATATATTTAAAGCAGTATTCAGTATTGTATACCCCTATCACTGGCTGACAAAGTATAAAGCCCATAAGGGTATCATTGGGAATATTCTGTGATATATTTAAAGCAGTATTCAGTTAATTGTATTCTTAAGATTGCAGCCCTTTCCTCAACATGACAAGGGCATTTTAGATCATGTGATTCCAGGTTTTCAGGTAATTGATTACCGTAAGTAATTTAATACCATTGAACAATACTGAACTTTTAAAATGTTAAAATTCATTTTTCATTTAGCAGTAAGAAATTCATATAAATATATAAATATTTCTATTACTTCCTGAGATATTTAAGATGACATGCTCTAAATCCTCACCATCATGATGAATGCAGAAATGAATGCAATTCCAAATACTCACCTAAATGCCTTGTATGAAATAAGGTATTAACATACAAAATGTCACCACCATTTGTAACAGACACCAACCACCGATCGCCAACCGCCATAACAAAAACTGAGATAAATGCTGATATAAAAAAGGATGATGACACTGAGAAACTTTTAGATGTTTATGATGATTAAATTATATGTCTGATGACCAAATTTCAAGAATATTCCTTCATCACTCACAGAGTTATTTTATGTTTATTTCGGTACACTCTTTTGGGACACCCTGTACTTCTGAAGTTATTGCTATGTTTCAACATGGCAACAAAATCTATATCATTTCCATGATACGCTTACATTGCATGTCTATAGGTGTTCATTTTATGTACAAGTTTCAAGTCAACTTGATAACCCCCTACTTCTCTCTTATGAAGTTTTTTTTATTAAGGTAGTATCAGATCTAGTTTCTATGAATATGATTACCATTATCATTTGAGAGAATTTAAACATTTTTCACCTTTTTTACACTTTGAAACGTCAACAACTTCACAATAACATATTTTGGATATTTTGGGAGATATTATATATGAGATTGTAGAGATACATTGGTAGGTCCATGTTGCTTACAATCTTTTCACCCCTCATAGATGTGATTCTGCCTTATAACCAGTTTTACAAAAGAGCTCTAATAAATGTATTTTGCCAAGCATGGAAAATAAGAGCTATCATAATTTGTTCCAATTTCAACTTTTTAGATATTTAAATTTTATGGTAGAACACATAGTTCAAAACATTTTGCTAACTAATATATTTTGGAATAAAAACATCTCCCAAGCTGTCTCTCTAAATGCAGATTTAGCTTATTGTAATACTCACATGTTTTGCTTGCTATTCCAAACCAATACAAGAACAGTTCCCTCTCTTTCCCTGTACTATTGGATTAATCCATTGACTAAACACCTAAGACCCCTTTATACCTTATTTGTATTATACCTGTATGACTGTGTGTATAGCTACAGACTATATGTGCATGCCGTGTTAGCCCAACCAACTGACCAAATCAATAGTCCACAGCATGAAATAACCAGCCCTTACACAATTTGTACATACACCAATTAATTTGAAATATTTGTTTTCCATCTATTATATACATATATCTACATATGAATTTGTCAGTCAGAATATGTATGAATTCAACAATACTTGAGGAAGACATTTTCTTTATACTGAAAACAAATAGACTATTGCAAAATAACATTTTGTGAGGGATATCTAACCCAATCAAAGCAGTTGTTGAATATTTGATGTATTAGTCTATATGTATATGTAATATAAGCCTAAAGTATAATGAAACCTACCCTGTATATCCGATAGTACAATAACTGTAGGCAATATAGTGAAATATTCACTATATTGCCCTTCTAAATGACGTTATTAGTAGTATTACCACCGTTAATGACCAGGACTGAAACAGCAAGAAAATCTTACGCACTGAACCACAAGCTGGTATCGAAAAATTTGTCCGCTGTGACGGAGCGTGTTATTTTGCATAGAAACACAAGGAAATCCACGCAATTTATTTTTTACTCATATGTTTCGCTATATCAAAGAAAATTACCTACTCCATGCAGTGGATATATCATTTGCGGGTAGAGTAAAAGCTATTGAAATTGGCGCCGGAGTATCATACTTCAAAATGTACCATTTGTTTTATTTCTTTTAAATGGTACAATATAGTGACACGATAATATTTACGTATGTTTTCAGCATAACTCTGAAGGTATTAATGAGATATTGATGTATTGGGTATTTTTGATTTGTTTTATAAAAAATAATGTTAAAATTTTTTGTCCGCTGTGAAGGAGCAGTTTCAAATCTGAAATACGTTAAGAATTCAAGATTTATAATATATCTTTTACAACTACACTGTGGAGGAGCGAACGTGTCAAATCTCTTTCGTAAAGTATTCTGAATGAAAAATGAAACGTAATAAAAGTACACAATTCAAATTTTGAGATGTATACTAGTATACGACCACTCTTTAAGCTTTTTTCTCAGTTTGTACTGAAATCCAACTTCCCTCTAAAGTCCCTCTATAGTCGTTCCAAAATGTAAGTGGAGTGTATCTTGGAATACGAAAATGCAAAATTTAATTTTAAAATTGTTCTTTATTTGAATAAGAATTAGGGTTAACCGTTATCCGATGCAACTACAGTATAACATGTGTACGGTGAACACATATGGAGCCTCAAAAATGTATTCCCAGTTGGTAGATGTTCACTCCACAGAGGCAATTTCATACAGAGGTCAGAGGAATATGTGATAAGAAGAGGTGTTCACTAGAGAAAGATGTTCATTGATACAGGTTTTGCTGTGCAGCACGTTTACCATGACTTTTTTTTATATTTTCAGACTATGCAAAACAATGAGGCGCGAATTTCAAATAATTACAAATTAAATCTGTATTAGGATCATCTTATATACAGTAATATTATGTGGTAAAAGGTTATACAACTGTCGGAATGCAGGAATGCGCACTATTTCGAATAAATTCATATTAGCCCTATTCACACTACATGTGACATTCCAAGGCGTCTTGTCGAAAACGTATTAGAAATATTATGTTGAGTTTACACCATGTTTGATTTATGTTGATTTCAGTACTATCCTCCGAAAATGTGAAAAGAGTGGTCGTTATTATATCTCAGATTTACATTACCCCAGATCTCCCAGACTACTTGTCTTAATTTAGGAAAGTGATTTGAGACGTTCTCTCCTCTAAGGGTACTTTTAAAAGATATAGTTTAAATCTTAAATTCTGAATGTAATTCACAGTTAAAGCTGCTCCGTCACAGCGGACAAAAAAATTAAACATTATTTTTTTATACAAAATATAAAAAATATCCAATACAGCAAGATCTCATTAATACTTACAGAGTTATGTCGAAAACATATGTAAATATTATCGTGTCACTATATTGTACCATTAAAAAGAAATAAAAGAAATTGTACATTTTGGAGTATGATACTCCGGCGCCGTTTTCAATAGCTTTTACTCATAGCGTTGTTGGACTTCAAACAGATGTTAAAGTTACCCGCAAATGATATATCCATTGCATGGAGTAAGTTATTTCTATGGTATAGCGAAAAATATGAGTAAAAAATAAATTGCTTGGGTTTCTTAGTGTTTCTATGCAAAATAGCACGCTCCATAACAGCGGACAAATTTTTCGATACCAGCCTGTGTGAACAATATCTAATTTCCCGGGGAAAATTGCTGGTCGAGAATTGCATTATTGGGGCAGTATTGACCGCCACTATGATGTCACATATTGCTCAGATCGATAAACTAGCACTAAAACCCCTAGAAGTGGCCCGGCAAGGTGGTAATAATACTTTTTTATATAAACTTAGCCTGGATTAACCATACACTTGCTGTAGAGGTGAACTGTGTCAAACATGTTATTTTCTGGTACACTATTAAGTATGAAGGCATGTGTGTATTTCCTTGCTTTTTTTCAGGAAAGTATCATTACATTGTCTTCTTTTAGAATATCTGGTAAGAGTTCAATGGGAACTCGAGGAAATTCAGATATTTCACACTTTCTATTTTTCCAAATTTTCTTTCAAAGTTTCCAGACAACACAAGAGCTACCATTGACCTGTTTCCAGGTTTACTAATGTAATGATACTTTCCTGAAGAAAGCAAGGAAATACACACATGCCTTTATACTTAATTTTGTACCAGAAAATAACATGTGCAGGTATAGCATTTTTTACCAAAATGTTATTTTCCAGCTTTATTGAACTACAGTAACATTTAAAATGTTTGGAACTACTTTGAATTTAAAAAATCAAATGACTATATTGCAACAGTATATGAAAAAATGGAAACATATGTACAAGTCCTAACTTTTGTATATTTCAGATAGTTATGTATATTGTGCAGCAAAGCTATCACACCCGGTGATCGTGAAAATGGGACGGAGGGGGGAGCAGGCAATTTCCGCTAGAAAATTCAACAAATCTGGTAAAATTATTTTTTCAAGACAGAGTTTACGATTGAATTGCAAATTGAATAAGCGCACGGTATGATAAAATATGTTAGGTATTCTAGGATTATTTTTCAACCGATACTCTTTTAAGATATAAGATCTATTAAAAAAGGCGCAACGCAACCAACGTGCAAAAGTCAAAGTTTTTGCTATAAATCAAGCAACAATGGACTACACGACCTGTAATAAATACTTGTAAGTGATGTTATCATAACTAAATTAATGTCATTGCTGAATTTATAAAATAAGTTTCCATACGTAAAATAAAAAATAATCGAAAATAATTAAAATGGGACGGAGGGGACGGAGGGGGGGAGTAATAATTCTATAAAGTGAAACAACTTCACACGAATTCTTGTATTTGAAAAATGAACTCATTAACTTAGTAAGAAACTGGATGATATACCCCTGGAGACTGAAAAATGGGGACATTTGGAGTAAAAGGACTTAAAGTCGCGAAACATCTCTAATCATGTCTTATATACATATTGCTCCCCCCCCTCCGTCCCCTCCCCCCCTCCGTCCCAAATTCATTATTTTCGATTATTTTTTATTTCACATATGGAAACTTATTTTATAAATTCAGCAATGACATTAATTTAGTTATGATAACATCACTTACAAGTATTTATTACAGGTCGTCCAGACCATTGTTGCTTGATTTATAGCAAAAACGTTGATTTGTGCCTGTTGATGGCCTTGCGCCTTTTTTAATAGATCTCATACCTTAGATGCGTATCGTTTCAGAAAAAATCCCAGAAAACCTAACATATTCTACCATACCGTGTGCCTATCCATTTAGCAATTCAATAGTAAACTTTTTCTTGAAAAAATAAATCTTCCAGATTTGTTGAATTTCCTAGCAGAAATTGCCTGCTCCCCCCCTCCGTCCCATATTCACGATCACCGGGTGTGGCTATGGCCTTTTGTAATTGAGGGAGTTTCAGCCATGTTATTTTTTTGAAAACGACATGGCAGAGAGGAAGCATCAAAATATAAGAGGCCACAGATATGATAGCTAAACTATTTTTATTTATTTTTATTTATTTATTTATTTTATTATCATATTCATTTAGTATTACATTAACAGTGTTGGCACTTGATACCCATAAAAGGGCATATCAGTGCTAAAATCAAAAGTTGTACAATATAAAAATAAATTACAATTTATATGAATTGAATAAAGCAAGAAATACAATTATAGATATCATACCAGTTCATGTTATAAAATACGACAATATACAAAAATGCCTGCACATAAACAATTCAAAAGTGAAAAATACAAATATAATACAATTGTGGAAGAATAACAGTACATGCTCATGGCTCAGTAACAATTTATTAATGTTTTTTTGTAATTGTATTTAAAGGAGTAAAATGATGGTAAAGATTGAAGGGATGTTGGTAGTTTGTTCCATATTATTGTTCCAGAGTATTGAATTGATTTTTTTGTTAAGTTTGATTTAAATTTGCATGGGATAATGTGATGGATTTGTCTCGTGGTACGAGTGTGTCTGAAATTGAAATACTCCCCCAAACTACAAAACAAACTAAAATAAACAAAAGTTAGGACATGTATAAATGTTTCTATTTTTACATATTGTGTTTCAATATGGTCCTTTATTGTTTTTTTAGATTCAAAGTAGTTCCAAACTTTCTTTTATCAAATTCTATTGATTGAGTTTTTGGTACACCCTGTACTTGTGAAAGATATAACATACTTTTTGCACTAAATGTCGTAGCATTTACTTAACTCATTTATATGACATTTATTGAGTCATTAAAATATATAAATGACAGAAGATCCGACAACTTGTATCCTCTACCCAGAGTCAGGATTTGGTAGACAGGTCTGAGGCCCTTAGGCAGAACAATCAATGTGAAGGCATTCAGAGCAGTTTATAATCTTGATATATTACTTATCTTAAATCAAAAAAGGTATATATGGCAAAAACTTCAAGGATTCCTTACCCCAGCGAGAAAGAACCTTTAAAAATGTGCATTCATGAAAAACAGCAGGCATATTTCTTCACATGAGGTGAATATGCCACCTATAAGCATTTTGAGTTAATTAAAAGGGCAGTGTAATCCACATGCACATGTAATTGTGGAACTAAAACATTTTTGAAAAAATTGCTATACCCAAACATGTTATTTTCTGGTACAAAATAAAGTGTATTTCCTTGCTTTTTTCAGAAAAATAGCATTACACAATATACAATAAATTTTCACCCTCTTACACATACAATATCCCTATACAACCCCCTCCCCCAAATTTGAGATGGGGTTGATTTTTTCAATTTGGGAGTATAACAGGGCCGTCAGATGGGGGGGTGCGATGGGTGCAACCGCACCCCCCTTTGACACCCCCCTCAAAATTGTAAAATTTTTTGGGGGGGGGGAATTGGGCCACCCCTCACACCTCCCACAAAACAATGGAAAAGTTCTGAATTTATCTTATGTATAGTCCTAGACATTTTTAAAGTGCCCTGACATCATCAAATAGCTCCTTGATATAGTCAATTATTCTTGGAGACTAAAACTTACTCGCCCTCTGGCATCCCCACCCCACCTCGCTCTATGGCACCCCCCCCCCCCCCTTTAAACCCCAAAAATTGAAAAAATTGTGATTTTTTCGTATTTTTTGTTGAGTCATATAATTTGAAAGTGCCTAGAAAGCACCAAATAGCATATTGAAATTGTAAAATTTTCTAGGAGAGATGGCCACCCCTCACACCCCCCACAAAACAATTGAAATAATTCTGAATTTAGTGTATTGTCTTTTTTTTAACATATTATTTATTTCCTTCATAATCAAAAAAATACACAAAATATCTACTACCAATCGCCATAGGCATTCTAGGTAGTTTAAATTACAATAGAGGATTAATTACCTTAATCATAGATGGTTTATTGGTAATGTGAGAGGTTGGGAGGGAGGGTATTGTCACAAGATATATTGTCACAAGATACAAATGAGAATAACATTAATTTGATGGAAACTTATAACAGGCCTGTAGTGTATTGTCTCAGACACTTTTAAAGTTCCCAGACATTAAGTCGCTCCTTGATATAGTCAATGTTTATGGGGGACTAATACTTGCTCCCCCTCTGGCATCACCACCCCACCTCCCCCTCTGGCACCCCCCCCCCCCTGACACTCCTCCAAATATTGGAAAAAAATTGTGATTTTCTTCAATGTTTTGATTGATTCATACACTTTGAAAGTATCCAAAGAGCACCAAATAGTGTCTTAAAATTGTAAAATTTTCTAGGGGGAGTTGGCCACCACTCATACCCTAAACAAAACAATTGAAAAGTTCCGAATTTATTTTATATATTGTCTCAGACACTTTTAAAGTGCCCTGACATCATCAAATAGCTCCTTGATATAGTCAATGATTCTTGGAGACTAACACTTACCCACCCTCTGGCATCCCCACCCCACTTCACTCTCTGGCATACCCCCCCCCCTCTTTAAACCCCCCTAATTGAAAAAAAATTGTGATTTTTTCATATTTTTTGTTGAGTCATATACCTTGAAAGTGCCTAGAAAGCACCAAATAGCATAATAAAATTGTAAAATCTTCTAGGAGAGTTGGCCACCCCTCACATCCCCCAAAAAACAATTGAAAAAATTCTGAATTTCACTCATACATTTTTAAAGTGCCCAGACATCATCAAAAAGCACCTTGATATGGTCAATGTTTCTGGGGGACAACCACTTGTTCCCCCTCTGGCACCCCACACTTCACCCTCTCATCCTCTTTGACACCCCCAAAAGAATTCCCTTTTTTATTGACTCATACACTTTGAAAGTGCCCAGAAAGCACAAAATAGTATCTCAAAAGTGTAAAATTTTCTACGGGGAGTGGGGCACTCCTCACACCCCATACAAAACAATAGGACAGTTTGGACACTTAAACAGTCACCATGTGGCATAATGAAATCATAAAAATTTCTGGCACCCCACCCTAAAAAACTAAAGCATTCATTTACTCAAACACATTAAAAGTGCTTAGAATTAATAAGACAGCATCTTGAATTGGTAGAATTTTCCTGTGCTGCCCCCTCGCTCCCCTAAGAAGAAAATGATTGAAAAATCTAAATTTCTTTGAATTGATTCTATTGATTAAAACACCTTAAAGTGTCCAGAAATCACTGAATGTGATCGTGAACTGGTGAAAAGTTTCGGGTAAACATTTATGCCCTTCTACCACACCTTCTCCCTATTCCAGTGTTTCTCCAAAATTGCTCATTCAATATTTAGTCTAAAAACAATAAAACACTACAAGATAGGCTCAATATAGGGGGTAACCGACCCCCCCCCTCTGAACGCGATTTGATTTACGCGGCAAAAATAGAGAATTTCATATTGTCTTTAGTAGAAACCGCACCCCCCTTGGAGAAAAGTGTCTTACGGGCCTGTATAACAGTATAATTTGTGAAGTGGAACATTTGTAGTATATATGTACAGTAGTAGTTCAATGGTTCGATAGCCTATTTAATTTTCATCACATAACTGAATGGGATTGAGGAAACATTTTAGAAAACCAGACTAAATGCGAGTATAAATAATATTGATTTTCGTCATTAAAAATTCAAATTTCTCCAACGTGATATCATATTTCAAATCTACATGTAGAATTACTTCTAGAAATGTGGCTTTAAAAAGTTGTCAATTTTGAGAATATAACTTTCCTTGAAAAGGTGACTTCTAGGTTGGGGAGATTCCCATAGACACCATGTTATAAAGTCACAAAAAGTGAAATATCTTTTCTTATATTTGACAAATATTTTTTTCTTTCACTGGACACATGACTCAGTGCCTTGCTCAGTGTCAGACTTGAAATGTCCCCCCCTCCCCTCCTGCTAGCTTCTGGCTTCTTTTTTTCTGGGCCCAACTTAGGAGGGGGCGAGGGGGCCCTAGACTATATCCTATTTAGTCTGAATTATATTCAGACTATAAGGCACCTATGTTAGAGTTTGGTAATCCTAAATATTTGTTTACATAGGAAGTGCTATTCAAAATGGCCGATTGGGTAGAATTAATTTGCACATTTTTTACTTAAACTAGCTTTATTTCCACTTGACAATATGCTGTGTTACTTTTTATTGCATTTAAGTGTACCTTACTACTTAATTAAAATTTTGTAATGTTTATTTTATTGAAGAAATGGTTCCTCTAATTGATAATTTTGTGCAAAAAATTTCACTGCAATTTCCACAGGAAAGTAGTACATCATAACAGACTGACTTCTAGTCAGTCTGTTGGATACATACTAGAGGGGGCCCGGTGTAAAAGGGTAGGTGCCAGGTGGTCCTTTCATGGTGACCTAATTACAATTATTTTCCTTATTATTACACAGTCAGGGTCGGTAAGGGCCGTAAGGAAAGGGGACCATAATCCCCAGGGGACCATAATTTCTTTTACACCGGGCTGCCACCCCGCCGGATCCGCCACTGGGATCCACCAGTGAAAACCCTCAGGCCTACATCTTACATTACTTTTTGAATCGAAAAAATAAATATGAGATCATACTTACACGAATCAAGTAAGTATACTATACTCCCCAAGATATACTCCAACACTGCATGCAGTTACGACAAAAATTTAAATTTCTGGAGGGATGTACCTTACGACAAAGTTGCGAACGCTCTAGCGCTCTCGCATGCGATAAATTTTGTACATACTTCTCGTACATGTCGTATTTGTGATTGGGAATTTACCAATCGAGAAAAATCATTGTTTATAAATCTCTCTTGGAGCCTCCTTATTAGCTTATTATTAGTAATTGACAGCCAATCATGTATAAAGTAAGTTTTGAAAGATCTCCTTTTGCAAATTGAGTGGCGTTCGCAGATTTGCTGTAATTTTATTTCCGGTACATGTGAAAAAAATGCTTCGGAAAAAACTAAAAAGAAACGTCGATTCTACTGGTTTGAGAGACAGTAAATTAAAACAAAATAATGTCCAGATACTGGGAGACAACACAGCGAAAGACGCAGCAGTGTCGGCTCTTGAAAAAGAAGTTTTAGGTGGAGAGAACGAAATCTTAGAAAATCTCGATAAATTTTCGTCACTCTCTTCAGCACAGCAATCAAAGATACAGGTATGTCATTATTAACATCTTATTGCTTTTGTTCAGAGTTTGTCATGATTTTAATGCAATAGCAGATAAAAACTTTTACTGTTATCTCAGTTTTTTTGATCTGCCAATCAGGTGAATTTCTGAGATAGAATAGACTATCGATGATTTGGGTATGCTTTAGATTATCTAAAATATGGATGTAGTCCATATTATTAGATCCTGGCTGAAGCAAGATTGAAGACTTTAGATCCCAGCTAAGTGTCAGAATGTTTAGTGCTGATTCAAAATAATAAGCAGTGTTCTCCTACCAAAATGTATTTGCCTACATACCCGTGATTATCGTATCCTACCAACCACTTTAGATTGTGGTCGTACGCCCGTATTATTAGTAAGCCTGTCTTTCTTCAATGTCGGAGACTGAACTACGCATTGCACTATTAAACGACCTACCTCGATACATTCCAGAGATCGCCAATTGTATGGGTTTATCGGCAGAACGATGAGATTTTAGTTTTTACATCGGAAATATATCAGCAATTTTCAAAATGTCGGAAGGGGAATTTCCCAGGGATTTCCCTTATGACTGGGGTATGCCGGGAACTGAATGGAGGAATTTGACGGTTGAAATAAGTTAAATATTACACGCAAATATTGCTATCAAAAACGAAAATATCTTCGTTCTGCCGATAAACCCATACAATTGGCGATCTAACAACATAAAAAGAATTCTAAAATACTCTGGAATGTATCGAGGTAGGTCATTTAATAGTGCAATGCATAGTTCATTCTAAGACATTGTAGAAAGACAGGCTTACTTATAATACGGGCGTACGACCACAATCTAAAGGGGTTGTGGGATGCGATAAACCCGTGAGACTCTTATCTGATAGATACAATGCACAAATAAAACAAAAGTTTTGCTATTATAAGTAAAAAGTGCTCTTAAATTTCGAAGTGATTTTACCTGTTAATACTGTCATTGGTTTGAAAATTTTCTGGGGGCATGCCCCCAATTAACGCTTTACGCACAACCCATACAAAAGTCGCCCCCTCCCTTGGCAAATCCTTCTGACGCCCCTGTTATAGCTTTCATTTATATTACATACGTATCAGGATATGAGATGGGAAATATGGAAGAATCAAAGGTGATATGCCCCACAGCCCATTCTGTATATTCACTGTACATTTGAATTTATGAAATAAAACTATTGATTAAAAACACTTGTGTTTTCAGAAGCTTGATGATGATGAACTTGTTCCTGTTTGGGAAGATGAAGATGACCAGGAAGAAGAAAGGTAAACCATGGTTGTAGAAGAAAATTATGATACTTTGCTAGATATTCATTTAACAAGTCACCATCTAGTTATCGCCCCAGAATTTTTATGGTGCTGAATTCATACTTTACATGTTTTGGTATCTCCCTTTTAGCAGAGTGTATGTAGATTTCAGCAGGATGTAGTACCTAGTTGCTCTTATTCATTTATATGCATATGTAGCCTCATCTTATCTTGTTAATCTTATTCATATAATTGTTAAAACAGTGGTATGATTAAATTGTGGTTCAGATACCCTCTTTGTTTATCACAGGGATTCCAGGAAAACCACTTAGTTCTTTACAAGTGGTAATTTTCCATAATCATTTAATTTGCCTATTGCCTAATTTTTTGCCAGGTTCGGAAAATTAAATGTCAGAAATATCATCTTCATAATATTATCCAATAGGAAGTGTTTTGTCATTAGGAAAATTAAAATTAGGAAAATGATGAAATTTGAGCATTCAACAAATTCGAACCACTTAGACTAAATACCTCTTATACAGTATATGCACACATCTTAGAAGGTATCTTTGTAATCATTTAAAAGATCTATACATTACATCTGACTGACTTTGAGGTGGCCATTTTGTTTTTGGTAGCCATTATAGAAGTGTTGATAGATTTTGTCCAGAAGACCTGAGTAGGTCCCATAATACTATCATATTCTTTCGTATTGGGGATTCCCCTTAGCTTACCCATATGGTCGTACAAGCCTTTAATGGATCTATAACATGATATTTTAAATGGCGGCCAATGGTCAGTTGGATTCAAATATGGTCCTATAAGCCTTATATGGATCTAGCACATAGGTACCACATGACTGAATACGAAGGCTGAACTTTTGGAGATCTCCCCCTGGATTTTGTCATTACCATTTCAGGAAAATCTCTTGTAAGATTCTTTCTAATTTGTACACATGTTCGCACAGTGTACTGTCTATAGTTCAGAGAATTTCAAATCACGAAAAATTTCTTATTTGTTATAAAAGTTTCATAACAAATATGATAACTAGGATATTTAAGAGAGGGGACCAAAAAGCCTATTATTTCGCAATAATATAATATTTCACAAATCATTGTAAATACCATTATGTGGCACCTAATACTCCCTCTTGGGGGTCATAGCCACTACAACCTGTAAATATGTATGTTACATTGATTTTAATAAAAAAAAAATTAAAAAATAAGACCACTCAAAATCATGAATCAAATAAAACTAACAAAACTTTTCTTACATGGAATAGGTACTTTGTTTCATTACTATTATAATTTAAGACATTGCAAGACTGCTCCCTTTACAACAGTAAATAAAACACCTTTGGTACCTCAAAAGGTCTAAAATATCCGTCGCCGACTAATGACTAATACATAATGATATAAACACCACACCGTGTTTACGTTTTCTCACAAAATCAAGTTATTCCCCTTGTTTGCCTGGAGGATATTTACAGGATGTTTGAGCCTTTTGAATATCATAGATTCCTCGCTCAGTCATCTTTTTCCTGAAATATGTATCAGCAGCTTCATGTCCCAGTTTTGATAACATACAGTAATGTTTTATTTTTAAATCTGAGCTTTCCGAGTGGCATTCTTTCTGCTTTAGTGATTTAGCTATATTGAGTTCTTGGATTTTTAAAGCCATATTATGACGACCAAACTCATCAATCTTTCTCCACAGAGTTTTGTTGAAATGATTGTATATCATTGAGTCTGCTAAGTTCCATTGGATGAGGTTCTCGTATTCATTAGGAGTTAAAGTCGGCTTGAATTTCTGAACATTCCTAACGTTAGCATTTCTGAGAATGACTACATCTTCAATTGTTAAATCAGAGCATTCGGTCAGCAAAATCAGACTTTCCTCCAAATACTCAACCACTATCACTAAGTCAAACTCCTTTTCAATTTCATTGATTTTTTCTTGTATTGCTATGATGTTATATTGTTCCTCCTGTTTGATTCCAAAACATTGTGCAATTACGTTACTAGAAGGTATGTGGTTCTTAAGTCCAAGGTGTGGCATAGTTTTAACATTATTTAAAAAATATTTGAATTTATTAGGCCCTTTAAGATATCTTTCATATGTGTTCTTCATGTAGTAAAAATTATAACATGAATAGAAATGCGAAACTGGTTCTCGTATTGATGTGACGAATACACTCCCTGGGGCCATAACTTGTTTGATTTTTGAACTGTATTTTATGTGTTCATTTAGATGTTCCAAATATGTGTTTTTACTCAGAGGGATTAGATGTTCTGGTTTGAATGGTTCGGGCCATCCTACCAAGTGTCTTTCAACACCAGAATTACTACATGGCCTTCCAACAATTTGGTCATATTTATCAGCATATTGATTAAACATAACTTGAAGTGTGGTACTCCCTGCCTTGTATACTTTCAAATGAAATATGCCTCTAGGTTTTGTCTCTCGTGCTATATTGCTCTCCAGCCTTTGTTGTGGAGTACTCCCTTGTTCTTTAAAATCCAATGTGTTCTTAAAGTGTTCTTCAGGACTATTTAATCTTTCGTCATGAATCTGTTTTGACATTGTCTTTTCAAGAGCTCGAAGGTCTAAATTCCCCATGGAGTTGCTAATACAGGTAAGGATGAATAAAACCAGAACTGTCAAAATGACACTTTTGACTATCACAGCCTTAACTCTCATTCTTGCTCTGCAGATAGAAAGAAAAAGTATGTTATGTCAGTTATATTTGCAGGCCCGTAGCCAGGATTTGCCAAGGGGGGTTCACTTTTCGGAAAATTCCAGGGGGGCTCACTTTCGATAATTTTGGTCCAAAGATGGCCAAAATCACATAAAAAGTGCTCAGAATGGTGAAAAACTGCATGATTTTGAAAGAATTTCTGGCCAGGGGGGGGGGGGGGGTTCCATCGAACCCCCCCCCCTGGCTACGGGCCTGATTTGTGTAGCCTTGACATATTGTATTCTGCTTTGGATTTACCACATTCCTGCCAACTCACTATATAATCTAGCATAATAATTTTAAATTGCAAACTTCTAAAATCAATTGTAAAAAGATACCTTTTTATGACTGAAATCTACCATAGTATCTAGGAACCTTATGAACTTATATAATTTTAAAATGAATATTGACTAATCTGTGATATTGAATATTTGAGTTACACTTTTTTATCACACCACTGGTGGGATCTAGTTGTGATTTATCTGTTTTTAATTTTAAGGCTTACTTACCTTCTTTAATCACCAAAATTCTTCACCAAATCTTCTCCTTCAATTTAGTACTCTGAGAGGGCAGCAGAGGTATTAAACTACGATATTACAATATACAAAATCAACCAATAGAGCAATAAGGCAGAATACTGTTTGATTAACATCTGTTTTTATCTGTTTGATACTGTTAAATAATTGCATCTACATTGCAACTACATGCTATTCAACTAAAACTAGACTAAGGAAATCACTGAGCTGAGACGTTTTGCTGTTATGATTTAGGCCATAACAATAACATCATTCGGTCAATCTTTTCATGTACTGTGGATACCCATTTAGTGCTTATTCGCTAGAAAATATTGCAACTAGCGGTGAAGTAATATTAGTACTATATAATCTGTTTTATGAAGTTTCTAGCGATCATGTTGTCATTTGGTGTTAGTTTGAGATAGTTATCATGCAATAAAGCTATTAAAGCAACATGGTCCAGGATAGCCTATTGATATTATGAATGATAATGGTCATTTGAAAGATTTGGTAAACAGATAAGATCGATAGCTGAGTCAAAAGTCGACCCTCACTGGACCCTCACTCGGTAGATGGTGGCTATCGGTCTTCTCAGCAGTAGGCAATAAAATCTATTCAAATGCTAATTGGGTAATCATTATTAGTATGACTTCATAACAAGGGGTTGTATGACTTCATAACAAGGGGTTGTATGACTTCATAACAAGGGGTTGTATGACTTCATAACAAGGGGTTGTATGACTTCATAACAAGGGGTTGTAGCTAGACTAAAACCCATTCCATTTGTCAGTTTGTTTACAATTGAATAAAACTGATCATTTTATGAAAAATTGTGACCCTATCCTACAGAAATGAAGATTATGTTTATAGCAATTTTGGAGAGCTATACTATATATCACACACTCAAGGGAATTGATTGTACTTTCTCAGCAAATACATACCTGTGGGTAGAAGTATGAAAAAGCCTTAGAGTCCCAACCTGACCTCCTTTGTTAACATTTTCAGAGACATGAAAAAATAAGAAATGTGTCATAACTTTTTCAATCTCCAATTATTGAAACTGATTTCACCTGTGGGCAACGGGTATTTTAGTCCTACATGGACTGATACATATTGAAAAGATTATTAAGTTACTGGTACAGACAATATTAAGATTTTTTTTCAAATTGAATGTTTTTTATTTTGCAGTGTAAGAGTGGACAAACAATATAGATTCAAACAGATTCGACGAGGGGATGAGACAAAAATCTCACAAAAAGTTTATACAAATCGGCTTAAGAAGCAGTAAGTATAGTATGGGTAGATAGTAAATATGACTTTTATATCCCATTGAATAACATTTTGAAAGGATGCAAATATGTATAAGTTCATTAGATTAGGAAATTCTTATCCCATGATACTACTACTTCCGGTGACGGTGAATAACACTAATTTTTCAAAAAAGGTTCCAAGTTGTTTTTCAGCAATACAGTGCATAAATTACCATTATGATCACATTGTTTTTTCCAGGTTTGAAAGGGTTACAGGGACACCATCATGGGCAGTGTTAAAATCACACAAAGAAGCCAGAAAATCTGCAGATTCTTCTGGTATGACTCGCATGTCCATATGTCATATAAAAAAGGGAGTAAACAAGGAGTTATATCTGGATGCCCCAAGAGTCAACCCTGTTTTCATTCAAAAACTGCTTATACAAATTTTAAAGTTTTCTTAAAACTTTTTTAACTCGCTCATTCGCTCATTCCACTTGGTTGTACTGAATTTAGCATTTGAAAATACAAAAAAAGGTCCAGTCTAAAATGACAATTTTCACGAAAGTAATTATGATAAATGATCGTTAGATCAGCTTCTATGTCTTAGTTATCCCATAGAATGAAGTTCGAGGGGGATATAGGAAAGTTGTCAGTTTGTCAGGGCAATAACTCAAATACCGATTGACGGATTTGATTCAAGTTTTATAGACTTATGCCTTATGGGTGTAGGACCTCTGCTCGAGAAGGAATTTCAAATATGGCCGTTTAATTTAAAATGGCGGCCATTTTTGTGAAAAATATAATCTTTGATAACTCAAATACTAGTTGACCGAATTGGTTCAAATTTTATATGCTGTTGCCCAGGGACAAAGGAGCCTTGCTCAAGAAGAAATTTTCAAGATGGTCACTGAATTTCAAAATGGCCACCATTTATTGTAAAAACCTGTAATCTTTGATAACTCAAATACCACAGTGAATGGATTTGGTTCAAATTTTACATGCTGATGACTCGGGACTTGGGAGCTTCGCTCGAGAAGGGATTTTCAAAATGGCCATTAAATTTTATATACTGATGCCTAGAGATAAAGGAGCTCTACGCGAGAAGAAATTTTCAAGATGGCCACCCTTTATCAAAATCTGCTATTTTTCATTAAAAAATGTAATTTTTGATAACTCAAGTACCAATTGATGGGTTTGGATCAAATTTGATATACTGATGCCTAGGGACATAGGAGCTCTGCTCAAGAAAAAATTTTAAAGGTGGCAGCTGAATTTCAAAATGGCCACCATGTTTCATAAAAAACATAATGATAAATCAAATACCAGTGGATGGATTTGGTTCAAATTTTATATGGCCGCTATTTCTCAAAAAAAGTTTTGTTCGGTGGAATTTGCTGTTTTTCTAGTTAGCTTAGTTATGTTATGGACAATGGCATGACATAGCTGTAAAGTAGTATCAACCCTTTCAATGTCAGTTTTGAGCTGTTGGGTACTTGGGTTGTACCAAATTCTAAAGATATTCAACCATTTTTGTCAACATGAGTCAATGAGGAACAAAATGGGATTGTTACTAATATGTCATTGTAATGACATCATAGAGTCAATAAGAGAATTATATATGTGGAACCCTTTATTTCAAAATACATCAAATGTATTCTCACCAGTGAGTGCACAGTGCTGTTTCCAAATTGAAGTTTTCAAAGGGTAAGATATTGCCAGAATCCAACAACGCACATACAAAAAATCTAGAAAAAAATATTGCCAATAACCTTTTTAGTTCTTCACTAAGGTTTACATATTCTGCAGCTCCTGTATTTCTTTCTCTGCGTTAAATATAATATCAATCAATATCTTGTGTAAATAATCAGAACTAAATATTTTAACTCCATGCTTTCTTGAGACCATATTCAACATAAAAGTCGCATGTGGGCTCATTGGAACCATGCGCTCATTAGAGAATATGGTAGTTTGATATACCATTTTCTGTATTTTCAGATGACAGTGATGATGAACTGTCAAAATCTACTGGGTCCTATCTCACTGGATCCCAGTCCCTTCCTAAAGGTGTTTTACAGTTTAAAAAATGTCCCGATGCGAATAAAGAACAGTTCTCTTCTGTAAGTACATCTACGTCCCGTGATGTTCGCCTATAATATATATATCCACCATTTTGAACAAGTGATCTTAGTAGAAGTTTGAACCACCATATCTAAAATTCATTAAGGATGCAGTACCGGGTCGGTTTTCACGTCTGTTTGCGCAGGTTTGACTTCCGGTTTGAGAAAGCTAGCTCCCAAGAACGTCATTTTCGCATTTAGTCTTATTCAAAAATTATAGTTTATTTCGATAATGGTGTTTCCAGAAAAGAATTAATTGCAAACATTTTATCAAGCATATTTTATCCCTTTCACTTTTATGGGAAAACTTGTTCTTGAGTCGCTATTAGTGGATACAAAAACCAGGGTTAGAAAGGTGACAGCTCTATTGAAAACTCAAAAAAGTAAAAAGATTCATTTTGGGTGGGTAAAATAATTTTTTTATTTTGTAATTACCAGACGGTCAATCCTCTTCATATTGCACTTGGATGATGATAACATCATAGTGATACATTGTAAAAAATATGAGCAAAATCTAATGTCTGGAACTTTTTCTACGCTGACCTGGTACTGCATCCTTAAGTATTGATTTGGAATCTCTAAGTTGCTTATTGGTTCACTGTAGGGATTTTGAATATCCATTCCCAATAATAGTCATCGGTAGAAAGTATTGAATGTAACTAAGCTTTCTGTCTTTAAAGTTGTATAAAACTGAGAAAAACATACTTCATATCTCTGTTATTTGTCATATAGAAGAACCCATATGTTTTACTAATTTCATATACACGTCTCTCCTGAAGCTTATATAGTAAAATTTCTTATTTGCAGCTCAAAATCAGGCATATGATAAACTAATGAAATTATATGTCGCTGTTAAAATTAACACATACACCAAATTAGCAAAATTAAAAGATAAGATTTAAGATCAAAAAAGCATTTGATTTTAATGTTGTAGGGTAAACTAAAATCAACAGAATTTCATCCGACAGCCCAGGTTTTGCTCACAGCAGGAATGGACCAGTCACTCCATCTATTCCAGGTAAGTGAACTAAGAATAACAACAACAAATATCATGCCTCATATTTGGTCATTTTTCAAGTCTTCAATGTGGAATGAAGAGGATTTAGCAAGAAATAATGTGAATTGGCACTGTAATAATAATTAACAGTAACACTCTCAATTGTATTGAAATGAATTAAGGAAGAACTTTATTCAGCAGATTTTTACAAAAATCAGCTAGGAGCTTACACGATATTCTTAGCACTCTAGCATTATAGCAGAAAAGAAATGTATAAAACATTGAAATTGTCATTTTATTCAATTTCTATTCAGAGCATCCTCAAATTCATATCATAGCCAGGGGTTTCACTAGAATTTCTCATAAAAAGGCAAAATAAATGGAAATCACAAATTTTATTTTGAAAATTCCCTAAATAAGAGGCGATTTTGTGAAAACAACGTGAAAACCGCCTGTTACCTGCTGCTAATAAAACTCCTGATAGCAGATAACCACCAATTGTACCATAAGTCCCTTTATATGACCCCATTTCCCCAAATCATAATCTTTTCATGCTTCATGCCCATATACGCTTCATTCAACAGGAAACCCTGAGTGAATTTTTCTTTCATATTCTATTTTCAGGTTGATGGACAGCACAATCCGAAGATCCAGAGCATGTTCATTGAGAATTTCCCCATTCATACAGCACACTTTACCACAGATGGACATGAAGTTATTATGGGTTCAAAACACAAATCTTTCTACTACTTTGATATGATAGCTGGAAAAATTATTAATGTACCAAAAATCAAAGGTATGTTCATAAATTTGTCTGTTTTTATGTCACCACCACAAGTTGTGACATATTGTAAATGGTTTCCAACTTTGGTGTTCAGCGTTCTGCGGTACATGTTTGGCATTTGTCATCTGTAACAAATAGCAAGTGGTGATATTTTGCATGTTAATGCCTTGTTGCTTTGGCTATAATCAATATTTACCCCATACCTTATTCCCTTGTCTTATCGTATTATATGGGTGATACTTATCCATGATATATTTGTGATTTGAGCGAATTCAATTTGACCAATTTTGCAATTTGATCAAATTATATAAATAAAAGCAATAATTATTTCTTTCTCGATGAAAGCCCACATTGGTTAACATATAAAAAGATTTCAAAGGAAACTGAATGTTACAATACAGTAAAACCTGTCTTATTGGAACCTCTAAAAAGTGTTCCACTTGGGAGGTTTTGCACATAACAGGTTTCACTGTATACAGTTCAATTTTCCTGTTTAGTCTGTAGTGTAAAATATATTTGAAATTTATAGGTTTAGAAGAAAGGAATATGAAAAAGTTTTCTGTGTCCCCAGATGGCAAACACTTGGCCTTTCTAGGAACATATGGCAGTATACATCTTATATCTGCAACGGTGAGTATATTACTTTTTAAGAGATTAACTTTTAATCCTTAAAAAGAGCTTCATCTACAAGCCATCAGCCATTAGCCATCAGTTCAAACTGTGTAGAAATGTTGTGAACAGCCCAAACTGCATGATAATGCACTCAACAGCCCAAACTATATAGAAATGTTGTGAACAGCTCAAACTGTGTGATCAACAGTCCAAACTCTGTAGAAATGTAGTCAACAGTCCAAACTGTGTGATCAACAGTCCAAACACTGTAGAAATGTTGTGAACAGCCCAAACTGCATGATAATGCACTCAACAGCCCAAACTATATAGAAATGTTGTGAACAGCTCAAACTGTGTGATCAACAGTCCAAACTCTGTAGAAATGTAGTCAACAGTCCAAACTGTGTGATCAACAGTCCAAACTCTGTAGAAATGTTGTGAACAGCTCAAACTGTGTGATCAACAGTCCAAACTCTGTAGAAATGTAGTCAACAGCCCAAACTGTGTGATCAACAGTCCAAACTCTGTAGAAATGTAGTCAACAGCCCAAATTGTGTGGAAATGTAGTCAATTGATCGAAATGTAGTCAACAGCTCAAATTGTGTGGAAATGTAGTCAATTGATCGAAATGTAGTCAACAGCCCAAATTGTGTGGAAATGTAGTCAATTGATCGAAATGTAGTCAACAGCCCAAATTGTGTGGAAATGTAGTCAATTGATCGAAATGTAGTCAACAGCCCAAATTGTGTGGAAATGTAGTCAATTGATCGAAATGTAGTCAATAGCCCAAATTGTGTGGAGATGTAGTCAATTGTGAATGTAGCAATGTTGCATCTTACATTCACTCACTAAAATGCATAAATGTCTTTCAGTCCAAAGAATGGGTGGCCTCTCTGAAAATCAATGGTAGTGTAGATGCTGTGTGTTTCTCCCCAGATGGCTCAAGATTATACGCAACTGGAGGTAACAATTATGAATTTTTAATAATTTTTCTATTTTCTTTAAAATATGATCAAATCACATTGACCTTTTTTTGAGTAAGTATTTATATTTAATATCCATGGCACAGAAAATACAATATTTCACTCATGTTTTATATCTTGGAATCACAGGGAGTGAATAAGGAGTCCACAAGTGTAAAATACATAGCATGTTTAGGCAGTCAATGCAGTGATCTCCCCAGCATTCAAGCAAGTGGGCGCAGCACCCACCGGAGATTTTGAAAATAGGCTTGCACCCACCTAAAAATCCATTTGCACCCACTTGAAATGAGAAAAACCACCAAAAATTGGCATATTTTGACCAATTTTGGTCTGAATTGTGAAAATTAGAATTTTGCACCCACCTGATATCATTGCAATGGCTAAGTTAATGCCACATGCCAAACCATTTTCAGTGTATTATTTACATATGAATGCTCTTTTCCCTGAAATTTCTGGAACTACAGTTTACCAAGCATAAGCTTATATCAGGGTGTGGACTGAGGAACTTCCTTTTTACAAAATGTTTAGGCGAGCATAAACTAGAGGCGAATAACTAGAGGCGAGGAATAACTATAAACTAGATTTGTGAATAAACTAGATTTGTGAATGAACTAGAGGTATTAATAAATAGAGGGACCTTTTTTATTTCAGATGATGGAGACGTGTATGTATATAACATGGCAACAAGAGACTGTGTTCACAGGTTCAAGGATGATGGCTGTATACAAGGCACAAGTTTAGCTGTATCTAAAAATAATCAATATCTAGCTTGCGGGTAAGTCGAACCTGTCAAGTAAAAAATTAAAATCAGGATGTTTTTTCCAGATATGGCTTCCAAATTTCAAAACGGCCATCATTTTTCGTAAAAACTTAATCTTTGATAACTCAAATACCAGTTGATGGATTTGGTTCAAATTTTATATGCTGATGCCTAGAGATAAAGGAGCTCCGTTTGAGAAGAAATTTTCAAGATTGCGGCTATTTATCAAAATGGCCGCCATTTGTCTTTTTGATAACCCAAATACCAGTTGACAGATTTGGTTTTTATGTCACCACCAAAAGTGGTGACATATTGTTATGGTCTCCGTTTTTTTGCGACGGCGGTTGGTGGTTGGCGTCCGGCGTCTGGCGTCCGGCGTCTGGTGTCCGGCGTCTGGCGTCCGGCGTCTGTAACAATTTCTTACAACTTCCTATAACTTAACAAATACTGTTTAGACTGACTTCAATTTTTTTCTAAATCATCTACATGTTCTCAGAAGTTCAAGTCTGACTTTAGATTTGACATTTGACCTTCAATGACCTTCTCAAGGTCAAAAAAAGGTCTTTTTTCAACTTGCTTCACATTGACTAAATTTTTTTTCAAAATCATCTACATGTTCTCAGAAATTCAAATCTGACTTTAGATTTGACTTTAGATTTGACATTTGACCTTCAAATCTGACTTTAGATTTGACATTTGACCTTCAATGACCTTCTCAAGGTCAAAAAAGGTCAAAAAGGTCTGTTTTCAACTTGCTTCAAATTGACTAAATTTTTTTTTCAAAATCATCTACGTGTTCTCAGAAATTCAAATCTGACTTAAGATTTGACATTTGACCTTCAATGACCTTCTCAAGGTCAAAAAAGGTCAAAAAGGTCTGCTTTCAACTTGCTTCAAATTGACTAAAAAAAAATTTCAAAATCATCTACGTGTTCTCAGAAATTCAAATCTGACTTTAGATTTGTCTTAAGATTTAACATTTGACCTTCAATGACCTTCTCAAAGTCAAAAAAGGTCAAAAAGGTATTTTTTCATCTTGCTTCAAATTGACTAAATTTTTTTTTCAAAATCATCTACATGTTCTCAGATATTCAAATATGACTTTAGATTTGACTTTAGATTTGACATTTGACCTTCAATGACCTTCTCAAGGTCAAAAAAGGTCAAAAGGTCTTTTTTCAACTTGCTTCAAATTGACTAATTTTTTTTTCAAAATCATCTACATGTTCTCAGAAATTCAAATCTGACTTTAGATTTGACATTTGACTTTTAATGACCTTCTCAAGGTCAAAAAAGGTCTGTTTTCAACTTGCTTCAAATTGACCAAATTTTTTTTTCAAAATCATCTACATCTTTTCAGAAGTTCAAATTTGACTTTACAAGTTCTCAGAAGTTCAAATCTGACTTTAGATTTGACCTTCAATGACCTTCTCAAGGTCAAAAAGGTCTTTTTTCAACTTGCTTCAAATTGACTAATTTTTTTTCAAAATCATCTACATGTTCAAATATGACTCTAGATTTGACTTTAGATTTGACCTTCAAATCTGACTTTAGATTTGACATTTGACCTTCAATGACCTTCTCAAGGTCAAAAAAGGTCAAAAATGTCTGTTTTTAACTTGCTTCAAATTGACTAATTTTTTTTTTCAAAATCATCTACATGTTCTCAGAAATTCAAATCTGACTTAAGATTTGACATTTGACCTTCAATGACCTTCTCAAGGTCAAAAAAGGTCAAAAAGGTCTGTTTTCAACTTGCTTCAAATTGACTAAAAAAAAATTCAAAATCATCTAAGTGTTCTCAGAAATTCAAATCTGACTTTAGATTTGACTTAAGATTTAACATTTGACCTTCAATGACCTTCTCAAAGTCAAAAAAGGTCAAAAAGGTATTTTTTCATCTTGCTTCAAATTGACTAAATTTTTTTTTCAAAATCATCTACATGTTCTCAGATATTCAAATTTGACTTTAGATTTGACATTTGACCTTCAATGACCTTCTCAAGGTCAAAAAAGGTCAAAAGGGTCTTTTTTCAACTTGCTTCAAATTGACTAATTTTTTTTCAAAATCATCTATATGTTCTCAGAAATTCAAATCTGACTTTAGATTTGACATTTGACCTTTAATGACCTTCTCAAGGTCAAAAAAGGTCTGTTTTCAACTTGCTTCAAATTGACCAAATTTTTTTTTCAAAATCATCTACATCTTTTCAGAAGTTCAAAGGACGATTCTCGGTTTGGAGAACGAAGTTCATCAATCTAAATTAGCATTATCCCTGCTTCGGACAAATTTGATTTTTTTTACATAATATAGATTGGAATGTCTTCTTTTGAATAGTCATAATTTAATTTGGGTAATATTTCTAGATTTTTCCCCAAGAAATATTAGCGCAGTACACTGATGAACTTCTTTCCCCAAATCGAGACTTGTATTTTATTAAATCGGTCTAATTGAGCGTTATCCCTGCTTCAGACCAATTTGCTATTTTTACATCTTGTAAATTTAAATGTCCTCTTTTGAATATTCATAGTTTAATTTGGGTAATATTTCTATATTTTTCATGAAAAAATTATTAGCCCAGGAGACTGTTCTCCAAACCGAGAATCGTCCTTTGACTTTACAAATTCTCAGAAGTTCAAATCTGACTTTAGATTTGACCTTAGACCTTCAATGACCTTCAATGACCTTCTCAAGGTCAAAAAGGTCTTTTTTCAACTTGCTTCAAATTGACTAATTTTTTTTCAAAATCATCTACATGTTCTCAGAAGTTCAAATCTGACTTTAGATTTGACATTTGACCTTCAATGACCTTCTCAATGTCAAAAAAAGTCAAAGAGGTATTTTTTCAACTTGCTTCAAATTGACGAATTTTTTTTTCAAAATCATCTACATGTTCTTAGAAGTTCAAATCAAACCTTCTTAAGGTCAAAAGATATTTTCCAACTTGCTTTAAATTGACCAAATTGTTTTAGGTGGTGACATTTTGTCATGTTAATGCCTTGTTGTATGCTGATGCCAAGGGACAAAGGAGCACTGCTTTACCCTACTATCACACCAAACTAGTTTTCACTACGTTCTCGAAAACGGGCTTCAAATGTGTACGAACGGACTGGACGTACCTAGAACCGTTTGGGGTCTATTTACAAACTTCATCGAACGGGTAGGTCCCCTAGAACTTAAAACATGCTCAAAATGTTCTCGTGGTCGATACGTTCTACAATTAGAACGAGTGACAACGTACTAACGACGAGCTGGACGTACTACGAACGGAACCGTCGTACTTCAATCCTACTAGGGACGTTTTAACAACGAGTTGAACTGTCTGAGGACGTATTGAGAACGAGGTAGAACTAATTGCAAACAGGTTTAAACTGATTAAGAACGTATTTAAGACTGCTTATGAACGAGTTGGCAAAAATATAGCTATCACACCAAACAAGTTGTCACTGCGTTCTTCAAAACTGGTTTTAAACTGTGTGCGGACGGAATGAACGTAGCTGCAACTTTCTAAGGTCTATAAACGAACTTCATGAACGTTCTCAGACGGGAAGGTGATTTAAGAATTTTGAATCGATTCAAAATTCGATGGCGACCATACCATTCTGTAATCAGGTCATGATGACCTTCTAGACTAAGGGACGCATTATACGACGTTGCACACCGCCCTGGTGCGACCTGAACGAATTGGGAATGAGATGGACGTATTGAAGACTGTTTATGAACGAAGTAGCTAATTATTTTAGACATATTTCCCGACCACAGCCAGATTGAGCCCGTTTTACGACTTTTTCGTAGAACTGGCAAGAATGGGTAAGAACTAGTTTGGTGTGATAGGGGGGTTAGAAGAAATATCCAAGGTGACACCTGAATTTTAAAATGGCTGCCATTTTTGGTAAAAAACATAATCTTTGATAACTCATATACCAGTTGATGGAATGCTGATACCTCAGTAGAAGGGAGCTGAAATTTTCAAGATGGCCACTATTTATTAAAACATTTTTTGTTAGATGGGATATGCTACTCCTTTGAGTCGCTGTTTTCTAGTTACAATAGAGATTGTATCCCCTTTCGTAATAAAAACATTTAACAAGACAAATAATGATTTTATATTTCCAGGTCTTATAGTGGAATAGTGAACATATACGACACAAACACCTGTTGTACATCAGCCTACCCTACACCTATTAAAGCAGTCACTAATCTGACCACACCCTGTACAGACCTTGTCTTCAATGCAACTACTGAAATACTAGCCATGGCCTCAGATTATACAGAGAAAGCTGTTAAATTGGTAAGCTCCTATGATTCCCACATGTATTCTCTGTTAACCCTTTCCTGCCCAGAATTTTCTTAGGCATGAGAAATATTTCACATGTTACAATAAGTACTTTTATCATCAATAATGTATTATGACTCAGAATTATTGCAATAAATTGAAATACATGTATGTTCAATTCTTATGAATTAAAAACCCAAATTACAGCAAAAATAGAGATATTACAGCTGAGGCTATCAAATAAACACAAAAATTATGTAATCATTCCACTCTGCGAGATTGGACAGGAAAGGGTTAAATGGACTGTTCATATACAAAATAACCCGTAATATCAGATTGAATTCTAGCAAATAGTATATATATGAGAAAATCATCAAAATGAGTCTTATGATGTAAGTTAGAATGCTAATGTAAAGTCTTATGAATTTATTGGTCCATTGTGTAAAGTATTTAGCCATTGTTGTTAATGCCATCAATAAATCATTTATCTATTTTGTCAATGAATGGGGTTAAAAGATTGATATGACTCACAAAACTTTATGGTTTTGTCGTTTTTAGAACGTTACCATTTCACCTCTTTCTAACTTGCCTTTTAAAAACCATTGGCTTTCACCAGTAGGTGTCTATTTTTTGTCTTTATAACTAAGTTCAATTTATTTTCCATTTCAGTTACATTTTCCATCACTGACCGTGTTTTCTAACTTCCCTGAAAGAGGTGATGACTTGAGGATCCCCATGTGTATGGACTTCTCAAAGAATAGTGGTTACCTTGTAGTAGGGGGGCATAAAGGAAGAGCAAGTTTATACAGGTATGTAGTGGGGAGGCTTTATGGAAGAGTGAGAGTAAAAGGGACTGTAAAAGAAATATCCATTTATACAGTTGTATTGTAGGGTGATACATTACGAGCCAGTTCATATAGGACATGTTTGACACTTGTGTCAGCTCATGACCACCATTTCTTTTCCATCAAAATGATTTTAACAAAATGATGTACGTTTTTTCCAGGATGAATCACTTTGGTAACTTCTAAGGTGCTGACAATTACAACAAATGCACGGCTGGTATATGGACTAGTTGGGGGGGGGACAATGGCTCCGTCGGATTGGGTACAGCTCATACATTTTAGTGACTATTTGACCAATCAGGGATTACTCATAGATATTCACTTAAACGTGTTTTCAAAATTAATTGGATATAGATTGTAGAATTACCAAAATTGGTATATGCAATAAAAGCAGAAATAAAAAAAAATTGATTTTATGTTTTTATGAGGTGAACATAAAGATGAACTCAAATTAAACTGAGAGGAGTGCTAGCATACAAATATTTCATACTATTGACATGAATCATTGCTGAATCATTGAAAGTCAAACAGGTATTCACCGAAAATAGTTTGAAATATTTGTTTAATTATTCTATGCTATTGAATGATTTGAAGTGCCATACAGGATATATTCTGCTCGAGAAATTCTGTATTGGAACGAGATGAATTCGAGTGCTCAACTGAACTGACCAATCAGAGGGCTTCATTTTACAGATCATACAATAAACTGTTATATTCCCCATTCTCATATTGGGAAATTACTTTTGTCTTAGCTTTTTTTGAATTATTATTTGATAGATTTTAGATTTACACTGGATGAAAAATGCTACAGCTAATGAATACATTTTCTTATTTTTATGTCTTACATCTTTATGATTTACTCTTCACATTCACAATTTTAACATCTTTCTTGACGAGTTTCCAGTTCATTTTTATGTCTGGGCATTTTAAGTGTGGATCCTCTAAAATGTTCGACGCCAAAGTTGTATGAAAATATTATTTAGAATATAAAGATACAGTGAACCATAAATTCAGGCTCCCTTTACAAAACTTACCTAATGCCAGTAGTAGGTATGGTAGTTGCCGGCTCCACCATCAAGTGGCTAACATGGGTCAGATAACATTGCAAAGGCCCGTAGCCAGGATTTGCCAAGGGGGGTTCGCTTTTTAAAAAGTTCCAGGGGGTTCACTTTGATGGCCCAAAATCACATGAAAAATGCTGAAAATCATGAAAAACTGCATGATTTTGAATATTTTTCGCAATGGGCCCAGGCCTGTTGCAAGGGGTGTTCAAGTGAACCCCCCTGGCCAAATATTCTTTCAAAACCATGCAGTTTTTCATCATTCTGGGCACTTTTCAAGGAATTTTTTAAAAAGTGACCCCCCATGGCAAATCCTGATGTCTCCTGACAATGACATGTCTATGGATGTCATTTTCCATCATTGGTTTAGGTCATATTTCAAGGTCAAGTTCACTCAAAAGGTCAATTTGGAAAGGAAAATGTACAATATATTGAGACTCCTAGACTTATATATTGAACTGCATTCATACAAGAGAAAGACAGTGGATAACATGTTGGCAACATAAAAATAAATAAAATATGGTTACCTTTTTTATTTCCATTTATTAACAAAAGAAGCACAGATCTCTGTGACTAGAAAGATTACAGAAAATATAAATATTTCTATTGAATCTCGGAGATAATAGAACTCCATCAACTTAACCCCCTGCATCCAATGAATAATGTTTATTTCCCAGTTCATTTAATCTCTTATCACTCACATTTAACCTCTTATACCTCACATTTAACCTCTTATCCCTCACATTTAACCTCTAAACAGAACTTCAGTTGAGTTCAAAAATCCAACTTCAAATTCCTCTTCTGAAAATCTAGTGACGGATTCCCGTGCATTAATGCTGTATTCCAAACGCTCTTGCTCAGTCAGTTTAAATATGGCGGCCATCTTTTCGGCATAAGTCTCTTCTGAGTCAGCGAGGAATCCTGTTGGTTTTTCATTATATTCTATGACAATGTCTAGTTTTGGACCCCCGGAGTTGTGGGCTAAAATGACTGTTCCGGCCGCCATCAACTCAACCACTCCTGAAAAACAATTACATACATATACAAGTGATGGGCTAGGTTAGAATTAGCTTCATAATGTGGCTATAGTGTCTCAATGCAATCATTTGATTGATCATAATTTATTTAATAAAATGAAGGTGAAATATCTAGCAATCTGATATGCCGATGTCAAGCAAATATCCTGTTTTTACATACTCTGTAATACAATCATCATATGTTCAATATCATTGAATAAAAAAAAACATTGATCTGTCAAAGGTCTCTTCTAAAATATTGTGCAAGAGAATTGGAATGACAAATTTGAAGACATCATAGATCATAATTCATAGATATTTTCCAACTTTACAAGGGGCCTTTAAAAGGAGACATCCTCACAATTAAATCATTGGAAATAAAGTGAGAAATAGATATGCCGATATGGATGCACTATAAGACATAAAGACAAGGCTGATTCGATTTTATTTTGAAATGCTTTAAACACTTAAAGATGCAGTACTGGTCTTGTACTAAGACATCATTCCCGTCACTGCAATGAGAAAGAGAATTACGTAAGACATTAAAAGAACCTGATGAGTGACTTCCCTTGCATTGAAGTAAACAATCAATGTACTCATTTAATATTTTCAAAAATAGATTTGCACCCTCCTGAAAACTCATTTACATCCACTTGAAAATAAAAGACCGTGAAAAACTGGAATGTTTTTGTCAGACCTGTGAAAATGACAAAATCCTGGGGAGAACACTGACTTTACTTCCGTATTGTACACTAAATCCTGGGAAGAACACTGACTTTACTTCTGTATTTCACACTAAATCCTGGGGAGAACACTGACTTTACTTTTGTATTGCACACTAAATCCTGGGGAGAACACTGACTACTTCTGTATTTCACACTAAATCCTGGGGGGAATATGGACTTTACTTTTGTATTGCACACTAAATCCTGGGGAGGACACTGACCTCTGTATTTCACACTAAATCCTGGGGAGAACACTGACTTTATTACTGTATTGCACACTAAATCCTGGGGAGAACACTGACTTTACTTCTGTATTGCACACTAAATCCTGAGGAGAACACTGACTTTAATTCTGTATTGCACACTAAATCCTGGGGAGAACACTGACTTTAATTCTGTATTGCACACTAAATCCTGGGGAGAACACTGACTTTAATTCTGTATTGCACACTAAATCCTGGGGAGAACACTGACTTTAATTCTGTATTGCCCACTCACCTATTCCAAAATGTTCATTCCACATTGTATGTAATCCCGCTGTTGCCTCAGCCATGTGTTGTTTCAGATCACTAAATGCTACATTAAGTTTAAACTGTACATTGTTCTGTACTTTCAGAACATTACAGAGATCTTTGAGATTATCGACCCTCTGGGCATCCTCGGCATTTCTACAACTCCCAACCAATATAAGTTGATATTTTTCCTTTTCCGTATCATTTCCGTCAACTGAGTCTAAAAATTTGGCAAAAGCTTTGACTTGTAACGGATGATCCTTTTCAGGTCTGAATTGAGCGATTGATACTATACTAAGGGGTCCTTTTGTATTTCGCTCCAAGGGAAGCTCGAGGAATGCTTTGGTATCACATGGTGGGTATACGACATGAGTGGTTTCGCACGATGTCCATAAATCAACGATATGTCCAAATGTCCATGTAGAGTTGACCATTATGACATCACAGCGCTTGCCTGCCATACCATATAGATATGCAAATAGTTTATAATAAAGAAGCTTTCCATAGCTCAGAACGGGGCTTCTTGAAATGAACCCAGCATTGTTGTAGGTAGCCGTACGCTCTTGGACTCTCGTTAGCATATCCGTGCTGATAGTAGGGTAATGTACGTAAGCTCCAACCTTGCACCCACCCATGAACTTAAATAATGGAATTGTGAATGCGTAACCCATTGTATCAATATACACATCTGGAATGTAATTCAACATGGCCTCCCATGCTAAGATAACGGAACCAACACTCTGCCCTAATAATGTAAAATATGGGTACATGTCCGCTTCAACTAAATGGCGTTTTTTCAGGAAGACAAATTCAACATCTTTCGGAACTTTAATATTAAACCTTTGTTGCGCTTTGAGTAGAATTTCAGAGCCTGTGGTATTTGCATCTCCCGTGTAGACAATGCAGCGTACAAATGGATACCTGGAAATAGAAATAAAAGAGACATTGAATTACAGGCTATCAAGAGCCATTTTTGCATAAATTATGCCATAAATGTGATTTGGAACCATCAGACAATTAATGTTTCCTGCAACCCCCATCTATTCTTATTTTCACAAAGAATGGGGAAATGTCATTTGAACATTCAATCAAAAGATTTTAATTTTGAACAATGTATTCGCCCACATGTAAATATTTATGTCATTTCAAAATTACAACCTTGAAAATTACAAAAGATTCGTCATGCAGATCAACCTTAATTGTTGAATTTTTGGTCCCAGTTGAATGTTAGGTAAAACTCAAAGCATCAAAAAAACTTAAATAAATTATGAAATAAATTCGAGGACTCACCTATTTTGCAAAGCCCTAATAGCGCACCATAAGACCCTCTCTCCCCCGCCCCCCGCATTACAGTACGGATGGAACAAGCCCACAGTTACGACCTTTTGCCTTTCACCCTCTGTAAGATGGAGCAGTTTGGATTTGTTGCGTTTTCTCAACCAGTACTTCAGGAGAAAATATATGATGACAGGTACTGGTATGAACAACACACACACTGGAACCACGTAACTCATCATGACTGAGAGGATCCTGAAAATACAAAAAAATAGAACAAAATACATGATAATGGTAATGGACGATATTTATTGAAACAGCCACTGAAAATGTATTGTGTATTGCTAATGAAACCCCTGCACATGTATAACACAAGCTCATGGGCCAAGGTACAACTACAATGTTCATGTACGGTGTCTTATGGTCTCTCTATAATAAATGCAGAAATGAATCAGAGCCTGTCGACTGATTTGACAAACTTTGATTTTGGATGTAATAATACATTTTCTTGGGCTTACGAACAAGCAAAACTGTTACAAGGTCACTCATCCAGCAAATGACAGATCTGTAGTTTAAAAAATTAATCAATAATTAAATCAAAGCTGCACTATGAAAAACTGTCAATTTAGTAAATTATGAGTTTTAATGTAAATTATATGTAAATTATTGATAGCAGCATAGGCCAAGGGAAAAGTGATAGTAAGCTTTATACACCTTTACTATTACTTTTCCCTTGCCCTATGGATAGCAGGGTATCTTACAACCCTTGGGCATGTCTGTTTGGAAAGCTGCAGTGTATCGAGCCAGAGGGTTTGTGTAAAAACCGGCCTCAAAACGCCCAACTGACATCCCAATCAACGTACCAGTGACACAACCAATCAAGCAAACAACCAAACAAGCAACAAAATTTATGTCAACCGGCAAAACGACAAACAAAATTAATATAATGTCAATCAGTGAGGCAATAAATCAAGCAACTAACGTTGTATTGTACATTGTACACTAATTAACAGATAAAAACGGCAAATAACGTTTCAATTTATGCGTACGTAAATCTTCCAGATTTGTTTAATATCTAGTAGAAATTGCCATCATAGAAAACAATCATCGATATCCTGTCAATCACTCAGACAATAAATCAAGCAACTAACGTCATTGTATGTGTAAACTGTGTAAATAACTACATAGGACTTCCAAAATTCAGTCTCTTACAGGTTCTTGGTAAAATGATAACGTAAAAATATTGAAGGGTAGATCTAGTCTACAAATGTGCAACTTTGAAATAAAATTAACGTAAATTTCGTAACAAATGCGTGATATATACACATATTTTGTACCAAATGCGTGACATAAACTGCAATCGCGTGCAAAGACCGGACGGAATGCATTCGCTTTTTTCGCCGTTCGGTTTTTTACTGTATCGGCATTTCACAAAAAACGATATTTAAAAATATCAGCAAGATGCGTGATATTTGATCATCCACGCTAAATTGATGCGTGATTTCTATTTTTCCAGCAAATGCGTGACAATAACGCCTAATGCGTGAGGGTTGACAGGGCAGCATACAGGACCCTACATTCACAAGTCAGACCCTCTACCTCTGAGCCATAACGGCTACCAATACAGCTGAGACTGTGGAAACGGGTCGGGTATTGCGTTCCCCTCCCCAAATCACCAGAAGATTGGATGTACTAACAGTGTATCTTTGCCCCCCTCCCATCTAGTCTAATCCCGGAAGTGCTAGATCTAGTCTGTAGATAGATTATCCTCCACAGGTTTTCAGTTTCATTTTTTACCTATACATGTTGATATGAGACATAACTTGGCTTACATGGACTTCAGATAAGCTGAGCTACTTTGCCTTTATGTCATGTACAAAGTATTATATGCGCGCTAATCTGTGAAACATGATAAATACCTGAAATAATCCTTCAACATTTCAATCAAGCAACACAGTCCCATTTTTGCCAACGAAATGTGACCCGAAAGAACTGTAATTATGAGTTACGACCCGAAAGGTAAAGATATGAACACAACACAATTTAAATTACACTGAGATTTCTCTGAAACTGGCAGATATTATTGAAAATTAAACATACATACATTTTCATTGACAGTCTATCAACCTAGTATTCTCAAGGTCAAGGTCATATCACTTCCGTAATCGAATGATTGATTTAGCTTTGCGTTCACAATGGGCGAGTGACGTAAGAAGGAAATGGTGGATACATTTCAGAACAAGGAAATTTGAAATAATATTTTTACAATCTACTCCTGAATGTTAGTATTTTAACCATCAGACAAGCTACTACAAAGTAAGTATTTTTCTCTTTTCATAGTGAGTTAGTATGGCAAGTAGACACATTCTCCATCCAGTGGTAAATTTAGGTGAATATGAAATTTCTTCACTTTTTTTAATTTTTCAACTTTCCTGCATACAGACCTTGAGATTTAGTTTAGCCTAGACCTTGGCTAAGTCAAATTTCAGACAGTTGTAAAAATGATTTGATTGTTGAATGAGCTGACAGCCCTTAGTATTTTGTCGGTTATGGTCTAATGCCGTAGATTACGGCATGGCCTTTCAAGAGAAGCCCATGATTACGGGTACAAAAAACTGAATAATTGACGGACACAAAACTGAGTTCACAGGTATATCTAACAGAAAATGAAATGAAGGCTCTCAATCTAAGATGACGGGTACCAGCAGAGACTGAAATGAGGAGGATCAAATACTAATATGACTTACTCGAGGCTAGAAGACCTAGAGCATGTGGGCCACCATGCACTATTGAAAACGATCATACAGAGTAAAAATTATTTATGTGTTATTTTAAAAATCATATGTTCAACGTCAACGACAAAAACTGGACGAACATTTAGTTAATGTCTGACATTATAGCTGGCTGTAAATTCAAAGTAGCGATCTAAAAGACTTGAACTAATACACTGATCACTTCCTGTGTGTTTTGAAAGTTTTTGTGAGGTAATAAGACCAAAACTCGCAATTCAAATTGTGAAGTGAAAAAATGGTGGCTGATTGATTTCAAATTTTATGATCACGACATGCCTCGTTATGAGGCAGAACAAAACACACATGGATTTATGCATGCCGTAAGGCTGCAATATAATAGAAACCTTAGACTAAGGTAAGATATGACTATACGATTTTTCTAAATCTTGCCGGTAGGGGCTTCAATAGAGGTGATAAAACGATTAAGAAAATCTTTTTCTGGCTTTAGTTTAGAGATGATTGTATTGTTTGAAACCTTCTCTGATGATTTGCTAAATGGAATTTTGTGTTTCATTGTTTTTAATCACGTTTGAATAAACAATGATTTTAGTCTCAGGGGTCGTAAATTCACCCCAACACAGACGATGTAATTGCTTGTTTAAGCTACGTTCACACCAACGGCGAATGCCACGCTTTAAATCGGCGAGCAAAGCGCCGTCATTTTTGTCATTTTCTTCATACCAACGGCGCTTTGATGGCGCTTTAAAGCGGCTTGTAAAGCGGCACCAAAGCGTAACAAAGCTTGATTAAAGCGTCGGGGTCGTAATAGGTCGTAGAAAAGCTCAGAGTAAAGCGGGATATTCGGCAAGAGCGCCAAAAAAATTTTAACTTTTTAAAAATTTTGGGCGCTCTGTTACGAATCGATTAAGCGCCGAGAGCGTATCAAAGCTTAACAAAGCTCAGAAAAGCTTGATCCAAAACGAAGGAAAGCTTACCACAGCTCTAAAAGGTTCCCCACGCTTTGATCCCGCTTTGATCAGGCTTTGTTACGCTTGAAATCACGCTTTGATAAGCTTTGATAAGCATTATTACGCTTTGATGCGATTATGACGCTTTAAATCAGGCTCTGATACGATTGCAAAACTCTGTTGTGCATTGTTACGCTCTGTTAAGCTCTGTCACGCATTGGAAAATGTCGAGATCGCCGATTCCATGCCGCTTTTGATCCAATGACTATATAAAGATGCAGTAGATCCATAAAACCATTGCATCTTTGACTCGAGAACACGATGGCAGAACAACGAGATCCAGAAATTCCAGATGGACCAGAGCATGACCTATCTGAAGAAGACATGACGTTTGTCGCACGGCGTGATATAGCGTGTGGAAACTTGTCAAGCGTACAGCAAAGCGTTTCAATCCTTGATTAAAGCGTCTCAATTCATTGGAAAGCTTGAGAGTCCTTCATGAAAGTGTAGCAAAGAGTGTCAGATATTGATGATAGCGTCTGACCTCGTGTCAGATCTTCATGCCAGATCGTAGCAAATCTTGAGACATCTTAACGAAGCGTGTCAAGTGGTAATAGACCGTGAACAGACTGGGGTCCCCGCTTTGAACCAAGCTCTGTTAAGCTTTCCTACGCTTTGAGTCAAGCTTTGTTGAGCTTTGTTACGGTTTGTTAAGCTTTGATACGCTCTCGGCGCTTCAATCAATTCGTAACAGAGCGCCCAAAATTTTTAAACAGTTTAACATTTTTTGGCGCTCTTGCCGACTATCCCGCTTTACTCACAGCTTTTCTACGACCTATTACTACCCCGACGCTTTAATCAAGCTTTGTTACGCGTTGGTGCCGCTTTACAAGCCGATTTAAAGCGCCATCAAAGCGCCGTTGGTGCGAACGTAGCTTGAACAGTTTACATTTTTAGTGCTCTTGCCGAATATCCCGCTTAATTCCGAGCTGTTCTACTACCTATTACGACCCCGACGCTTTAATCAAACTTTGTTACGCTTTGGTGCCGCTTTACAAGCCGCTTTGAAGCGCCATCAAAGCGCCATTGGTGTGAACGTAGCTTTAACTGTAACTTTGATGTTGATTCCCAATTGAATGATTCGGAAAGTAGTTCACCCATAAAGACAAGGTTGATATATATGGAATCTAAACATAGCAATATATTGACATCTTTTAGATGACTCCCTGGAAGTCCCTATGAGCATTCTGGTCTTATTTTATGTCTTGTCAATTGTTAGATCCATAAGACATACATGCAGGCCTACGAGTGCATTATACATCTAGACTGAGATTGAATCTTAGAATTTTAAAAATTGAACCCTTCAAAGACTAGATCATGTCCCACGTATGTGGGTACATAGGTACGAGGTTCTAGGTTTTTTATACAAAGCTTTTGAAATTTGTATGAAGATACATTCAAAGTCGGCTGATGAACCTTTAAAACTAGCCATGCTTAGACTGGGGATTGAAAGTGGATCACAATCTTTTTCAGCTAATCTTTATAGTCAATATCCAAAATGGCTACCCTAATCATGTGCTATATTTTGTGTTCAACTTCACTTATACAGTGCTTCCGCAGGCCTGGCCCACACTAATTTATCACTAAACTGTGACCCCTGTCATAATGTTTAAATAAGAGTGGGTGAGGCCTGTGGAAGCAATGAACCGTTCGAATATACTGTATAAGCCACCTTGATACAACAAGGAAGTGAAAAATACACTAAAACTTGCCTCTCTTGAGAAAGCAATCGGGGGTTGTTCCGAGGTACCTAGTGATATTTTTAGCTATAATGAGTCAGGGAGAATATACAATAATGAACTAATGGGGATGTTGAGTAGAAATACTTACGATAAAAGGTGTTATTACTGATGTGTTATACTGAGATGACGGCTGACGGGTGACCCACATGCATATTACTGATCATAGATCTTGAGCTGACTTGACAGGCAGCTTCAGTATTTTATGGAAAGGTATTCAGTTCACACCGGAATAGCCTGACTACGGTAAAGTCAGATACCGTTGTCACAAATGGCGTAGTCAGGCTATTCCGGGGTGCAGTTGACATATAGTCACTCCCAAGTTAGATATTGACTAACCAAACTGACAACAAAAATCTGACAGAAGTCGAAACCATTTTCGAGGTACAAAGGTAACCCAATGTAGTGATCTCCAGCAAAGTTCATTTGCCTTGTGGGCCCTCATTTATATATCTTAGAATTTTGGGGCCTCTGATGGTAGTCACAAGTCACAACCCTGATACTCTGACTCACGTTGTTGAAGTGGCAGTAAAACTGGCCACATAAAAGTAAATATTTCAGTCTCAAGTAGACATAGACACATTTGTTTTATGTTTTGACATATAATAGCATTCAATATTTGTTTTAAAACAAACTATTGATGATTTGGGGAATACATGAGCTCATGTTAACACTCCATTCACTGACGGATCTGGAGGGAGGGGGGGGGCAGGAGTCCGGGCCTTGATTTCATGATCCGCCCCTGGCATTTAACAAAAGAGTATTCACAAACATATCAACAGTCACTTTCTTTTATGCTATATTTACTGTATACATATATAAATAAAACTGAGGATAGACTTTGTACATACATAGCATTTAATGCTGAGTCATATTTAAACTATAAATCTAAGCTTTATCATGTGGATAATATATATCTATGTTGTCAACAATTATACATTTATCACTTACTTATTTCTGGCCAAAATTGGAAAATAACTAGTATGCACTTTTATACTAGTCAGTGATCTCCCCAGCATTTAAGCAAGTGGGCGCAGCACCCACCAGAGATTTTGAAAATAGACTTGCACCTTGCATCTATTTGGACCCACTTAAAATGAGAAAAATCATGAAAAATTGTGAATTTTTACCAATTTTGGTCTGGATTATGAAAATGAGATTTTTGCACCCACCTGAGAAAGAATCCTGGGGAGAACACTGCTAGTTATATAATAATTAGAGAATATGATAACAAATGATTTTGATATCAAAGACTTTTCTGATACTCATACATCTTTCTGTTTCATGAGAAAGATGCTCTAATTACGAGACATCATTCTCCTTGATTTAATAACAAAAATAGTTTTGCAAGCTGGTGACCTGTTGGACCTTTTTAAATAGATTTCACATCCTAGAAGCATATCAATTCAGAAAAAATTATGGAAAATCTTAAAGATTATACCTGTGTCTCTATTCATCGAGCAATTTATTTGTTAATTTTTCTTATGAAAAACTAAATTTGTAGATTTGTTGATCTGATGAAATCTGATACATATCTAATATAGGCATATATTATAGGTAGTCTAGTGTAAAATTATACATATATATATATTATTTATTCTTTTTATGTATTACACTTTTTTGTACCTGACCCTCACGGGTGTGAATGTACTCAATAACGATTCTATAATTTTTTTTTTTGAGTCACAATTATCTCAAACAGACACCATTGGGTACCACAGTGCATCATAAGGATTTTAGCCATGTTGGTCAACGCTGGACTTCTGACCAGTTGGAATGTAATTTTCCTGTACACCCTGAAAAATGAAGCTAAAGAGAAACTGTTTAGGACCTCTGGATCAGTGCTAATTACACACCCTGTATATGTATTCCTTATATATTTATTTCTGAATTTATATTCCAGTGTATTTATATATTATTTTTTATTGACTTCTGTTAATTTTTCCAGATATCTGACTCAAAACAGATAAGAGACTAAGATGGCTGAAGTTGCAGTTATCTCAGTGGAGGGAATGATGTGCCACAATTGTGTTGATAAGATAGAGGCACATCTTATGGCCATTGAGGGTGTAAAGGCTGCCAAGGTTAGTGGTTTATTTGAACAGGCCCGTAGCCAGGATTTGCCAAGGGGGGGTTCATTTTTCAAAAATTTCCAGGGGGGTTCACATTTGACAATTTTGGCCCAAATATGGCTAAAATCACTTGAGAAGTGCTCAAAATGGTGAAAAACTGCATGATTTTGAAAGAATTTTTGGCCAGGGGGGGTTCGCCCGAACCCTGCGAACCCCCCCTGGCTACGGGCCTGTTGAAGCAATACAATACTAAATGAAACAATACTAAATGTAAATAGACATATAGATAGAGGCGCATCGTATGGGCATTGAGGGTGTAGTCTAGTGATTACTAAATGTATGAATGATCTCTCAGTATTAATGTAAATCAGCGATCTGTGCCCACTTGAGATCAGAAAGAAAGGCTTTCACCCACCTGAAAATTCATTTGCATCTTTATGTTCTTTGAATTGAGAAAAATCATAAAATGTGGCATATTTTCTCCAAATTTGGCTTGAATTGTAAAAATAAGCATTATACAGTCACTCAAGTGAAAGATCCTCGGAAATATACTGTGTATGCATATATCTTTGTAGATTTTTTCCCAACTGGTTCAACAATGTTTCATTTTCACTGATTTTAACTGAGAAATGCCTAAAACTGATCAAAATCTCTAATTTGTTATAACCCAGGAGGATTCAAAGCATTTCAAATTTTCAATTTGTTGCAGTACTTGGAAGCTCAATTAATTAGTACTAATTAATTAATTATTAATTAATAGCATCTATCCTTTCATTATGTTTAGACATACATTAGCTGAGAAGCACTGAATCCAGTATGTAATTAAATTCTTAAAGCGCTTAATTATGTCAAAGTCGGTAATTTATTGACGAGTATAATCAGATCTCATTCAAACAGATACATAATAGTATCGATTGGATTTTTGTTTTCATTGATACAATGTAAATATAAAATTGGCATATTTTATGATATGCATTTACACTTTTACAAAGGTATTTTGTAATATATTTTTCCATTCATAAATTTAGTTGATCAATATTTAATAATTCATGTTTAAACATTTGTTTATTTTTGCATTGAGCATCACTTCAAATGCATGAACTCTTCAATATCATTTTTTTGTGGGACCCCCCTCAAAGCTTGTTCACTTCGCTTCCTCATGGCATATACTCACATAATACCCATGCTATGCCACTGATATACATAAATGTAGTCCAGTGCATTTGTGTATCAAAAAAATAAAATATTTTACAGTCTTAAGACTAAAGGATTTTCTCAAAAGTTTTACTCATAACCTAATTGAGATTTTGACACCATTCTGCTCTTGCATCTTAAAGACTTAAGAATTTCAAGTTCAATGGATGGACTGGCCTGTTCGACCAACTCATCAGTACAAGATGACAACAATATAAGCACTTTTCATTACATGCAATAAAAATCTTAAAAATTTATATCTTCTAGGGGAGGACATTTTAAATTATCCATGTCTCATCATCATGGTAAACCATGACATCTCATTTCTTCTCAGCCCTGAAACAGAAAGATGCTAACAGAATGATGTCTCATATTTAGTTAACTCGTTTTGCATTCATTCTCCAGTCATCCAGAACTATCTATTTAGCCTTTTATTAACATCAATACATGTGTATTTAAATAAACACATGATTTATATTTTTAATATGAAATAACAGGAGGATAATTGCATCTTGATCTACCAAGTTCATTGCAACCTGTATTCACCCTTTAATGTTATGAAATTGGGATCATATTTCAAAACGAATTGTTATGTGTAATTGAATGAGTGAGTAAAGCAAGGTATAAAACGAGAAATATTATACATGTAATACAATCTATATAATGTTAGAATGCTACAAAATTCTATGCATGGTTTTTAGATAAGAAATAAAGAAATATTACAAGCCCCAGAGGAGTTCCGAGAGATATCCACACCCCTGTGTCTTTATCCCAAAATGCAAATGGCAGATAAGAGGGGCTCTGGCATATCAGAATGGAGGAGTTCTTTATGCTGGGAGATTTATAATCCTGTTTGAGGTGCAAACTGAAACGTGAGGTAACTCACATTATCCTGATGTTAATTGATATCCAATTTAGAATGATGGACTCCTTTCCTTCCATGATAAATACACACATTACCATGGTTATCCTTGATAGAAATATCTAGACTTCCTGGCTTCAACGTCCTTTAAAGGGAGAAGCTTGCAATGCATTTCTCAATTCTAATGTCAAAGACAAATTTGGAATAATTTGGCAGAATTTATTTTTGATTTGACTGGATGCCTTTGAGCATGACTAGTTAAGTATGGATTTAATGGAAGTTTATGAGGAGATCTCTGCTGGAATGTCTCCTAAGGAGATTCCTTGATATGGAGAATAAGAATGACTGTAGATATACAAAATAATGTATTTTCATAACAATGATACACCTTGAATTTGCCAGATGATTTAAGAATGATTTTTTCATTTAGATGTACACTATGTACAGTAAAACCTGTCTAATCCAAATGCCTCTCGGACCAGGCAAAAGTGTTCGGATTAGTATGTTCACATAAACATGTATGGCTAAGTCAATGGCAAATTTGAGATTTGAGATCAAGTGTTCACATTGAGATGTGTTGGGATGAGACAGGTGTTCATATACAGGTTTCACTGTATTTAGTTAAACACTTTATATTAGTAAATGATAATTAATAGACAATATAAAGGAAAACCATGTCTTTTATTAGTCTCAATATGGTTTGGATTAAACAAGTTTTTCTGTATATGTATATTGTACACTTTTCTTCATGATCATTGAATATTACATATATGCAAAGCAATGTTTACCCTGAAAGCTTGCATCTCTATGTTACTCCTGAAATGAGGTTATTAGTACATGTTTTATCACCACCTATTGAAAACTAAGTACAATTTCATTATTTGCCCTGGACCAGGGTGGATAATGACTACTATAGCCTGGCACTATGGATCCACCTATTTCTCAAATCAATATAGTAGGTGGTAAGGTAGTAAGTTGTAAGGTAGTGATAATACGTGGTCTTATTTCGAGAAAATTAGCCTTATTAGAAAAAAACATTCAATTAAGTAAACATATTATGAGTGTTTTATATAATCACGGAGTAATAACTGATATCATGAACAAATTACATGAGAATGACTCGTGACATTGCAGCTGGCTCAGTAACATTCAAACCTCAGAAAATAGTTCCATGTGGTGTTTAAAATTGATAATTAAGAGTGGAAAAGAATGAAATGAGCAAATATAAATATTGTGATTTGTACGCAATACTCAGAATTGTGGGAAAATGCTAGAAAATTAGACACTTTATTCAAATTCGGAGAGAAAATAAGAAAAAGGTATGAGCAGACGGACATTATCCTTGTAGGCAGTTATTTAGATAGAACCTTTTACACATCAATAAATGACCACATACAGTAGAACTTGTACATCCGAACACCTACCTAATTTGAACATCCTTCAATGTGAACACATTTTCTCAGTCCCAATTTTTAATCTCCCATTGACTTTAATATCCAGAAACCTTAAAATGTGAACACCTGCTAATCTGAACACTTTTGGTCACTTCTGGTAGCATTCAGATTAAACAGGTTTTACTGTATATGGTCACAACATATTTAGTTCATAACGGATGATGATAAGTAATTTAGAAATTGAAGGAATAATAGATATTAATACACACAAATATTTATGTATAGGATGCTTATCTCAAAACAGCAAAAACAATGCTTCGGATCCTGGAATCAGTCCTCAATCTTAGTAAATTAATACAAAGGGCAACTTAAGGCTTGGCTCGGACGTGCATTTCTGCATGTATGGATTTGATACTAAAGAAATATTAACTGGATAATAGCTGATCGATTATGACTTCAAATATATAAACAAACTTATATATTGTGTTAATTGATTCGGAGAATTATATCAAGAAAGTTTATTCCATATTGCGATGTAAGGCGATGTTAATGTTTTGTGATTAGTAAAAATTCATGTTCTATTCGAACTTAATTTCATGAAACATAGGAGGAAACAAGTTTTTGTACAAAAAACACTGAATTGATGAAAATCATATAAACAATATGAAAGAAAGGAAAATCTGCCATCTTAAGGAAAGAAACCATACAGCATTTTGGTTGGTGAAATTAAATGTAAAATAACCTGGATTAATTGACTTAATAACCAATAACCACAAGATCAATACAGATAACCCAGGACAAACCATTATATGAACAATCATACTTAATTGAACTTAATGGGAATATGAATGTACTATAGATCGTGTCAGAGTCAATAATGTAAATATACAAGTACAAAAGAATTGTAAATAATTTATCGGCACATTCACACATGATCAACAAGTAGGTCAATATCGTAAAAAAATGATATTAGGAACGAAGGAGTGATATTGTTATTACAAGAAAAAAGTTGTATTAAAAGTATAGGAAAAATATCAGCTCAAGCTCAAAATGAATAAAAGTAATGTATCATGAAATAAAGGAGATATTACATCATATTATTCAATGCATGAAGTACAGTAAAACCTGTATAACTGAACACTGCTATAATCGGAACACCTCTCAATATGAACACCTTTTCCAGTCATTGTGGTTGGCATCTGTAACAAATGGCAGGTGCTGACATTATGCATTAAATGCCTTGTTTAATAGCTGGCATAAACTTCCGTGTTAAAAAATCTTAAAATGTGAACACCCTATCGAGCATTAGCAGAACACTTTTGGTCGGTTTCTGTGGTGTTCAGATCAGACGGGTTTTACTGTACATGTATGTAATATAATGGTGTAATGTTGTGACTACATGAACTGGAAATGTGAGAATGGTACAGTTGTACTCTTATTGATCATCAAAGACTTGAGTTAGGACTAAGAGGAACATTACGCTTTAGATACAGTTGTACTTCTTATTAATCATCAAAGACTTGAGTTAGGACTAAGAGGAACATTGCACTTTAGATACAGTTGTACTTCTTATTAATCATCAAAGACTTGAGTTAGGACTAAGAGGAACATTACGCTTTAGATACAGTGGTATTTCTTATTAATCATCAAAGACTTGAGTTAGGACTAAGATGAACATTACGCTTTAGATACAGTGGTACTTCTTATTAATCATCAAAGACTTGAGTTAGGACTAAGAGGAACATTACGCTTTAGAGTGCTACTTCTTATTAATCATCAAAGACTTGAGTTAGGACTAAGATGAACATTACGCTTTAGATACAGTGGTACTTCTTATTAATCATCAAAGACTTGAGTTAGGACTAAGATGAACATTACGCTTTAGAATTGAGATCAATTGACATATCAAGGAGATGTTTGTATTATTTGCTATCTGCTGTCAGTGTTAATAATGCCAGTTCAGTTGAAAAAATATCAATTTCTATGGAAACAATAAAATTATTTCATCCTGCTTTGTGAGATAAGAGAATATTTGCTGTTTGAACACCGGATATTAGAGAAGATCAAGTTAATATGAAAATGAAAAAGTACCAAGTATAGTTTTAGAAGGAGATGGAAAATTACAGGAAACCCCTGGCAGTGTTAGTTGAAAAATATGACTATTGAATAAAAAATGAGAAATAATTGTGTCTGAGGAGAAATGGTGAAAGTACATGTTAAGAGTAAATATGAGGATGTTGACTATCAAACAGTGCCTTTGGTAAGTAAGTTGCATTCATATCAGAAATATATGCCAAATATGCCTATTAGTGCTTTTAATGCCAGTATTCTCCCAAAGGTTTTCAAAATTCTCATGGATGGTGAAAAGTGAAAAGCAAAATTAACTTTATTATGGATAAACCCCTCCTCCCCATAAAAAGGAAGAAAAATATCTTGCATTTCACTTGAATTTTAAAGAAATTAATATATTCTTCATTAATTAAATCATCATTTACCACCTTCCTTCTGATAAAACTGATCTTCATTTCTTAAATATTTACATTCTTTTTAATGGAATCATCATTACCCCCCCCCCCCCCCTCTTATGAAACTAATTGACTGTTCACATCTATTGACATTTGACCACCATCCCTTTACTCTTTCTTAGATTGTCACAATGAAGTCCAAAACATTTTCTGTGATAAAATGTTCACCACATGTATTTTACATGTACTTTCAGGTATCACTACAAAACCATGATGCAGTTGTACAGTATGATTCCACAAAGACTAACACAGCCTCTCTCGTTGCAGGCATTAATACACTTACTAGCCTGGATGGCCAAGGTAAGGCCAAGCAAAAATAGTTCTGTTCTTTCTTTATTTTATTTGGGGAATTTACTTGGACATAACTTATACATGTTAAATAAAACATATACATTTGATGGCTTCACTGAATCAAGTATAATAGAATTATAAGTCATGTAAGATTACCTGTAAGATTACCTCTGGATATCTGCAGGAAGAAGTGTTCATACTCTTACAAGAGTTAATCTTATTGAAGTCAAGTTATTTCAACAGGTATATGGAAGTTGAAGGTAAATAAAATAAAATAAATTTCAGGGGCAAAGCCCCAGCAGGATCTAAAAATAGCCTGCCTGGACCCCCCCCCCCCCCCCCCCCCGGCTACGGGTCTGGAGGTAAACAATGCAAGTCGACAATGTTTTGAATTTGAAGCAGCCAATTGCAGAACTTTTGTAATATGTAATATAAATAATGCACAATTGAACTTATTCTTCTTATTCTAGCATTTCTGGCCTCAGAGATAAGTCAACATTACTCGGATACCATAATTGGTATAGATGGCATGACATGTATGTCCTGTGTGCGTAACATTGAAGGAAATATCAGCACAAAGCCTGGAATAAAGCTGATTAAGGTGAATGATTTACTTTTAATAAGGCAGATATTTTGACACATGTTTATAGTCTCCACCTTTTTTGTGGCATGGAGGTCAGGGGTTGGTGTTTGGTGGTTGATGTTTGTTGTCTAACAAATGACAGGGGTTGACATTTTGCATGTTATACCTTGTTTTCATTGTAATACTGCAGTATCTGTTGTCTTTATCTGTTTGTAAATGTAACCTATGACCTGCAGCAATAAACATGCCAATCTAAGTTGAATGCACACCAGCATACTATTAGAAACAAGTATAAAACAAGAAGATGTTTTTTTATTTAAAAAATCTACAGCTACGATAATTCTTGAAGCCTTATAATGAACGCATACATGATATCAAATTTTTATTTTAATGTATAATTTTGTTATAAACCAACAATAGGTATCATTGGATGAAAAGCTTGCTAGGGTCAAATATGACTCGCAGCTGATGGAGCCAGAGACAATACGTGAGATGATAGATGACATGGGATTTGAGGCTGTGATTGGTCCACTGATTAAGCCTGTAGTGCCACCTATTATTGATGTCCCGAATGTACCACAGACAACAAGGGTCTTAGTTGAAGGTAGGAAAGGGATTTTATTTTTGGATTAGAAGTGTGTGAAGATATATGAAGACATCTACTGGGAACTTGACTGGCATTTCTTGCATTTATCTTGTCATCTACTGCTACATCATAATTGCCCTTCATACGTTTTTGCATTTTTGTACTGTTTGCATAATATTACTGTGAATAGCAATGGCGAAAAATGCAGACTACATAATCTGATTTGGACAAGGTAAGGGGCATTATGGCACTCAGGACAGATATGTATTATATTAACCTTGGAATAATCTCAATATCCTGAAACTTTTATAGGATAATCTAGATATATTTTGTCCGTCACTTTTACAGGTATGACTTGCCAATCCTGCGTGAAAAATATTGAGATGAACATATCTGAACGTCCTGGAATTAACGCAATTAAGGTCTACTTGGAAGCCAAAGAAGCCATTGTGACCTTTGACCCGACGTTAACCGACCCAGAAAAGATCCGAGAGCAGATTGATGACATGGGTTTTGAGGCTAAATTACCAACTGTGTCGCATAAAGCTGTTTTGGACGAGTTTGATGTGCTAGCACAAAGGAATGTAGGTGGCGTCACTGAGGAGACATGTACTGTTAGCATAGAGGGAATGACGTGCCAGTCATGCGTAAAAACTATTGAAATGAATATCGGAGAGAAACCAGGTATGTTTTGTGTTTTGAAAAAATTCTGTCACATGAGCTCGTTACAAGTCAACTTGTATAATATCGTTTGATGATAAATTAACAACATTCAGTTTTTCTTTCGCTATGTCACTTGATTTTCAGCTGGTAATCATGACAATTTTTATTTCAATTCAAGCTCAATTTTGTGTTCATTTCCGTTGCTCAATCTTGTCATGAATATATATGTAATTTATTGTTTCCAAAATCGTATGATCGTTACAGAGAGACCAAAGAGGAGAGTCACATGTATGTTTGTGAGAACCTCTTTAACTGGGTAACTGCTGGAATCCCTCATTTAGTTTACTTATTTAAGCACACAGTAGACTATGTAAGACAGTCATCAGGGTATATTCACTTACATACATTCCTTTCTTTGGTCTTAATTCCTTGATCATTAAGTTGAAGTTTGAAGAATATTTAAGATAATTGAAATTAAAGAGTTATCATTCTGACTTACCATTTATGTTATCTTTTTGATATATTTTCAAAGGTATACTTAGTATTAAGGTGTCTCTGGAAGAAGAAAGGGGTGTGGTCCGCTACAAGACATCTGATTGGTCAGCAAACAAGGTCGCAGAGGCGATAGATGATATGGGATTTGATGCTCGTGTTATCGATGGGAGAGAATCAAATATACCATGTAATTTAAATTTATTTATTCCAAAATGTATTTTATTTTTTGGGATCCAAATAGTTCAAATTATTATTATTTATTTAGCCATATGTTGGATGAAACTTTCCATCTTTCAGTCATTTTAACAATGAAAACAAAAGATTTTAGTCATAAGCTTAGTTATATTAAACCATTTCTCTAATACGCTTCAGCAACGAAGACTGTGACCATTTCCATAAAAGGGATGACGTGTCATTCCTGCGTGAAGACAATTGAATCCAACATGGCCGACAAGCCTGGTGTTACCTCGATAAGGGTGAATCTTGCGAGTGAAATAGGTGTCATAGTGTATAATGACAAGAAAACAACTCTTAGCGAACTGAGGGAGATGGTTGATGACATGGGATTTGATGCCAAATTACCTCCAGGTAACATTTTCGAATCTCAAGAATCCGTATCTGTATTTCTCTTCATTTACCCCAACATGATCTCAATACATAATGATATGTAAATTCACTCGTCAATGACCCTATGGAATTGGGCAAGTATTCCTCAGTTTCTTTATTTGTCCATCAACATTGCTGTTGGAAATTGAAATTGCTATTTGAGTTAGGTTATATAATGCTAGTTTATTTTAAGTCGATATATGGCCTAATTTTTACCCAACAATTTTGATTAAAGCTCGAAAAGAAACATTTGTTTTAATTCTCCTTCAATAAATACACACATTGCTTTTAAGCACTTAATTAACCAATAAACCTATGGATATGCATCTTTATAAGATGCTTCAAATGGATATGGAAACATGTTGATTGCATTTTTTTAAATTTTATATTTCAGGAGAAGAGAATATGAATTCAGCTGCCATCATTCCATCCATTGAAATAAGTGGCTTGAATGGGTCATCACATCCAGATAGTCTCAAAGCAAGTGGTTCATCCAAGCTAGATAGTCTCAAACCCTCTGGGAGCAAAGTATCACTGCAAAAACTGGACAAATCTAGTCCAAATGGTAAGTTGATCTTCGACAATGTGATGTATTTCAAGTTCCACCAAATTGAATGTTAGTTTCATCAAGTATTTCCAGACTCCACCAGAGTAAGGTTTTAATTTCAAAGAGTATTTTCAGGTTTAAACAGAATACAATTTTAATTTCATGGAGTATTTTCAGGTTCAAACAGAATATAGTTTTAATTTCATGGAGTATTTTCAGGTTTAAACAGAATACAATTTTTTATTTTCAGGTTCAGTGAGAGTAAAGTTCACAAAGAAAGCAGGGATTGATTCAGAGGAAGATGACGAACTTGAGAAATGCCATTTGAAGGTCACTGGAATGACATGTGCATCTTGTGTGCAGACCATTGAGAAAAGTCTCGTGAAAATTGAAGGTATGGGTATGATCTGTATTTCATAACTCACAATTATATCCCATAATTTACAATCTTTTCATTATATCCCATAATTTACAATTTTATCCCATAATCCACAATGATGTCCTGTAATTTATTTACAATTATATCCTATAATTTTACAATTGTTTTCCATAAATAGCAATTATATCCCATTAATTACAATTTTTACCATTATTTACAATTTATCCCATAATTTCAGGTGTACACAATGTCCTAGTTGCACTGATGGCCCAGAAAGCTGAAGTTCGCTATGACCCTGCTTATATTCTACCATCACGTATTGCTAACAAAGTAATTGAACTTGGGTTCAATGCAACAGTTCTGGACACTGAAACAGTTGGACAAGGCACAGTGGAGCTACATGTATGTATACATTGTTTTTTTGTTTTTGTTTTTTATTTTTTATTTATTTCATGTTAATATAACAATGGAATGTACAAAGCATGTGCACTCGACACCCTTAGTAATTTGAAAATAAAAGAGAAGTCTTTTGAATCTGGATTTTATGTCTACCCCCCCCCCCCAGGGGTGACATATTGGCGTTTGTAAAAATGGTAACAAATGGCAGGTGGTGGCATTTTGCATGTTAATGCCTTGTTAAAAGTTCTTATCTTTGTAAGGCATGCAGTTTTGTGACTCAATTCAAATGTTGTTCTGTCTATATATAAAACTCATTAAGTCATAAGTTTAAAAGTGTTTAGATTAAAATTAAGTTCCCAATAGTCCAAGATTTGAAAATGTAACATTCATTTATTTTTTGAGAAACAGGTCCCAAGGTCAATTACAGAGCGTGTGACGAAATGAAGGAACTGTACATAAAACAAAGGTGCTACTCTTAAAAGCGTATGGCTAAATGAAAGTAAAAGGATAAAGATATCCAATAGATGACATGATTTATTGTAATACGTATAAAACTGTTATGATCTGTTGCATTCTTTGTCTGTCATTTTAGAAACATTTTCTAATCTTTTGTCTGAAATTGTCCGTTCTCAATTGTGAATCATATGCAAATAAACCATTGAATAGTTTGATTTTTGATGGTTTGATGGGAACTTTTGAAGATGCTATAAGTTTTGAGAGAACCATGTCATTTAAATCATCAGTCTGATCAGCTGCTTGGTTTTGTATGTCATCTGTCTGTGGTCCTTTAGCCTTCTGTGGTCCCTCTGCAGTTTGCGACCCCTTTCCTCCTTTATTTGAAGAATTTTCTTTGTTTTTGAGAGTTGCAACAAATGGCCTTAAAATCCAGTTCTTAGCATGGGAGTTCTTTGTATAGCCTTGAATCCTGGTATTATATAATGGAAATAGTTTGCTGTGTTGCGCCGTGTTTCCATGTTGTTCTGTGTTTCTGTGTTGCACTGCATTCCCTTCATTGTCAATCAGTTCAAAGAGATGGTCCTCATCCTGAAAGATGCCATCTATAGGCCATTGTCTGATATTTGCCTTGACGCCAACATAAAGAATTTTCTTATACTCATTTATGGCATTGAGTAAAATCACCAACCGATTCTTATAATTTCCACCAGCCTCATTCAATTCAACATTACACCATTTCGCTATTAATCCTCGCTCTTTCTGGGTCAAACCAAAGTCATAAATGACAATATTTTGACTGGGAAGATTATAATGTATAGATCCAACAAGGTTGCGGAGATACTTAAAATCAGCGCTGTTTGAGGTTGTAACGAACGTGAATTCTTCTGGGATTGAATCAAAATTCAGTATGTGTTTATTGTTTTGAATTTGCTCCATTTCAGTGTCTCGATCGTATTTCCCTAATGTTTTATTCAAATTATTTTTTCGATCACCAGGATCTTCTCTCTCTTTAATCCAATCCAATTGTCTCTCCAATTTCCTGTGATGTTTCACATTGCGTTTTCTCATGTGTGAATCCAAGATATTGTTCGTTCCTTGGATAGATTTTGTGTACAATTGATAGAAAGTGAAAACTGTATGCCCCAGCACATAGCACGTAAAAAATGTGAGGGGAAAACGAAGGCACAAAGATAGTCTATACCAGCGCATCTTCTGAAGTTGATCAAAATCGTCAAAACACTAATCAGATCTTGCTTGCATTCAAGTAAACTGTACTGATATTACTGGTACAGAAATGTGTTTCGTGGCAAATGAATTTGTAAAAAGTAGCAAGTTTTTTATGAGTTTGTTATGTACTTAGCTTTAAAATATCATCATTAGCAGTGCTTTAATGATATAGTATTGACTTGAGGATTAGGGATCGAACAGGGATGTATTAAACCAAACACACTTTTGATATGTTGAACATATTTAGAAATTGAAAATATTTTAAATGACACATCAAAAACAAATTAAGCTGTTTTTATTTTGGAGACGAATTGACCATTGGCGCAAAATGACCTGCAAGTACATGTACATAGCAAATGGTGTTCAGAGGGTTTATCGTTTAATGTTGTTTACGTGTTATTTGTATGCAATGTATAATACAGTATTCACAATAAATCCACTGATACTCATATGGTAGTATTTTGATACTTTATTGACAAAAGAATGAAAGTGTTTATCTGTTAATCATTTGTAAACATAATTACTTAAATGACTGTTTACTTTTTTTCCTGAGGCATCTTTTTTATATAGGGATGTTAAATTGGGTCTTAAAATACATTTATGATCGATCATTCAAGAGAGTGAAAAATATCAAAGAAACAGACAGTCTGTTGTGGTCTCTCCTGCTTTGAAGTGAATGGATGCTGCACCCATAGATTTTGAAAATAGTTTTTTAACCCTCCCATTTGCACCCACTTGAAATGGGATGCACCCAGTTAAGAATTTGAAAATAGTTTTTCAACCTCCAATTGGCATTCACTTGTAAGGCAGACATGGAGTCCCTTTGTTTAGATCTTGACCTGCTGATTTTTCATTCAGAACTGAAAATTAACAAAATTGAAATGAGTCATGAAAAAATATCATTACCGGCTCACGATTCAATTTTAATCAGTAGTTTCAGTATTCTGTAATAGGAAGAGAATCTGAACACCCTGTAATACCATGAGAATCTGAACATCCTGCAATAGCAAGAAAATGTGAATGCCATTTAATAACAAGAGAATCTGAACACCTTGAAAAAGTGACTGAATCTGAACGCTCTGTAATAGCAAGATAATCTGAATACCATGTAAGAGCAACATAATTTGAACACCCTATAACAGCAACTGAAAATATATGATAAAATAGTTTTCCTCAATTTTATATTGGTCTGTATAATTTATATTTATAGGCTTAATCTGTTATAGCCTAAACTTACTTTATGTAAGGCAGTTGTTATATTATACAGAACGTATCTTTTAACCTCTTGGTTACTTAGAGTGACGAGATTATCTGTCACAAAACTTTTCACTAAAATTGCTCTAATTTGAACACTTTTCATCCAATTTACACAAAAATGTGTGGAGACGATCTTTGCCAACTAATTTCACTAAATTGAGCATCACCTGTTGTATATATATGTGATAAAATGTCAAAAGCTGGCAAAAAATGAACAATTCTCTGGTTTCACACCGATTTTAGAGTCTAGGATTCAAGAGGTTAAAATGATCCATGATCTTAATCTTTTATCTACTCTAATGTACGTTCTACATTGTATTTTCAGATTGAGGGGATGACATGTGCCTCATGTGTCTACCTTATCGAACAAGGTGTGATGAAGAAGCCAGGTATTTGCTTTTACATGTAATTTATTTCAATAATTGATTTGATTAAAATATACTTATATGTGAATAATGCTAAAGATATACATGTGTACACACATTACTGAGCTCTAACCATCAGTATACTGGTAAACTATGAAATTTGGACGATGGAAAAAATAGTTCGATATGATATGAATTAATATATGAAATGATATCCCATTGCTTTTCCACATTTGGGGTTAATATTTAAGAAATAAAGGATTCTGGGCCTACCAATATGGGTATTCACTAAATGGTTCAAATTTCGGAAAGGAAAGATAATGAGAAATTGTGAAATGCTGGACTGTAATTATGAACGTTATGTCTTAATATAACATATCTTGAAATTTATAATTTCCAGGTATAGTGTCTGCAGTGGTTGCCTTGGCAACAAGCAAGGGAAGATTTGAGTTTGAGACTGACCAGACTGGGCCCAGGGATATAATAGATGCAATAAAGGTGGGTTTCTTTTGTCTTTAACCCACTATTGGACTAAATCATGGTTTGCCCATGTGGTAAAAAGTATTTTTCTGGTTCAGTACCGGCTTGCATCTTGGTCGAAGCTAATATCTGGAACACATTAATGTACAAGGGGGTACTGCTTGAGGGAGTCCTGTGTTGTTAAACGCCCTGGGTTATGTATCTGGGATATATATAGAATTATCCCATAGTTGAGGTCAAATCTCTAGAATAACACGTATATATATTTATGATATTTTGCAAATGCGTGGAATAAAGCGATATCTGTGGAATAGGGAGAATATTCCACAGATATCACTTTTTTCCACGGATTTGGAAACTCCCGCCAATGTGATGTGCATTGTTACATGGTTACACGTTATATGCTTACATGGTGATTTCACGACGTCACAAATATGGAAATGATTTATGTTTTTGCTATGGTTCAAATGACAAAATAAAACTCAATGTTGTTGTGAAATGCTTTGTAAGGTGAACTGTGGGATGATTTGATGTCAACTATGGGATAAATAGAACATCCTATGATTTTTTCATGATATTATTTTAATTCACTCGTTGATATCAATATCTGCACTCATTCGCTACGCTCACTCGTCCAGATATTGATATCAACTCGTGGATAAAAATGATATCTCTCAAAATCATAGGATATCCTATACATACATATCCAGTAAAACCTGTTTATCAGAACACCTGTGTAATATGAACACATCTCAATATGAACACTTTCAATTCTGTACTCACCAATTTACTCACTTTCATTGTTAAAAAAACCTTGAAATATGATCACCATATTCCTAAGCAGGTGTCCAGAATCCTTATCTCCTTCCTATATTATATTCTGGATTTTGGAGCCCTGCTCTCCGAGGATGATGTGTGAGCACCTGGTTTTAGTCAGTCCCAGTTGCATTCAGATTAGACAAGTTTTACTGTAGATATATACCGTACATATATTCTCAATTTCTTTCAATTTATTCCTTAATAATATATAATAAAATACAGTACATATAAAAGGTTTAACAGGTGACATCATTTCTGATGTTTATACCCGTACATGTTGATATTACGAATATTAAGAGCAAGGTAAGGTCAAGGAATTATCAAACATATCAAGATTAAGTTTTGTCTAAGAGAAGATCGAAGAGGAAGTGTTGGTGGGGGAGGTGCATCACAGATGTAATTCAATATGCCTTGTAAATAAGTTAGGAAATATATCATGGATGTTGTTTTCATTATTTTGCCACTTAAAGAAAAATTCAGCCACATTGACTTTCTGGACAGAGCTATTTAATAAAATGTTGACCATTTGTTTTTCCAGAGTCTTGGTTATGAAGCATCTCTGATCACGGATGACCAGAAAGGAGTTGACCAAATGGAACACAAGACTATGATAGCAAGGTTAGTGTTCTACAGGGTGTCCACTGTGCAGTGAATCGAAGTATGGAAAAACTTATTCAGTGGATATAAAGAAAATAGTAAAATATAGCTACAATTGGTTGTACCGTAGTTCTAATTCTAACCAGAAAATCCACCACTCTTTAAAAAGGACCCTGATTGCGTTTAGATTGGTCATTTGAACACCCAATCTTTTAGATCGACCCTGTTTGTGTTCATATTGGCCATTTGAGCCGCAGGGACTCAACTTTCTATCTTAATTGGTAGAAATGACGCAAGAATTTGGCCATGAAATATCAATCTCCAATCAATTCAGTAAATTCATTTCTATTTATAGATGGCGCAGGTCATTCTTCATCTCGCTAATATTTGGATTGCCATGCATCATTATTATGATGTACTTCATGTTCTCCATGCTGGCTAATAAGTCACCACATGTTGCTCCTAGCAATACAACAGGTATGTGCCAATCAGTACAACAGGTATGTGCCAATCAGTACAACAGGTATATGCCAATCAGTACAACAGGTATGTGCCAATCAGTACAACAGGTATGTGCCAATCAGTACAACAGGTATGTGCCAATCAGTACAACAGGTATGTGCCAATCAGTACAACAGGTATGTGCCAATCAGTACAACAGGTATGTGCCAATTAGTACAACAGGTATGTGCCAATCAGTACAACAGGTATGTGCCAATCAGTACAACAGGTATGTGCCAATCAGTACAACAGGTATGTGTCAATTAGTACAACAGGTATGTGCCAATCAGTACAACAGGTATGTGCCAATCAGTACAACAGGTATGTGCCAATCAGTACAACAGGTATGTGCCAATCAGTACAACAGGTATGTGCCAATCAGTACAACAGGTATGTGCCAATCAGTACAACAGGTATGTGCCAATCAGTATAACAGGTATGTGCCAATCAGTACAACAGGTATGTGCCAATCAGTACAACAGGTATGTGCCAATCAGTATAACAGGTATGTGCCAATCAGTACAACAGGTATGTGCCAATCAGTACAACAGGTATGTGCCAATCATGAGTGTTGCTAGACACCAGAATGTTACAGAAATGTATATTTTTATTACTTTTATTAGTATATTCCAAATATAATTCATGTTATTGTAGATTCTAAATAGAACTCATGTTGTAAATTCAAAATAGAATTCATGTTATTGTTGATTCCAAATAGAATTCATGTTACTGTAGATTCCAAATAGAATTCATGTTATTGTAGATTCTAAATAGAACTCATGTTGTAAATTCAAAATAGAATTCTTGTTATTGTAGATTCAAATATAAGTACACCTGCACCCACCAGCAAACCCCGCTATAACAGTGGACACTACATGGTCTGCCCAGGACTTTCACTAGAGACTTTACTACTTTGGATCCTTTCTACCCCTGTACAGGTATGTACATTAAGTCCTCTTCTTAACACAAGGCAGTAATCCGCCCTGCATTGAAGCATCTTATTTCACATGGTTTCAATCTCTAGGATATGATTCTATTGCTTAAGTAAACAAAACAAAATGCTTATGATACTCTTCGAGCAAAGGTAATAGTGCTTTTTGGGCACTTTTGATTGGTTCTACAGAATCACTTTTGGTAGAAGGTGGCCATTTTTGCTATATACTTTGTAAAAATGCCAGCCATGGCTGTTCGATGGGATTTGCTACGCTTTGGCGTTGCTGTTGTCTAGTTTACATAGCTCAGATACCTTTTAATCTTAATATCATTGTTTAAGATAGTAGGGAGATTGGTTCCTGATTGTTTAAATGTAGCTCAGTCCTCGTATATACTACATAATATTTTTTTTAATTTTGTTACATAATATAGGCTACATGCTATGAGCTTGAAAGTTTGATTGCAATGAGGTTACCCTAGGTTTCAGCCTTGAAAGAATTCGCGCTGTATCAACCATAACTGAATAATACTCATCATAATAATAATAGTCATCGTCATAAAAATAATCTCTCAAGTCCTCCATATTCTCCGTAGATAAGATCGCTGTCCTCTGACTTGATGTAAGCTTTCTGTCTGCATGCTGGAGGATAAGTTGCCTCGTGCATTCTTGCTCACATTCTCTAAACAACAGCTTCAGATATTCACGATTGAACTTAGGAGGATGTACACATTGCGGTATTAGAAGTTCTGTTATGATATACACAGCAAGTAGGAATGTTCCTGTTTCGATGTTCAAATCATCACCAGATTTATAGATAAACATATCAGGGCAGTCCTTATCAAAGAGATCCTCAAGCCATTTGGCACTTATGTGAACCTCTGTTGTATTCTCTACTGATTTTAGCCCCAGCTTACATACAGGGTGTCCCGAAAGTATGGGGCCCCCCCTAGGCAGAAATATTCCAGTCTCCTCATAGTATGTGTCATATATCATTTTATATTTTATATCTTTTCGGGTCGGATGGATATTGAGTTGGAAAAAGAGAATGGTGAGGGTAGAAACTCTAAGGAAACTCTTCTAAAGTCCCTTAACAGGTTTTAAGAGGGTTATAAAATTCCACACCCATATTTTAAGGGCTTTTAAGGTCATATCTGAAAATAATTGCTGCTGTTAACATGGCCAAGGGGGGACACATTGACTAGTAATGTGGCGTAAAATTGAACTTTATTTTGACAAAACACTAACTTTTAAAATGACTGTAACTTTTTCCCATTTGAGAGTTAAACCATGATACTTGGCAAATCAATGTAACTTTGGATAAGCTTTAAAATGATATATGACACATACTATGAAGACGCTGGAATATGTCTGCTTAGGGGGGGCCCCATACTTTCGGGACACCCTGTAGATTGTGTGTGATGTCATAATAACATCTCCAAGGAGATGGATCGTCAACACTGCTCTCACATTTCTCCATGTGGGATCTTACTAACGTGTAAAGTGCATGTGAATGAAAGTCTGTCTTATCAAGTGTTTTCTCATACTGTGATAGAAAATATTTTAGTGCTCTCAGTACAATCCTGTGATGATCATCTATTCTGGATGCTCGAAAATGTGGTTTCTCATAGAATGATTTCACCCATCCATACTTAATACTAGGTAACCCTATATAGAATTTGTCCTCTGTATGCGGCAACTTGGTTATATTGAGTATTTTCATACAGAATGCCAGGTCTATGTCTGTTACACACAATGTATTTGACATGCTTCCATTAAGGAGTACATTATCAACTGCTAAAACTGGATGTAGTTTGTTGAATTTATCAATAATTGGTTGTATAATGTAAGTCCTGATGTATTCCACATGGCTGTCTATGTCTTCTTGGCCGTGCTTCAGTTTGGCCAAGTTGTGTATTTCAGTTACATATTGAGATAGTTGTTGTTCTTCAGTTTCAGTGAGAGTGTTCTTGATTAAAGGAATCAGCACAGGAGGAGGCCATCTTTGATAAACTTTGAGTATTTCTGATTCCAAACTATCACTTCTTTTACTACTAGCTTCCATGGTTGTTGTTCTTCAGTTGCAGTGATTTGGGTGATTCTGTTTCTTATATCTAGGCATCTTACCTTAGTTATTCCCACTATGACTGGAAGTCTCAAGATACAGAAATGTCTCAAATCATTAAAATCGTAAAAGAGGTATTAAATTCCATTGTCAAAGCCTATTCTCCTTTGTTTAGTAATTCAGATACTTCCCTCAGGGTACTAGTTCCATGTTTGCATCCAGTTCATGTTTAAAGAGAGGGTATGCCATGATCCAACACTCTTATTCAATGTAATTTTGTCTATTGCTTTATAAAATATGCCGGGTTTATATTTGTACATGTACTCCCTTGAATAGATTGATACTCAGCTGTTTAGAGTTAACATCCTTTAGTTTATGGAAACATTTTAGTACATATCCTATAATTTGATAGAAATTTTTCATCCGTGTTCTTTATCTGCTGCTTTTTATGTTTTGTTTTTTTTTACCAGCAAAAGGAAATCAAACATGGCTGATTTCTTCCAACCATTTATTGGGAGTGGCAGCTATTCAAAATTGCCAATGCTTGTATTGATCATATTGTTTTCTACTAGTAAAATGGGTAATACCCTTTCTGTTGAAAAGTGATTCATCATAGTATTGATCCAACTCATGAAAGTCAATGAACAAACACATTTAAGCGTGTACTATTAGATGTATAAAGTAAAATATTGGAAATATGTATTAAACATTCTCAGTTGCTATGAAGCATTAAGTATATTCTTTGCTATCACCAGAGACATATAATAAAATACAGTACAATACAGTAAATGACTAATATGTTACAATACAGTAAATTAGTAATATGTTACAATACAGTAAATTAGTAATACGTTACAATATAGTTAATGACTTATAGGTTACAATACAGTAAATGACTAATATGTTACAATACAGTAAATTACTAATATGTTACAATATAGTAAATTACTAATATGTTACAATACAGTAAATTACTAATATGTTACAATACAGTTAATTACTAGAAATAGTTGTGTAATAATGTGAGTAGATACACATACGTGTTATATAAATATAATGCTGCCTAAATGTTGATTGATGGTTGAATTTTTATATTTATTAAATATTTATGGATGATATCTTGGCACAACCTGTAATACATGTTTACCAACCTCCTTGATCCTCTAACATTATAACATAAAAGGGCATACAAATAGAAAAGTATTCCTACTTTTTTTACATATAGACTTTCCATGATTAACATTTATAAAGGAAACTTAGTAGGAAGTAGAGAGACTTTGCAATGAACTTAAAGCGTGTCTATAATTAATGCTTGATGAAAAGAACATTAGCATTTCTATACATATAAGTACATGTATGGATTTTTGCAAAATGCCAAATTTCAATTCACATAGTAATATGCATAAACATAAGTTGTGCTTTCACGTATGAGCGAAATCTCTCTACTTATAAGTAATTTTGACTGATAAGTGATAAAAAGACTTTGATTTGTGGTTTAAACATCAATGACATTGATCAAAGGCATCTATTTGTTTAAATTCTCCCAAATAATAAATATGGTTACCATATTTATAGAAAAAGAGAAAAAAATCTTAATAGTTTTCTCCAAATACAGTATACACTTTGGGGATTTTTAGAAAATAGATATGAGATATGACAAGGAATGATATGAGCCCATAATATTCTAAAATTGAAGCATTTTTTGCTAGATTTGATTCTGTCTTTGAAACACATTTATCAACATTTCATTTTTCGATTTCCAGTTTGTTGGAGGCAGATATTTCTACATCCAGGCATGGAAAGCACTGAAGCATCGCAACACAAATATGGATGTCCTTATCGTCTTGGCAACCAATATTGCATACTTCTACTCTGTTACTGTTGTGATTGTTGCCATGGTGATGAAGGAAGCGGGCAGCCCGAAGACATTTTTTGATACACCACCGATGTTACTAGTGTTTATAACACTTGGACGTTGGTTGGAGCATGTTGCTAAGGTAATATATCTTTTTATATTCATTAACAAATAAAAAACACTCATGAAGTTTCATTTGGTCAAGAGTATATTTTACAGGTTGAACTCTGTAATGTTGAAATAGCTTCCTCCATTTCGAAGGAACTTTTTTTATGATTTTTCTTGAAGAAAAATTCTTCAATACATGGAAAATTTATCGAGAATTTGTAATATAAAACGATGCAATAGAGGCTTGACTTGTATGTGGTTTCTTTACTAGGGTAAAACTTCTGAGGCTCTATCCAAGCTGCTGTCCCTGCAGGCAGTTGAGGCTAACCTTGTTGAACTAGATAAAGATGGCAATATAGTGAATGAGACTCAGATCAGTATAGACCTAGTCCAAAGAGGGGACATCCTCAAAGTTGTCCCTGGGGAGAAGATACCTGTGGATGCCAAGGTGAGGTTTTGTTTGGGTAATTTTAATGAGGAAGCTTCAGTTTTTAAGGTTTCAATTTTAAAAGCTGAATGAATATAACAGGCATGTGGAATTAAGATACGGTATCAGCAATCATTAAGTCAGTTGATGCAATCTTGTAGTTTTGATTAATTATGGAACAAGGTGCAATTTAAACAGAAGCAAACTAATTTAGGATTGCATTGTGTATCTGGTCTATGCTACTAGGGACTGTACATTTGTATGGTCCACTGTTGTGATATTGTTTGTTAATGTCATTTCTGTATTTTTAAAGAAAGGTTCAGAGTACAAAAAAACTCAGTGTAGAAAACTCAATTTGAGAAGTAAATGAAAAGAATGTATATTTTACTTTGGTTGTTCTCAATCTAGGTGATCCATGGTGCATCCACGTGTGACGAGTCACTCATAACTGGTGAGGCTATGCCAGTGCAGAAAGAGGTCGGCAATGATGTCATAGGGGGCTCCATCAATCAGAATGGAGCCTTACTTCTTGAGGCAACACATGTTGGCGCAGATGGAGCACTTGCACAGATTGTGAAACTCGTTGAAGAGGCTCAGACATCAAAGGTAAGAATGTGTTATTACTCAAACATGACGCTATTGTTTAAAGCGGAAGACCTCAAATGCATTTAAGATTAACCAAACTACTGTTTGGCTCGAACTTTGTTTCATTCATTCTATTAAATTTTCAAGAGGTGGTTCAATGATTGACTTGTTTCATTTTATCAGAGAAGACGAATTGAATCAACATATTAGCACAAACACGCCATCTATCAACCCATTACACCCAGGGCGGGCTATCAATCCTTATTACCCAGAAATGAATGTACTTTATATAGACAACAAACACCCATCTGTGGAGAGAAAAGTTAGAAAGTCTTAGCAAAACAATCTCCTTTGTTTACATTATGATCCTTAGTAATGTAAACAAACCAAGTGATAAGGATTGATAATCCACCCTGGGTGATTACCTTTGTAGAAACTGTCATTTTTGCATATTAAAGAATTGTATGAAAAAGTAATCTGTTCTCATTATTTTAGGACCCTATACAAACGTTACCTTTTTGCATATTAAAGAATTGTATGAAAAAGTAATCTGTTCTCATTATTTTAGGACCCTATACAAACGTTACCTTTTTGCATATTAAAGAATTGTATGAAAAAGTAATCTGTTCTCATTATTTTAGGACCCTATACAAACGTTACCTTTTTGCATATTAAAGAATTGTATGAAAAAGTAATCTTTCCTCATTATTTTAGGACCCTATACAAACGTTACCTTTTTGCATATTAAAGAATTGTATGAAAAAGTAATCTTTCCTCATTATTTTAGGCCCCTATACAAGCGTTAGCTGATAAAATTGCGGGGTATTTTGTACCAATGGTCTGCATTGTCTCATCACTTACACTTATCGTCTGGATTGTGATTGGCTATACCAATATCTACAACATCGATCCAGAATTTGACGTAAGTTATAAATTATTTAACACCCACTGATTAGCTGGTAATATTGTCATTTGTTTAGAAATGTGAATACAATTGAGGTCTAAATAGTTCTTTGATTAACTCTTTCTATTGGAGTGATCAGGGACATTGCCCGGATTTTCTTGAGGCAGTGGTCAGTAATCTAAATGAGATTCTTACAATGTTTAATAATAATTAATAACGTCATGTATGATGTCCTATAATTTCCAATTAGTTCTTCAAGTGACGCAAAATGCATAGCTGGTTATTCTGAGTTGTATCAATCCAAGAGACAATGGATCCTATAAATTACACTATTAATTGCATTTTGACGCAATCTAATAATATAACTCCTTTGTATAAAGCTATTTGATACATGAGGTAAAGTTGGAACTACTAAAATTTTGAAGCAGTAAAGATATTTGGTGATTTCGAGATATAGTTCCATCAGGCAAAACAGTGAAGACGGAAAACAGAAAAGTTTGTACAAAATAAATAGCTGAATAGCTGAGTATTTTAACATTTATTAACAGAGGACACATATTAAGTTAAAAACCAAGCTGCTTTAAGTTTGTGACATCAACGTGCACTGAGACCATAAAATCATGAAGATGTCACCTAATCTGACAGATAATGAAAATGGTACTCAAAATTCTATTTGGATATCAGCATCAGGGCATACCATGAGAGATTCGTATATTTTCTGGGTAGTATACATTTTACTCATTCTTACGATATTGTTCGGACATGGCTTAGTTATTGCCGCTATTTGTAAATTTGAAAGATTGCGAACGAAAACTAATATCTTATTGGTCAACTTATCAGTGGTGGATTTTCTTTGTGGCATATTCTATTCCGTGTTTCGCAGCGCATTTTTCCTTTTGGAAAACAGTTATTTACCCGATTTGATTATTGAATACCTTTGTTTAGCTGGATGGACATTTAGCACGTTTATATGTGCCCTATCTCTCTATATTTTAACTGTTGCCACCATAGAACGATACATAAAGATTTCATATCCTTACCATTATGAAAGCTTGGTTACTAAAAAGATTATTATCTTAAGTATAGCAATAGGATGGACACATTCCTTGACTCTTTCATTACCTATATTCTGGTTTAATACATACATTGATGTAAACACTTGCCATAAACCAGTTTATGTTAATATTCATAGCATTGTCATTCTGGTACTCGCAACCATGTGTTTGGTAATTATCAACGTCCTGTATGTGAGACTTTTTATATTGGCTTTACAACATAGCCGGAAAATCAAAGCCACAGATGTGCAACCAGCCGATGCTGATAAAAAACCGATCATGAATCGTTCGACAAAGACAGTCGCTAGCGTGATCTGTAGTCTATACATTTGTTGGACTCCGTTCATTCTGACTACAGTTCTCCACAAAACTGTCGGCTCAGTTACTACTCCTTCATGGCTGCATATCATGGACACAATCAGTCACATCATATTGCTGCTGAGCTTTGCATTAAACCCATTTATATACGCTTGGAGAGATAGGGAATTTAATGAAGCATTCAGAAAGATGCTTTGTAGGAAGAGAATGCAGTGAGCAGTGATCATTCCCTTTATACTGTAATGACACTCGATAGCAAGTCGATACTACCCTTATGGCCGAATCAGTAGAGCGTCAGACTTGTGAGCAGAGGGTCCTTGGTTCGATTCCCGTACAGGGCATTGAATTTAGCACACACCTTTCATGTGTAGTATCTGGTTTGTTGCACTACAGCTCCCCAGAAGACTGTGCCCTCAGGTCGTTACAATACTAGTACTATATTATCAGGGGGTAACTGGTCAACTCGTACCCAAGACAAGTCGTAACCAAGACAACTCGTACCCAAAACAAAGTGTACCCAAGTATATATTTTGTTTGGAATCAAGTGTTGGACTGGGAATGGGTATAGACTATAGATATACATATATAATAATGTTCAGAGTGTGCAGTGTATATGAAGTATATGAGAGAATTTCTCATTATTCATGGAGGAGAGCTAGAACAAGGAGTGAAATAGAACTTGGTGAATATTGGAAACATTATTGTGTTATATTGAATCAGTTTCGTATTATTTGATTCATGAATTTTGGGATTACCATTTTTAGGATACTAACAAGTTGTCAGTGGACTTAAAAACTTTTTTTGCACTTTTTTTACTTATTTATTTCAATTGAATACATATACAATATACAATAATGCATTAACTCTTAAATCGCCAAAATGGCATTATATAAGACTAAAGGGGCAGGTGGAAGTAGAGGTGGCAGAGCAAGCAGGGTTTTGGACTAGGGCAACGTTAATGTATTATATGTCTCTATCATATTGTATTTGTGCTGTATTGATTGCACCAATTGTGTACTACTGTATCCAAAGAAGTTTCCAATTTAATAAATCAAAAATAAAAATCTTTTTATTTTAATTAATTTGAGCCATGTGCCAATATGCGTAATCAAATGTGTGATTCTGAAAGTATAACATTGTTATCATACTTTGAAAAAGTCCTGTATTGTCGGTGTCTTGTGCTGTTTGATGCTTATAGTACCCTCTTTCAATGGTTTCTGGCATAGAGCAGGAGAAACTTTTTATATGGTTAAAATGAGAAAAACGAGATCCTTTTTTTAAATGAGGAAAACAATTTTGAAAAACTGAGGAGATGGGCTACTAATCCATTATCTGTCGGTATAATCCAAATCATATTATTGTTACACGTTATATCATTTTTTGTGCTTGAGTTGAAGATAACATATTATTTTAATATACTGTAGATTGGGTTAATTTGGCGCCCGCTTTAATTTGGCGAATTTGGCGAAATTGAAAAATTCGCCAATATAAATCTTCGCCAAAATTAAGAATGGATCCCCGGGAATTATCTAGTGTATTTTGTCCAGTGTATTTATGGCACTTCAGGTTTAGATTTTTCCAAAAATATGAAAAATGTCTCTCATAAATTGGCTCAGAACTGGTCAGTCACTCATTAATACTCAGGGAAAAACTAGAAAGGAAAAGCGCGGTATGGTAGCAGCATCGATCGAGGTGCAAAATGTAAAGGGTGATCTCACAAAAATGTACAAACGTATCACCAGTGGTCCTCAAAAGAAAAAATTAACATAGCCAAACGTGCCCATTTACATGGTATTTCGCAAACAGCGCGTAAGTTTAACATTTTTTTGCATATCTGCCAAATTAAATAGCCGCCAATATGCCAAAAATGGCAAAATCGCCAAATTAACCCAATCTACAGTAAGTAAAACAAAGAATATGTGATCAAGCAATACTCCCAGTCAGATAATACTGCCAAAATTGTTTTCAATATAGTACATGGTCCTTTTACATACATGTAATTAAGAGCAGACTAAGTTTTAGGTTTTAGGCATGCTGGGTATATATTTTGGTGGCTATTTGAGTTTTTGAATAAAAATATGTGATATTGATAACTGTGCTCTCTTGTGTTTTATGTCACCATCAAGAAGTTGTGACATATTTCATGTCACAGATTTCAACTTCAAAAACCAACAGTAGGGTGGTCCAAAATATGGCGAAAAACCAACTTTCTTTCGGATCATCTTCCTCATTTGACTTACTGTTGTCCATGACCTAAAACACCTGCACACCACATTTTGAGACCCAAATCCCATGGGAAATTTACCCACGCTTCGACTGAAAAATTCGGTTATTTCATGATTTTTTGCTATTTTCGATAAATTGCCATCTCCTTTTTCCTGGTATAAAATGTTTCTATTTTTCATAATAAACATTTTTGTAGGACTCTTTATTACTTAATAATACTAGGAGCCCAAACACCAAATTTTGAGACCCAAATCCCATGTGAAATTTACCCATGCTTTGACTGAAAAATTGTGATTTTCACAGTTTTGTCCGATTTTCAATAGATTACTGTCTCCATTTTCCTGGTATAATATGTTTCTATTTTTTCATGATAAATATTTTTGGATGACTCTTTATTACTTCATAATACTAGGAACCCATACACCAAATTTTGAGACCCAAATCCCATGGGAAATTTACCCATGGTTTGACTGAAAAATTGTGATTTTCACATTTTTTCCGATTTTCAATAAATTGCTGTCTCCATTTTCCTGGTACGATATGTTTTTATAATAAACATTTTTGAGGACTCTTTATTACTTCATAATACTAAAAACCCATACACCAAATATCCACCAAATTTTGAGACCCAAATCCAATGAGAACGTTACCCATGCTTTGACTGAAAACTGGTGCTTATGATAGCTTATGATGTCTGTTTTAGGGGCATAATATGTTAATAAACATTATGGTAATTCCTTCTTAATCCAAAGAAACACCTAAATATCAAGACTTTAAGTCTTATTGAAAGGCGACAAATTCAGTAGTTTGGGGAAAATTTAGGATCTTTATTTTACTTGTACATTTATATACTGTGGTTAATATTAAGAAGTGATGACTCGACAGCAACTCAAATGCCTTGAAGATTTGGTTTGTTGGTTTCAGTAGGGATACATCACAGGACTTTGTTTGGATTTGTGTGAGATGTCATATTCTTTCTCACATCTTTGCAGGGTAAGGTCAAATATCAAATCTGATTTTCTTTGGAGAAATGATTTTTTGATTGATCAATGTATCAATGGCATGGTCTCTGTTGTAACCAGTAAGCCTGTACCAAATCTTCAAGGGATTCGAGCTTCCATTGAGCTTTGTCATTTCTCTGAAAATGTTCATGCCCTGAAAGTACACAATGTAGAATATTGGAAGAGCAATGAGAAACACTTAAGGTAATTCTGTATGTTCAGAAATTTTAAGTGGAGTCCAATGTTATTTCTGGAACTCATTCCATACTTGGTCAGCTCTTTCAATTTTACACTGAGTTCAAATATGTATTTAGATTATTAGTTGATGGTTAGTAATTTTCTATAATGTACTATGTGCTATGTTTATACACTGTTTGTGCATCTGAATGGAATGAGTTATGTGTTCCTGAAAAAACACGGGGCTCCAATTAGGAAGCCATTAAAACTGAAAATAAGGAATTACCTTAAAGTACTATATAACCATCTTTCACGATGTAACGTATGTAAGGCCAAACAGGATAATTAAGACAACGTGTAATACAATTTATTACAAATTGCACATCACACAACAATGATATGGTGCTCTAAACGACAAAAATCAAAAGTATATGATCAAAGCAAACGTGAATTTCCCATGGGGTTCAGGTCTAAACATTTGGTACATATTAAATGTATGGGTTCCTAGTATTAAGAATGTATTAATGTCCTCCTAAAATGTTTAAAAACTAAATATAAGATTAATGTTGATCTATTGAAAATAGGAGAAAATTCGCAGAAAATCACAAATTTTGGGTTGAAGCATGAATTAATTTCTCATGGGGCCAGGGTCTCAAAATTTGTTGCATATTTGGGGTATGGGTTCCACGTATTATGAAGTAATAAAGAGTCCTCCCAAAATGTTTATTATAAAAAATAGAAACATATAATACCAGGAAAATAGAGATGTATTGTATTGTATATGAAATAACCCAATTTTTCAGTCGAAGCGTGGGTTTTCCCATGGGATTTGGGTCTCAAAATTTGATGTATGGGTTCTTAAGTATTATGAAGTAATAAAGAGTCATCCAAAAATATTTATTATGAAAAGACATCTACCATTTTATACCAGGAAAATGGAGATGGCAATTTATCGAAAATAGCAAAAAATCATGAAATTACCGAATTTTCAGTCGAAGCGTGGGTAAATTTCCCATGTGATTTGGGTCTTAAAATTTGGTGTGCAGGTGTTTTAGGTCATGGACAACAGTAAGTGAAATGAGGAAGATGATCTGAAACAAAGTTGGTTTTTCGCCATATTTTGGACCACCCTAACCAACAGGTGGTAAGAGGTTGTCGTAAGAATGCCTTGTTTATTATATAAAACCTCAGTTATCTGGCCCATATCCAGGGGGAGCGGGGGAGCAGTCACTCCCCCCCCCCCCGGCCAGAAATGTTATCAAAATCATGCAGTTTTTCACCATTCTGAGCACTTTTTGCTTGATTTTTTAGCCAAATCTGTCATAAAGGTTCCCCCCTTCGGCAAAAGGTCCCCTTTAGTAAAACCACTCCCATCTTGGTAAAAGCTGGCCATGGGCCTGGTTCGAAGATCTATTGCAAACATCTATGTACGTATACTGCTTTTATCATTTCAGCCTGAAATTGGTCCATCTAAAGATGAGGTGATATTTGAGCATGCATTCAAGTTTGCAATAACTGTACTCTGCATCGCCTGTCCCTGTGCCCTGGGGCTAGCTACCCCCACTGCCGTCATGGTAGGCACAGGGGTAGGGGCCACTAATGGGATATTGATCAAGGGAGGAGAGCCCCTGGAAACAGCACATAAGGTATGCTCCCATCATATTTCATATGTTTAGTATGCATGTTTCGATGTAAGGATCCGTCATCCCAAGTATATAAAAAGTGCCCCAAAAGCATTCATAACCATTATGACACAAGATGGTACTTAGTAAGAAGTTAATTATGGCATAATGTTCAGGTGCGTCCTAAGTGTTAGTGAGGTCATCGGGATGTGTAAAGGTCCAGTCAGTGCATATCTGAAAATCAAAGTTCGCGTGTGTAAAATCATCATTTTTAAGACCTTAAATGTGAAAGAATGATACAGAATGTTGTTAAGAACAATTTGACATAAACATTTGACTATGGAAAGTAGGTCAAACTTTCAAATTTCACAATTTTTTCTTTTGTTCCATTGACTTCCATGGGGATATCAACATATCGATATATTGACACAAATTCAAACATTGAATTTATACCTAATTTATAGTGACACTTGGGGTGACAGATACTTTGTATGTAGATGGTTATCTCATAATGCATTGTAACTTATGGCAATGTATGGATTCAAATATGTATTGATTCATCAATTTTTTGTTGTGTCTATTTACATACTTGGAATAATTTAATGAATTTCTATCACCTTTATTGGGTATTTGATGCGCTTTTTAGTTTAGATATTAGTACCTAAGAATATGCATTTAAAGTACCTATAGTAAAAAAAATTCTCACATTTCTAGCTATTCGAAAATTGAATTATGCTAATGGAAGAAAAACACATTCAAGAATTCAATATTACAAGTTTTATAAAATTGAAATCTTTCTAAACTGTATTTTGACACAACAATTATACTCCAGGTTAACAGCATTATATTTGACAAGACTGGCACAGTGACGCATGGTGTACCAAAGGTTGCACGAATTGCAGTGTTTGTTGAGGAGAGCGTCTGTACGTTGCAGCGTCTACTTGCCATTGCTGGCACTGCTGAGGGAAGCAGTGAGCATCCTATAGCAGTAGCTATCGTATCCTATGTAAAAAAGGTAACTTATTTATTTTATACTTAAAATGTTGTAGGCTATTATGTTGCCCATTGCATCTCAGTAGTGTTCCTTTTAAAAGTCAGTTTGGAGAGTTCCTTTTATCTCATTTCAGAAATAACGAACCTGTAATGATAAATTCTTCAAAGTATCTTATTTTCATTAATGCAACATAAGCCATGTGAATATTATTGTACTTATTTCCTTTAGCGGAAGTACTGCTTATCTCATTTCAGCATCTTAACACAGATGCCCTGGGGAAGGTGACGGACTTCCAGGCTGTGCCTGGATGTGGGCTCAAATGTAAAGTCAGCCATCTTGACCTTATGCTGAATTCCAACCAATCAGATTCAAATCGTCGGAACAGTGCAACGAGTTTCCAGGTCCAGATAGATGGAGTTACTACTGACGTTGTGAATGAATCATCCGTTCAGGAAATTACAGGTAAAAAATGATAGTTTACTTATATCAAAGCTTTTAATAACAATCTCAACAGAATGGCTTTTAGTAGGGGAGCCAGGGCACCTAAAGGATCATATGACTTAACGTATAAGAATTCAAAAATCATATACCAAATTAAAGCTTAGTATGTCAAGCTCTTCACTTCAACCTTTTTAAGTCTTAGTAATAGGATTGGAATTTCCATGGTAACCAAAAACAACAACATTTAAGATAGTTGTTTGGTTGTGCCTATTCTCATAGAGATCTCTGCTATTTTCAGTATTCAATAATCAATATTTTGAATAGTTACAGTACATCCTTATTTACTCACTGCTTTTCTTGTGCCATTCTTTCTCACATGGATGCGGAATTAAAGACCTGCTTAATATTTTGTTCTGCAAGTAATATATAGTATGGCCCGTGGCTTCAAGATAAGTTTTTGTCTAAGCTGAGACTTTATATTAGACTCCAAATTTCCAGACATTATTGACATAACTAGTATACTAGTATATGATAATGGATTTGCAATAGCACATCAGGGAAGAACTTTGAATCAGCTTACCTACTCAGAATTGTACTGATCTTTCATACAGTTAAATTTTTCTTCAGATCTGCAGTCCTCCTCAGGGGTCAGCAATGATGTGGCCCATGACGTGTTAATCGGGAACCGTGAGTGGATGGGTCGCAATGGGCTTTTCATTACTCCAGAGGTTGATGAGAAGATGGCTGAGCAAGAGTCACTTGGACAGACAGCTGTCTTGTGTGCTATAGATGGTAGGTTCTATTATAGTTCACATATTACATTTTGATAAAATTGGGTAGAATTCAATATAAGCCAGAGTGGTTTAAACTTTATATAGGGCCTTTATAAGTTCTCTTAATTTTTATTTTAATGCATTTTCCTGAGCACTGGCATTTCCATGGGTTTCCTTTGGCATTGATTTCAAATGGATATTCTTTGCCTCAGCCACATTTAATATGATTTATTTTTGCCTCTCTCTATCTTGAAGATTTCTGGTAACCTTGACCTTGTGTAACATGATTTTCATGACAACAAATCATGTTCTAGGTGTGTTGATAGCCATGCTGGCTGTGGCAGACACTGTGAAGCCTGAGGCTCATCTAGCAATACACACTCTGAATCAGATGGGACTAAATGTTGTTCTGCTCACTGGAGATAACAGGAAAACTGCTGCAGCAATTGCCAAACAGGTAAGATATCTGCAGCCATTACCAAACAGGTAAACTATCTGCAGCCATTACCAAACAGGTAAACTATCTGCAGCCTTTACCAAAGAGGTAAAATATCCCCCATCATGAGTACATATCTTCTGCTGCTTCACTTGACTCGTGTTACAAGCAAGCTGGTGAAAAATTCTTTGATAGCGATACTCAAACATCATGAGCAAAACAAATGTATACTTAAGTACCATCACTACAGTACAGTAAAATCTGTAAAACGGAACAATGACCAATTATTTGGCTTAAAATCAAATATACCTCTGTAAGTGGAACACAACCCAAAGAGGTACCAAAAGTGTTCTGCTTACTCATGCTACTCAAGTTTTACTGTACTATGACTAATTGTACATTTTATAAATACTGAAATTTTCTTCTAGGTGGGAATCAGGAATGTTTTTGCTGAAGTTCTACCCTCACACAAAGTTGCCAAAGTGAGACAATTACAGGACCAAGGGCACGTGGTAGCTATGGTAGGGGACGGGGTAAATGACTCCCCTGCTCTGGCCCAGGCAGATATAGGTGTTGCTATAGGAACTGGAACTGATGTAGCTGTTGAAGCAGCAGATATCGTCCTCATTAGGGTTTGTTATTATATTATGCATAGAATATTGGGTGTCCCAAAAAAGTAAACCTCTTTTTGAAAAGTATTTTCTCAGCAATAGATAAGATTTTAGTGTCCATGAATCCATATATTTTCTGTACCCTTTACTTGTAAGGATTTATAGTCTCTAATGAACCAAACTTCTCTTTATAGAATGATTTACTTGACGTTGTGGCTGCCATGTGCCTCTCTAAGGTCACAGTACGAAGGATTCGCATCAATTTCTTTGCTGCTACAATATACAACCTCGTTGGAATACCTATAGCTGCAGGTGAGCATTCAGGGGCGTAGACAGGATAGAAAATTTGAGTGTTAATAATAATACAAAAAAATGTTAATTAAAATTCCAAAATGTTTTAAATTCCAGCAATTTGAATTTTAAAAAATAAATAAATAAACTAAAATTTCATTGAATTAATTTGAATTCCAATTTTTTTTAAATTAAAAAAAATTGGGTGTAAATAGGAGACAGAATTAGGCTAAGGGAAGTGTACATATCATTAATTTTGTACTTCATTACCCTAGTTTAACTTGGAAAAATCAGAGTTAAATATAGATCTCTAATCTCTATCTCTTTGTGAGGAGATCGCCCATGGTTTTAAGGCATTACATTCTTCATTTTTCCTTAAGACTATTGATTATTTCTATTGACTATTTGGTATTATTGGTATGAAAATGTCACTTATTTAGAGGTCTATTTTTCAGGTGTTTTGCTGCCTATAGGACTAGCCTTGCAACCATGGATGGCGTCTGCTGCCATGGCACTCTCCAGTGTCTCTGTTGTCTGTTCCTCTCTTCTCTTAAAACTGTAAGTATCCCATAATGCATTGTAGATAGCAGACGATGCCTCACATCTCATTCAGAACAAGTAGACAGAATCTCACAATTCATTGTAGCCTGAAAGGATATCTCATGGTAATTTACAAAATGCCAACAAAATTCTCGCATGCTTTTTTGTTCGATTTTTTAAAAAATGATGTTGCTCAATTTACAATAACCTTTATGAAAAATTTTAGATGGAAGAAGCCTTGCAAGGAAAACCTGATGAAAGGTTCCTACTTTGAGGCATATCGAGCTGACCAGGCGGGTGAAAACAGCCACTTAATTCAAGTCCACCGAGGCATCGAAGAGGAAATCCTCGACTTAAAGGGATCACAAAAAGGCAGTATGAAGGGGAGCCTAAAAGGCAGTATTCTGGCCAAGTTAAGCAATAGTCTCAAAGGGGAATTTAAGCCAAAATCAACGGATCAGAAATCATTACTGGAGTTGGATGATATGGCTGAAGATCAGTCGAAATTGTAAGACCTTTTTTCCTGGGACTTTATAGTCTGGGATCATATGGACTGGTTTTTGTATACTTAAGTAGCTTGGGCTTCTTTTGATGTATGGTAGATAAGGGTAATCCATCGAACTTCAACCCTTGGGTTTACTTCGTTATGAGGCTGTTTTGACATTGGCTTATATTTTCAATTCATGCAGTCTGCCATGTTTGTATTTGAAAATTTTAAAGATAAATCAAAATTCCTAATGGGCGAGATCTTAATCCAAGATGGCTAACCACAGAAATGTGAATTATAGGCCATGGTCGAAGTCGCCCCTGTGACGAAGTAAACCCCATAATTCGAAGTTTGATGGATAACCCCTAGGATGCAGAGGGGCAATTGTAAATCACAAGATTTAAAAGTATATTGATCATAAACATTCCGCTTTTAGCTCCAATTATTTTGCTATTTTCCTGACTAAATAAATTAAAAAATAAAATATTTGCCACATTACAGTTGAAATTGAAAACATACATCTTGCGATTTACTTGGCCCAATTTGTACTTGCATTTATAGCTTCATCATATAATACTGTACTCCCATATTAAATAAGTTCCTACTCTGTTGATAATCTGATTCTATATATACATTTGTGTAGATGTAGTTGTATATATTTGTGATTATGCACCATTCATAGGTTTGTTTGAGACCCCCAATGTGGGGTGGGTCACCAATTTGACATGCAGTATCGTCCCAGGGGGGTTGGATTTTGGCATAGTTCTTTGCCCCATAGTAGTAGGAACTTTTGAAATGCATATTTCCACTAATACGAATTCTGGCCAGCTCCCAGGGTAGGAAAATTGACTCACAATGTTACTCCCAGGGTGGGGAACACCCCATATATTATTTTGCAAAAATCCCCACCACTTCCCACATAGGTGGGTCTCACACAAACTTTGAATGGTGCATTAGTTGACTACAAAAGAACAACAAAAAACTCGCAGTATCTGTTTACATGTCACCTTAAGAACAGCCTGAAGAGCTACTCTTAGAAATATTTGATGTTTTGGAATGTTCAAGAGCGTAGCCATTCGTTTTCAAATCATGAGAGCATGTTCTAGCGTTGTATTTGGAGGTGTGTACTGTGTAATAGCTTCTTATTCTAGATTTTTGTACTCATATTTTGAAGGGCTGCTGCATATACTAGGATGTGATTTTGATATATATTGTATATTGAAAATGTAAAACTAGTTATGCATATTAGTATTATGTAAGTTTTTTGCAATATTTACTTGGAGATCATACTTAACTTAGCGTAATAACTGGGTTTTATCTGCTCAATGTGCCCTACCAATTTGAAGAAAATTGTTTATTCTTGGAGAATTGTACATTCCAATTGAAAGAAGAAAGTCGGTATGTTATGGTTGGTCTTCAGATGACATTTTACTATGATGAATAACTATGTCAATTAAGATGTCAACCATCTTATGGTTAACCCCTCCCTGCCCCCAGATAATGGCAAATTGAAAATGTTGATTTGCCATTCTCTTGAATTTCAACTGAAAGTCTACTTTTTGGGGCTAGTGATATTGAACAAATATTTCACTCTATTGAGGTGAATACCTGTACATCTTTCACAAGTGATATTCCACGAAGCCCGAAGGGCAAGTGGAATATCACCTTGTGGAAGTGCTACAGGTATTCACCGAAAATAGAGTGAAATATTTGTTTTATTATATCACTGTCTAGCTAAACATCCCTAATATTATTAAGTCATAGGTTAACATTGAAATACATTGAATCTACTCGGTTCGTCTGCCATTTTGACTTAAACTGAACTAAATTATTTACACTGAACGAAAACAAATTCTTTGAAAATTCCCGGGAGCGTGGGATATCGCTAGATATCTCACGGTTGTCTTATCTGATTAGCATTGCCATTGAATATCGCCAGATATCCCACGACATGTGACCCGGTTTTGACCAATCATACTGTCGCTAGCTAGATAGTGATATAATAAAATAGTGCATTGTTTACCCATAACTGTTGACAATTGAAGATCATTCTTTGTCATGTTGTTATTTTGCCAAATGCTTAACAGAAAGGAAAATGGTGGAAAATGGTTGAGTCAGCAATTATTATTAAATTAGTACTAGCTTTAGCCTCATCAAAACTGATGTGATGTATATAACACCCGACCCCTCCCCCTATCTATTTTGGTTTTGATAAATATCTATAATCGGTGTACTGTGACCTTATCCCCCTCCCTATCCTTGTTGTTTTTGGTAAATATGTAATCCCCAATCAAAATATGGCAATAAGCTGTTGATGTAAGACGTTTTAAGCATTGTTATAGCTGGGGGAATCTGTATGGATGGCTATTCTAAGTCCCTTTTACCTTTTATTTACCTTATTTTAGTTTTGCCCTCTTCTCCCTATTTATTTATGTTTGTTCTGATAAGTAAAACCCCACCAGAATTTAACAATAATATTTTACCATTTTAATCTATTATAAGCAATATGGATGTTATATGTCTTTTATTGATTGCTCAATAGTTTTTGTAACAATGTTGTTGCATTTGTAGTTGCAATGAATTGGATTGGATTGAGAAATGCATGATTTTTGTAGATTTGTTGTATTTCTGTTCTGTGTTGTACAGGGTGACCAAAAACGTGCAACTTTCTTTTTTTTGAAATAACTTCATAATGATGAATGTTCAGTGGATCAAAAACAGGGATGATCTCATTTAGCATCAAAATCACTTTTAATGGAAAGGCATATTTCTTTGTCTTGGCATACCCTAGCAACAAATTCATTGATATTGTATTAGTGAAACTTTCCAATCTACCCTTCTAAGACGGGTATAGATAAAGTGAAGTTCACTTGTGCAAAATTTCATATAGTTCTCAAAGTTACAAACATTTATTACATAGGTTGCATTTTTGGGTCACCCTGTAGAAGCCAAAAATTGTAAAATTATATTCATGAAAAATATTGTTTGAGTTCTCGTAAAGAGATAAGTGCTACAAGCTTTAAAGAAAACTGTTGTTGACTCAAATATTAAGTGCACTTTCACAATAGTTTAATGATTAAGTTAACACATCATCTCCTACATCTCAGACTATCTATTTATTATACTTGTTCCGGGGGGTTGGGGGGGGGGGGGGGGCATTGACAGAGAATATTTGTAAAGTTAAGAATTCCTTAATCCATTGTTCTTATTATGACATCATTATATCCATGCGTACAACAATTGGTTTAGGAATTCTTAACTTTATGAAATCTCTCTTAATGACTTTACTAATTAATAACTTTCCTGATGAATAGGATGGTCATTAATAGAAACGTCATAAGAATTCCTAACATTCATTATTCTCCTTGTATGACATTATTATATCCATGCGTACAACAATTGATTCAGAAATTCTTCACTTTAAATTCTAAAATGAATAGCCAGGGGGGTCATTGACAGACATTTCATAAGTTGAGAATTCCTGACTCAATTGTTGTCTTACTATGACATCATTATCCATGCGCACATCAATCAATTCAGGAATTCTTCATTTTAAATTCTCAAATGAAAAGAGGGGGGGGTCAGTTATAGAGATTTCATAAGTTCGGAATTCCTGACCCAATCGTTCTCTTCCTATGACATCATTATCCATGCGCACATCAATCAATTCAGGAATTCTTCATTTTAAATTCTTAAATGAAAAGAGGGGGGGGGAGGTCAGTTATAGACATTTCATAAGTTCGGAATACCTGACTCAATCGTTCTCTTCCTATGACATCATTATCCATGCGTACATCAATCAATTTAGGAATTCATAACTTGATGAGGTTTCTATAAATAAAGAGAAGAGAATTTACATCCATTGTGTTGGGAATTCTTTATGTGATATTTGACTTGCAGCTTGGAAACAGAAGATGATGCCTATGAGATGGAACAATATAAGAGACATTCAAAGACTCAGTTTTATTAAGTTTACTTGGATTAGCACTGGCGAATCTGGGGGGGGGGTCTGGGCCAAGAAAATCCTTAAGGCCCCAAAAAGTGGGCCCTTTTTGGTCATTACTGGGCCTTTTAAAGGCCTTATTTTTTAATTTCAGGGTTTTAGGGACCCAAATTTTTTTTCTGCTGAATTTTTTTTTTCTTGAAATTTGGCCCCCCCCCCTTGTTGGTTCCTAGATCCACCTCTGATTCATAATATATATTGGGACATATTTGTACTAATGCCCTATAAGGGCGAAACATACATCCAACAATAAAAAGAAATTACAGTAAAAACTATCTTTTGGGGTATGGTGTATGCATGTTCTAAGGAAGCGTTCACATATGTTCATGTATGTTCTTTATTATGAGGGGGCATATCAACACATCCGCATATACATATCATGATTAGTTTCTTTCGTATATACCAGAGAAGCCTTACAGTGTTGCATATCAGCTTGGAGCCTCATATATTCAGGAAACTTAAATACTTGTACTTTCTTCATTTTTGTTACTGATTTATGTAGTTTCACAAGTGTAACAAATTGTATCCAAAGCATATTATTACTTAACTCGAGTCTCAAGCCCATATAGAAATGGAGAAGGTAAACTTTACTACTTAATGATACATGTATTTCATTTGAATGAATTGGGAAACATATTGTGCAAATATATTTTACAGGGGTCTATTAAAATTTGAGGAGAGTACTGTCCTAATGATTTGATACAATTGAAATTTAAATGGTGAAGTTTGACCAGACAGAGATAAATGTTTAAATCTCTAAAACGGCATGGCATTATTCCAGATGTGAGAAAGATACTTAATGAGATCAGAGGTTGACTAAGTGATAACTGAACTGGTTGACTAGTGTGGAAATATAAATGCTAACAGTGTCTAATGCCCGAGTCAGATTTGCTCCGATTCATTGTCTGGCGCCTGGCCGAGTATTTTGTTCAAACTAAGACCAATGAATCGGAGCAAATTTGACTTGGAATGAATTATTAACAGTGGCTGGATATTTAACATAAGTAGTGGTTGAATACGAAAATTGGTTATCAGTCAAAGAATATATTTTTATTTTATTGAAATCCAAATGTCATATTATGAATTTTCAGAAATGTTGTAAAACATAAATGTTTTAATATTTTATTGCAAAGAAATATATATTTAATATATAGTTAAGACAGGTTATAAAATTGTGTTTTGTTACAATCTCAGTTGTATGTTTTAATATAGTGCATATTGTAGAAAATGTTTAATTTAAAATTCATTTAGGAATTGATGCATAATCAAACACTTAAAATTGTGAAAGGGAGGTTGCAAACTGAAATTAATGATTTAACACTGTTGAGAATTAGAAAGATGCCTTAGGCAAAGATAGCAATATACGTCCTAAGATAAATCTCTCTTTGCCCTTGGGCTATGCATCAATTCCCAGAGATGGTAGAGGATGAGGGGTGGGAGAAACTTGATGGTAGACTCTTGTATATCACACCTGGGGGGTCAGGCTATTATGCTACGCACCAAGAAGAAGTTACATAACTCTATCAACCTTTTACAAAACAAACTCAATAGAAATTGAAGGGAATTAATTTATTCACTATGTACATACATATAGTATAAAATAAGCAGTGAGAATGTCCAGAATCAAGATTGCCATATTATATTAATGACCAAAAGGTTCATTATGAAAAAAGCTGAATTTCCATATCCTATTCTGTTATATGCATTTACAACATTATGTCACATCCCAATCCAGTTACGTGGATAATAATCCTCGGGTGTAAATAAAGCAGCTAGATCTGAACCTGGCCTGGGGTAGAATTTAAAGTAGATCACCTCTCCCCCTGCAAGCCATCCTGCCCACCAACCAAATGTACCCACCGTCATTATCATGTGATTGCAACTACTTAATACTCCAAAATCAAATTCTCTTGTGTTATTATTTAGATACCTTGCCTTCGGGTAGAATTTGCTTTTGCGATTTTGATGACTCATATAGTACTTTCGCAAACTTTGATTGACAGTTTGTTTCGCCCATTCTGGGTCATCAGAAGCTACGATAAACACAACATTGGTGTATTTACTCAGATAGTAGGTCATAGCTTTCTGGATATAGAATTCATCCGCGACTGTATATCCAAGCTTGACGTTATTATAGTCCAACATGTCCCCTCTGCGGATATGGATCCCCACTAGGGTGGTAGATCTTGTCTTATTCCCTTGTTTAAAACCTGGAATCCTTTTGAGATATGAGTTGATCTTTTTTCTGTAATCATAATTAAAAGTGAAATGTTTCTTAAGATCATCTTTATAAGTTTCGAAATATTTCCAAGACTGAAAGTAACCGACTAAAGTTATGTCAAGATTATAATTTAAAAATTGTGTTCTTTTGTCATATCGCCCAATCTTTTCCAAATATCTAGGCCTTGAAAGATATGGTAGGTCCTTGTAGTCATTGACGACATCATCACCTAATTTGAATATGTCCCAGAGTTCAAGATTGCTAGAAATGCTCGCTTGCATTTTGTTGTCTCTAGCAATACCATATAAGGACGCATATTGAAATAACTGATTCCCAAAACCTTTTTGCCATTTCATGAATAATTTGTGATTTCTGGAAATCTTCGGGTCTCGTCTCATTTGTTCACCTAAATAAACTGGTTGCCATTTTGTCACGGACATCTTTCTGCGAGTCATTTTTCCAAGGGTGAATGCCCCATAGAAGAAACCCATCAGGGCCACAGCACCAAGGGCGGACATACATTGGTAATTCTGCAACCATTTTGGACCTACATCATGAAGTCAAAACAAAAATTATCAAACTTTTTATGTCACCACATACTGACAAATAGTCTTCAATTCAAAATGCATCCCATATAGCTTATCTATTACATATAGTAGGCATATACAAATGGTTTAAATCCATAAATCCCTAAAGATTCTTAATTCTTTTTCTTGCTTTTTCCCACTAATATCAATATATCGTTCCTTTTTCTTCAAAGATTTGACCAGCCCTCGTAAAATCCTAGACAATGCATGGTTGCTAAACTGTATCAATGGTAACCTGTCAAACAAAGTTATAAAAATACTGTAATACAGTATAATCAAAGATTTGCAATACAAAACTGCTTGGCATCACCATTTTCAAACCAATTGCTTACCTCTAAATATTCTCTTAAACACTAGAACAAGACATCTCAAAACTCCCATAATTTCACGCCCATCAATTAGTTTTATATTTTCATTAAGGCCGATATGATTACATCATATCAAAATCATCATTCCCTTATTCATACACCATAGGCCTGTTATATTTTGGATTGATAACTTGCATATATATTTGAAATCATGCAACGAGTGTTGCTTATATTGACAGTTCAAAGTTTGATCCATAGATTAACTATTGATTCCCTAACAAAAACTCTTCGATACAACTCCTATAAATCATCTTCAAATATATCATGGGATTATTACTTAATAAATAACAGCGAGAAAGTGCATGGCCCATATTTGTGTCAAAAATAAAGTTTGAGAATAATATCTTGTGGAAATATAGGCAATTTTGAGGTTTCTGTCATTTTATAGCAGAATGTAGTTGAAGAAAATTAATAATAATATTTACAAATTGTTAATCATTAACCCCCATCCAACAGACTTCAATTTTATCACCAAGTTAAAATTAATTTTGTGTTTTAAAGATAAAACTGCACAATAGTAATTTATAATCAAAATTGACTTGTTTTTGTTTGTTTTAAATTGTGCAAATTGTTCTTTAATCTTATCTGCACAAGGAGCAGGATTGAGGATTGTCTTTATAGTTAATTTGATATATGGAGCCATATAATTCAATAAAATAAATTAATTTATAAGTCTCTGGTTGATATCATAGGTTAAAGACCATTAAGGGTTCTTTTTATGGGTTCCTTAACTTCCTTTTTATATATCTTAATATTTTTAGATGCATTGCTCCACATTCTAGGCTCCTTCTATCCAGAGACATCTATTAGTATTATTATATTCATTGAAAACCCCTAATTTTCTTTAACACTTATAGATGGCATCTATGTTTCTACCTTATCATGGTTTACCAAATCTTCGAGTAATAATTCAAGCTGTGAATTATTATCTTAAAAAAGGAATTACTGTAGATACACTTAATTTGACGCTACTTAATTTGGCGGATTTGTTCAATTTCAAATATTGGCGGCTATTTAATTTGGCAGAGACAGGACTGAGCTCAAGTTTTATCATAGATCTGGAAATAAACATTTCAGATTCATGTATACTGCTTTCAGTAATGCATGGGTCACATTTGCTGCGAATCATCGGCCAGCGCCCGGCCGATTGAGTATTCTGTTCAAAACTGAATACATTTGTGAACAGGATACTCAATCGGCTGGGCGCCGGCCGATGAATCGGAGCAAATATGACCCAGGCATAAGTCTTGGTATAGCACGGACATCCAAATAGCAATACTTACACAAGCGATTAAAACGGTAGCCAAATTAAGTGTATATACAGTATGTCATAAATCAAAGATGAACTTTAGTTTAAATTGGTGCCTAGCCTTATTTGGTCTCTTAAATCTTATTTAAACTGTCTCGTTGAGTGACTAATAATGCTATATGATAAGCAAATGGCTTCAAGTGTTTATATTTTTATGTAATATAAAAAGACAAAAAACTATCCCCCAGTTAAGTGTTTTATTTGTGTTTTTGTTTTTTTTCATGTTAACATAAGAAAATGCCAAAAACCGATGTCTGCCAAAATTGATAATGGAGTAAACAAATTTAGCATATGCATATGCATATTGAAAGCATACAAGAGAGGCAGAATATTTTTAAGTGGGATGTACAAAATATGCTGACTATTCTAAATTGTTAAATGAGTGATATATAAATTTACCAAGATGCCGTTGTATGATGGTATTATCACTTGAAAATATATTTGTAAATAAATTAACACTATTTAAATCAAATTTTGGTAATGTTTCAGAAATTTTGCTGAAAAATATTTGCCTGTGTTGAGAATGCTTTGTACAATTTATGATAAAGTGAAATTCATCTTCTACACATTTACATATATTAGTATTACATAATCTTTCATTTACAGGTTTGGATTTTGGCTTTGTGTGTCTTCCTGTTTCTATTTTTAACTGATGTGAACTCAACGTAAATCTACTTATTGCTAATCTATATTTTTTATTGTCTAACTTTGTATATGGTTCTAATGCAAAATCTTTATAGAAATTGAAAAGTGAAAGTCAGTTTTCAGAATTATTACCAAATTAATTCTTAAAATAGAGTCAGTTTGTATGAAATAAAGAACTAAAAGATATGACAACGAATCTTGTGAATGTGAAACAGTGATCATTTTTTAAAGGATACCCTTAGCTCATCTCTTAATACTTCTTTAAATACGAAATAAAGAAAAAGGCACAATTTGATCAATCTCATCTAAATTCCTGATCTTTGTTTGGAATTTGAATAAGAAATTTTTAGAACCAAGCTGACAGAAACATTTTGAACACTCCCTGTGTTTTCATCATGTTTAAAAATAAATTGTAAAGTACTAAAGTACAACTTAATCATAAAACACAAGCCTGTGACGTGATTAGTACAAAAAGGTCACCATGTAACTGTGTTTACTCTTGTAAAGAAGTATAAAAGACTCAATGTTTTGATTTATATTTCAAAGAAAACAGGTCAAGATGAGATCACCAGCCACAGTAAGAACTGAGTAAGAAGGAGAAAGTGAACATTTAGGACACAAAAATAACATACTCTATATATCTTCGGGTAAAACTATTAAAAGAAGATTTTAGAGACATTTAATGCAAATTCATGGATATATGTTCTAATACAGATTTCTACAATTACCACAATTTTGTAGTAAATTAGCGCTGTTGAGGAATTAGTGCAAAACAATTACTCAAACTTGGAAACTAGAACAGAAGTTGACAGTTATTTAAGGCTCTGTACCTTACTCCTCTACCCAGTGTACAGTGATATTGCAATAGGACTTAGAAGAAAGTGTATGCTGGCTGGTTTTTCAATAAGAAACTAGAACTGCAATTGACAATAATTTAAGACCGAGTACCTTAATCAATTTCCCAGATTGACAGTAAAACGGAAGCATTTACGAAGAAATATATGTTTTACTTTAACAACAAACGCATGGCATTTCACTGATAAACTAAATCAGAAACTGGTGATAATTTGAGGCTATATGTATAATTAACGACTCAACATTATGCACTCACGCAGTATGTCACCACTGTCATGTTCCGGTGAATAACAATGTGGTAATGAGTAGTTAGGAACAAAATCGATACACAGCTAGTGATTATAACGGTCTTAATTATATAGAAATTCAAGAAGACCTGATCCAGTTCACATTTTTCAGAGGAGAGTAGACGGGAGATAAGTACATGCTGACACTCTAAGTAAACCATTTACATAAGGCTATGTCATTTAATTTTGTGTTTTGCAATATTTTCTGGTGCCTATAAACCCAAATCAGCAGTCAATTTTGTCAGTGCTATTAGCACAAATCAGTGCAGATTTTGCACTATCTATCAGTGCTAATGCTGCACAAGATAAACAAATAAGTTGTTTTCGTGCTGGACAATGCGGAGGCTTTTTTCTTATATCGTCAAAATGTGCATTAATCATGTACAATAAAACATACATTCATGTTGAAATGGATGGAGAATGTAATGCTGGATAATAATTTAGTCCATAGACTTTATTTATTTTGAAATCTTGAAATAACAAGGAAGTACTCTAACTAAACATGTTACTTATTTGCCATGGCCTTAATTGAACATTAAGTAGCGAGCCAGAAATATTCAAAGTGACCAAATGAAGTATTCTCCAAATCCGATAGAATAACAAATCAACCAATCATTTGGATTATAAATTGAAGGAAGTGAACATATTATTTGAAATATTCATATATCATGATAAATATTTTGAATTATTCATATATCATGATAAATCAGCATTCAGAATCAAATGCTTTTGTCAGGCCATAAATAGAAGTAAATTGAAGGTTATGCAAATAAGGTTCCGCTTCAAAGTAGTTTCAATCCATATCAAATAATAGTCAAAGGCAGTCTAAACTACAGTCAAATATATGACTCAACGACGTAATGTGGTTTATCTATCATTTACATTGGCTGATTACATAATTCATCCTGTTTTCGGGGGACGAGCAGAAGACTGACTTTCTATCAGCATTCGAAACAATGATTAACATCACCAGGAAGAATTGTGTAAAAAATAACTAAAGATTCCATATGTTTGTAAATAACCTCATGGAAAGATACATCAAGCAGATAACTTTATGTAACATATGTAACATAAAATATGTAACATAAAACTTGGAAAATGAAACAAGCAAACCTGGAAAATGTAACAAGCAAAGCATGACTGTAAGATGTAATATGAAACATAGGAATTTCACATGGAAAGGGAATAATATTTAAATAACACCAACTCTGACTTGGAGATTACATCAAAAAGGACGGATTAACACAGATTAGACATGAAAGATATAAAACTTAACATGGCAAATGTTACGTTACATTACAGTTGGAATCAGTAACACTGAACATGAAAAATGTAACATAAAAATTGGAATGAGTAACACCAGACATGAAAAATGTAATATTAAAAGTAAATAGTGCTAAACATTGAAGATTTCACAATATAATTGAAATAAGTGACACTGAAAGTAAATTGAAAACGCAACATTGAAATCAAAATTAGACATTAGACATTGAAAATTTCACAATATAATTGGAATAAGTGACACCGAAAATGGAAAATGTAACATCTAATTTTGAATTCACAACTTCAAATATAGAAACAGACACTGGAGCAACCACGTATAACACATTTATTGTGGTATTCATCATCACTATCGCAGTATTGATCGTCATAGGAAATCTCACAATTATCCTTCTGATTTTAACCACCCCAAAACTGAAAAGTAATATCACAAATCACTTTGTGGGATACATCTGCATGTCTGCTGTATACATAGGGGTCGTTGTTATCCCGTTAGATGTTATCGCCATGACGCAACCATCAAATATGTTATGTCTCAGTTCACTCGCTGCATTAATTTTTGCAATGTTGTATTTGTCGCTGATCTTGTTGGCAGTGACTTGTGAAAGATATATAGCCGTGTTACACCCATATAGGTATCACTACATTACATCATGGTTGGCCATCGGAGTGAAGATTTTGATATATTTGATAGCATTGATATGCAGTACAGTGCCTTTCATTTATTGTGGAATTGTCTACGGAGAAAATTTCACAAAACCTATTTTAAACTGGAGTAGTACAAATTGTATTATGTTATATAAACATCTAGCCCCTCTTGGATTCATGGTATTTATTGTGTGTTTTGTTCTTGTTGCTATGGCAACTGTTGTGATAATGTATCTAAAGATACTACTAGTTGCTAGGCAGCAAGCTCGACAGATTAAAGCAATGGACACTGTGATTCAAAATGTCTCTGTAAATGAGACACTAAATGATCGTAAACAGATAACAAAAGAAAAACGTGTGACAATTTTTATGGTTGCCACGGTGATCTATTATTATTTTGCATGGAGCCCCCTGTTGGGTGTACTGCTATGTATCTATATGGATCATGATGAAACAAGTCAAAATTTGAGTTATATAATGACCATCTCCGTGGTGACCATGTACACAACAAATCTAGTGAATCCATTCATCTATGGTTATGGTCACAAGGACTACAGGCATGCCTTAGCAACCATATGCTGTAGAAAGTGTAGCTATGGCAACCAAGTGGTTGAGACATTCAATTATCAGACTTCTGAAGTATGACAACTCTTAGTTAAGCATATCCTGGGGTTACAAGAAGCTTTAATTTGTAGTGTTAAGAATTCCTGAGTCTATTGTTTCTTAGACGTTATTGGTTAGAAACGATCGAGGAATCATACATTTACAAAGCCTCTATCTTTACAAGAAATTTCCCTCTGTACAGTCTAATGCAAAGTGGCTCATGTTAAAGAAATGTGCCCCACGTTAATAAATAACAAAGGTATTGTCAGATAAGAGGCATTTTCAGGACTGCATTTAGAGGCATGAATTAACCCAAGTGTTGCCATTTACAGGTTGACCTTGAGAGGCCCCATATTTTGGTAAGGGTGAAGTCGTAGTTTACATCAAACTTAAAAGTATAACTTTAACTACAGTATTACAGTTGGAAACATGTACATCCAAACACCTTTCAAATCGAAAAACCTCTCAATGTGAACACTTTTTTCAGTCACATATTTTGTCCAGTATCTCTCATTGACTTACATGTTTAAAAAACGTTGAAAAGTAAAGAACTGCATTGGTGTTTGGATTAGACAAGTTTTATTGTGTATTACAGTATTTGAATTGATGGAATATATTCCTTCTGCAAACATTGTTTCATTCACTAATTGCTCTAAAGTGTGTTTGTATTCATCAGAATTTAGGAATCAATTAATGGCGAGATGCCAACAAGTAGAACTCATAGAATTGAATCAATGTTTCATAAGATGCCATTATATTCTCTCTCTGTTTGCTTCCAGACCTCCTGTCTTTAAGTAGAACTTGTTTATATTGTAATAACTGTGTATTGTACAATTACCATTATTACCATGGATACAGGAGGTCAAGGTTATCTGTTTAGCTTATAAACCTCAAATAAATAGTTGAATCAAGATTACAAATAATAAAAAAATGCATTTTCATCACGTCAGAAATAGCTACATATTCCATATTTTGTTCAAAGTTTTAATTTACTTCAGCCGAAGAAAATAAATAAAACGTTCAATTTTCTTTTGAATCGTTATTTCTGATTTATTGTTGTATAAATGAAAGGGCTGTTACAGCATCGTAAATTAGAGTTATTTGCCATAATTACACGATCAATTCGGCTATAACAATAATATATGATGTATAAATGAAACGTAATAATATGATAAATAAATATTTATATTGATGTAACTTCCCATTCCAACTGACGGTTGCTATAGTAACATTCCATTCAATGGCTACAGCCGAAGTGAGGTTTTACTATAATAAGTAAAAGCCTGTATTCACCTGAAAATATTTCAACTAGCGGTGTCATAAAATTATTAGTCTATTTTATGAGGTAACTAGCGAACATATTGTCAGTTGGTGTGCGTTTTAAAATGGTTGCTATAGTAAAACACCATTTTTGTTTTCTTCATCTTCATCTTCTACATCCAATTTTCCATTCTTCAGCAGCGACCTTAGATTGACCCCTGTCCTATTAATGCCAATAAGAGGATGTATGGCTGACTGTATACTGCTATAGAGATTTGGGAAGAGTACCTCCTGAGAGGCTAACAGTTGCTTTGTACGATGTCTCTCCTGAAAAAACATCAAGGGAGATGAGGAGATATAAATCACTCTCAAAAAACAATATATTTCTAACTTAAACTGCCATTATTGTTGTTTGGTAGTTTATGATACAATGTAGTAGGGCCACAATAAGTCACATCAATATACTGTTTTTCCATTCCTTAAGTGTAACAAATGAAAATTATTTTTAAGATAGATAGATGGCAGCATGGTCGGACAAAGGGCTTCACTTTCCAATAATTGACATTGCCTCCCTTTACTCTCTACATAGACAATAAAAAACCATACATGAACCGATCAAACATGAACTTGAAGATCTTTTATGTATGTCCAAGATTCAAATTAGATAGAAAATGAAAGGATGGGTGAATAGTAATGAATACCTTTGGGGCTTCAAAGCAAGCAGGGCAATTCTCCGCTATCACAGGAAGTTTCTTCTGTTCAGCAAAGTCACGCAGATCTTTCTCCCGAACATAAACAAATGGTCGGATAACTCTCAAGTCACCCTCCCTGAAATAGCGAAACAAATTGAAATATAATAAGTTTCAGTGTAGTTTTAACAGGTGTCGTCGAAGAAATTCAAAATATAACTGAGCCAACGATTTACATCTGACAGTGGTCATGTGCTTACATAAGACTGTCACTCAGCTTTAAAATACACATTTCTCTAATGTTACTATGATAGAGTATGGATGGGGTACTTACTTCACTGTGTAGCTGGCTTTCATTGTTCTTAAGGTTCCATTATGGAACACGGACATCAGAAAACTAAAACATCAAACACATTCTCCAGTCAGTAAAGAACAACACAGAAAAATCAAATTATGCAAAATGCATAAAACATACTTATGTCATTTAAAAAACTTGTTATACAGGTTTTTTTGTCAGATTTTATAAGTAAACTGAAATTGAATGTAATTTCATAGAAATCAATTGTGCAATCAATCCAATAATAAAACCTTGTTTGGATATCAAATTATTAATCTGAGTGGTTTAATTGAATATATGTAAAATACAGTGGACTGTAATGAAATCAGCAAGGAATTTAAGTAAACCACTATGTAGTGAACATTCTAAATTTTATGAAAATTCAAAAGAAACAGAAACTTCATTCAAATTCTTGAGAGAAATTGGGTAAAAAAGGCATGATCAGAGAGAGAAATAGCAGACGTATACCTTTCTGCCAAATCATCTAAATGCTGACCCAGTGCGAGCACATTGTAACCTTCTCTCCTGGCAGCGGCATAGATTCTCCCTCTCTTCATACGGCTACAAAAACTGCATATGGAGGCACATTCATATGGTAGTGACATAGCACTGTCCATTATACCTGGAGAGAGATGGAAGAAACAGATTAGACAAAAACTGTATTTACATGTACATTGTACATGTACAATCTATGAAATGGGAAGTGGATTGCATTTTTGCTTCTCTTCTATGAGGATTATGTTCTCATTTGTTGCAACCTACTAAGACCAATTTTTTAAATTTAATACAGTAAATTGCTTCAATGGGAAAAGATTGAGGGCTTAAAAATTTTCATTTTTTCTACTGGAGAAATGCATGGAAAAGGATTGTAACACAACCCTAACTCCGGATATTGATGCACGACTTTCAATAAATAAATTTTTTGAATATCATTATTATATTATTTTTTATTCATTCGCTCATATCGCTATATTTAATCTTAAATACATTCATCTTCAATCGCCATCTTTATTGAGTCTTCAATTTCAAATGGTTGGCAATGATCTCTTAATGCTGTAAAAGACAGTAAAAGGCGTGTTTTGGTACTTTCACATATCTGAGCTTACATTGAGACTCGTAGAAGTACGGCACTCCTAGGGATGCGAGGTAAGACTTCAGTGGACTGGGGTCGTAAGATGGTGTCTCAGGATCAACAGTTACTGCACCAAACTCAAAGTTTATTCCCTGGAAAGCAGCAAATATAACAATATGTATTATCCTAAATGAGGTTCATGATATTGGGAATATCATGAGGTAAATATGATATATCTGTGCGAAGTTTCTATTTTTGAATTCTCCATGCTGGTCAGATATACATGTGCTATAAACATAGAGTGTATTTCCTTGTACTTAAGCTTTTTGTGATGTGCTGGTAAAGCAAATAAGGGGGAGGGGTCGACAGTCTCGAGGCAAGACTAGGTACAATTGCCAATACATAATTTCAGTGTTTTAATGATATCTTACCTTCTGCTTAGCGTAGAACTGATATTGGTGTATTGTGTGTAGTAATGAAAGGGAATCTTTCCCACCAGATAGACAGACTAACAGACGGTCGCCATCTTGAATCATTCCAAATTCCTCTAATGCCTGAAAGATTGAATATTGAAGTAAAGGTTGTGGACATGGTTTGAGGCAAGAATAACTAGAAGTGGTTTCTTTTCTCAAATACAGTTCAAGGCAACATGGTTTCCATTATTTCAGAATTATTTATACTTAACATATTTTTATCTATTTCACTTTATATTACATTCTTTTTTACATTCTTTATCATATTATTATTGATACACTTATTTGTAGAAGGCAGTGTGATAATTTCCTTTATGGTAAATTGAATAGAACATACCTCCTTAGTAGGCTTGAATATCTTCTTTGGAGGAGGGAACCATTTATGTTTCTTCCCAGGGGCAGGTTTCTCATCATTAACATTTTTGCTTGCTTTGTCCTCAGTATCATTTGGGTTATTTGGTCCAACTGTACCATTCACAAGAGTCCTAGAATTGGAGTCTTCTCTTGTGTCGTCACCGTTAACACTCTCGTGAGTTTTTGTTGTGCCATGACTAGAATCGGGTTGACTGTTAGTGGTATCTTGATTTTCAGTCAAAGGAGACCCAATATCATTTTCAAGTTTTGGCACAACATCAGTGTCAGTCACAGAACTTTTAACATTTGAAGTTTGGTGTATGGTAGTTGTCGATGAAATTATTGCACTTGGAGTTTCGGTCATTGCAGTTGGGATTTTCTGCATTGGAATTGGGGTTTGAGCTTGAGAATCCCTTTCGAGTCTTTCTACATTGTTTGAACCCAATTCATGTGCCACATGACCATATTTGGAATGTAAAACTGCAGTTGTATCTGAGGTGACAATGTCAGTATCAAGTTTGACATCTGTCTCACGGATGTTCCCCTTTTCATCATTGCACATAGTTTCAGATTCAGTTTGATCATTGTTTGAAGCATTATTTAATAGATCATCTTCACGTAGAAACCCTGAGTTATCATGCTTTTCCATTCCTTCCATGAATGTAACAGAAAAGTTACTGTCTTCTGTTTCAGTATGTTTGCCTAAAGTGACTTCAATATAAGCCTCATTTTCATATTGTCCACCATTTTGTTTAAAAGCTTCACTAAATGGTGGAATATCTAATGGATACGTTGGAGGAGTGAATGGGATGTGATATTGTTTGTTGCTAGGGAGTGTGTTGCTTAGCAACTGTTGGGCTTCACTAGGCAACAAAAACCAGCGCAGTTTCTGAGTTGCTTCATCAAATAACAATGTTTGGTCAGCCATGTTGTACCGCATCTGCAACAAAGATTGACGGGAATGAAAGACACACAGTCACAATAAATATCGCACTTTGACGAGCAAAATGACCACCATGTAATTTATTCTTGCATCACAGATGCACACCCAGCAAAGCAGGGTGATGACAATCCCGGGATGACAAAACAGCGCAATTTCAAAGTTTTATGGTAGGTAAAAAACTTGCTCTAGGTAGCATTCAGTATAATCTTAATACTGTCATGAGGCAACTTAATAACATAAATCAAGCATGAGTCTATTATAATACATTCTATTCAAGTGTTACTGCTTTAAAACCTCAAACAGTCAAGTAAAAAACAATATCCACTAAAAAGTACTGAAAGTAGATTGCCAGATCGCCAATTACGCTTTGAATGCTCTTATTTTCAGCAGCTTTAAAAAGAAAATATGACAATATTACCTTTTCAGCTTTTTTGAAAAGTTCCTGAGCTTTCTGAAGGCACTCATCATTATTTGAGGGCAGGGGACCTTTCTCATTTGTTGGTGGGTCCATATACTTCATTTCACCACTGGAAATATGGAATCCATTGATCATATGGTAATCTGTTGCTAATAGGGTAATTCATGAAAAATAATGCTTTTAAAGTGACTCCATGTATACTTTCCAGTTTTCTTTAGCAAATTAAAGACATTTTTATATCAAGCTTTCCAATGCCAAACACCAGAGGTGAAGATATTAAAATCACACAATTAATTCATTTTTAGTCCATGTGTTGATTGTGTAAGCCATCTTTTGATTCAAAAGTAAGTTAAAAATACCTTGGTGAAAAGTGTGCATGTGAAGTTCTCTTAACTTCTAATGCTGTTTCCTATGCAAGTTATTTTTCACGCTTCAATATTTACACAAAAGAATCTATGTATGTAGTATTCAATTGATTGTGTGAATAACATCCACATTTTTTGGGACTTTTTCATCTTAAACATGCATTGTGGCACTTTAACCCCCATGTTCAACCCACCTGTTGTATGATATGTAGCCAAGCCATTTACGATCTTTGAACACTTGATGTCGCTGTTGCCTCCACTCACCCGTCTCTGGGTTGAAAATATACTGGAAATACCGGTAAGTGGGTTAACAAAGTAGAAAACCAGAACAACGGCAACGCCAAAGCGTAGCGAATCCCATCGAACAGAAATGGCTGGCATTTTTACAAACGAAGCACAAATATCATAAAACAACACACCAGAAAGGCCACCATTTTCAAAATGGTTGCTCACTAGCCAAGTTGTCATTAGAAGAAATAATATGCTTTTAAGTAGCCACCTCTAAAATTTTTGAAAAATCGCACACGTACTTGTAAAATAACACACATAAAAATGGTGGCCATTTTGAAAAATGGCCGACTACTCCCCAAAGTTTTATTAGACAATGTGCCATGCTTAAAGTATTCACATATCAAATATGAACAAAATCGCTCCACTACTTTTCGAGTTATAGTAAAATACGTTAAAATGGCGGCCATTTTTCAAAATGGCCACCTTCTACCAAAAGCGTCATTAGAAATAGACAGTGTGCCATGCTTATAGTATTCACATACCAAATATGAACAAAATCACTCCACTACTTTTCAAATTATAGTGAAATACCTTAAAATGGCGGCCATTTTTCAAAATTGTTTTCAAAATGGCCGCCTTCTACCAAAAGTGTTATAGGACAGTGTGCCATGCTTATAGTATTCACATACCAAATATGAACAAAATCGCTCCACTATTTTTTGAGTTACAACAAAAATCGTAAAATGACGAGTAAAGGCCGCCATTTTTCAAGATGGCTGCCATGTGCTTCTTTGATATCTACATTTGTAGCATTATTAATGTCCTTTATAATTTTTTTACATTTAAAACATATTGCTATTGCAGTTTTACATATTGCACCTAAATTACTGTAAAATCATCACTAAAATGGCCGCCATTTTGAAATGAGAGGCCATTTTGAAAATCAGTTTTCGAGCAGAACTTCTACCCCCATAGGGTATATGTGTACAAAATATGAACAAAATCGGGCCAACAGTATTTCAGTTATTGCCCGGACGGATGGATGGACGTACGGACGTACGGACGGACGTACATACGGACGGACAGAGGCATTCCCTATATCCTTCCGAACTTCGTTCAATGGGATAATTACATTTAGGGGTAAGTTTCTCTTGTTAAGGTAGGTCATGTGTAAGAGAGAATAAGTCATCACACTCAGCTCACCTTAGCTTTCAATATGAATTAACTTTTTTGTTTATCTGTTTTATTCCACCTACTACCCATAGATTATACATGTACAACTACAGTCTTTAAATAACAATTATTATTACAGAGTCTTAATTTGAATTATTGTTGTAGTTATCTCAATCTGTTTTTTTATTATATCAGATACCAAAATTCAGCTTCAATGATTATCACCATTTAAAAAATTGAAACGTTTTAGCTTTATAGATTTATATGTACAGCTTTGGTTCACAGAGATGTATTTTCCATATTTTGGAACAATTGGATAACAGATATCAATTCACTGAATAACTTGGATTACAATCATAACAATGCACCAACTTGAGGAAGAAGCTTTTAACTATGTTCAGCAACCATCTTCATGGCATCAAGAATAAACCTTCTAGCTTTTACACATTTACATTTACATGAAGATGTACCTTTATCTGTTTTATCATCAGTGTTGCCTCACAGAGATGTATCAGATATAAATTCACTGAATTAATTTGAATTAAAGCAATGCACAAACCTGAGGAAGAAGTTTCCAACTATGCTCAGCAACCATCTTCATGGCATCAAGAATAAACCTTTTAGCTTTTACACATTTACATTTACATGAAGATGTACATTATCTGTTTTATCATCAGTGTTGCTTCACAGAGATGTATCAGATATAGATTCACTGAATTAATTTGAAGTAAAGCAATTCACCAACCTGAGGAAGAAGTTTCCAACTATGCTCAGCAACCAGCTTCACAGCATTGAGTATAAACATGACATCACAATCTGACATAAAGTAAGGGAGATTCAATCTGGCAAAACCAGGCCTAAAATACAGAACTCAGAAATTAGAGGCATATTATATGTAAGAGTTATGAACTTTGATATTAGATCGATCCAAGCCTGTAGCCAGGATTTGCCAAGGGGGGTTCACTTTTTTAAAAATTCCAGGGGGGGTTCACTTGTGACAATTTTGGTCCAAAAATGGCCAAAATCACTTAAAAAGTGCTCAAAATGGTGAAAAACTGCATGATTTTGAAAGATTTTTTGGCTGGGGGGGGGGGTCAAACCCATCGAAACCCCCCTGGCTACGGGCATGCTATCCATATCCTTAGAGATATTTCTACAGATAATTCCTGAGGAACCTGAATAATAACTCCTTAACATGTTGAAATTTTCCAGTCTCAAGTGTTTTAGCCCACTTACATGTTCATTTACATAATTTTTATCATTATCCATTTGCTCAAATATCGATGCTAACTCACTAACATTTTCATCACATCTTGTTTATGTAAATAGTAACTGTCAAAAACTTGCAAAAAATGAAACAAATTTTGGTTCTAAACCCATTTCAAAACCTGGAAGTCTGAACAAGTTAAAATCTAAAAAGAGAAAAATGTGATACCTTAATATTTCTTTCTCTGAATATTCTCTATATCTGCGAAGATGGGTTCTATCTAAACGACTGAAAACAAAATCACAAAAATTCAAAAAATGTGTACAATAATGTTTGGCTCTTTTCAGGTCATCAAAACATGAAACTATAGGCTCTATGTAAGTATTGGTAATTGTGGGATAATCTTGAAGTATACCTATCTTCTACAAGTAGCTCTTCAATCTCCTTTGCTGTCTGTTCGTCTATCCCCATAACATCCTATAAAGACCAATAAATGAAATAAAAATAAATAAAACAAATAAGCAAAACAATGGCAAACTTAATTAAAGGACTAGAATTTTATGAGAAAGAAATCTATAGTACTAAAAGGCCTCAAACTGTGAGCCTTAACCCAAAAGACTTCTGTACAGTACAGGACTTGCATTAAAGTTAATGTTACATACTGTAATGTTTTGATTAACAATATCAAATGTATCAAAAGAATGAATAAAATTATCTATAATAAATCTATATTTCTTCTATAAATGCATTTTATACGCTATAACCTATCCTATAAGTAGTCAGATGTATACATTAATATAATTGGGACAGCGTAACAGCATACATAACGTTATTATATAGAGGTTATTTAATGGGAGGGATGGAATATGGATTTCATTCCGAGGGAAAATATGATATTGGCCAAGGAAAATATCATATTGACCGAGGGCGATAGCCCGAGTGTCAATATGATATTTTCTGAGGCCAATATCATATTTTCTCAAGGAATAAATCCATATTCCATCACGACCATCAATAACCTATTTATTTCATAATATTTTTTTTTCAATTTTTGTATGTCATCTCCTCGATCGGTCTGAGTTCATTCCTCTCACTCCGTAAAAAATCTACTAGGATTTTTATGTCACTTTTAGTTTTCTTCGAAGTATTGATATTTTCTTGACCTTTAATGAAGTCATCAACATCCTCTGTTGCATACCTAGACATATTTGTCACAGTAATAGACCTTTGTCACAGTAATAGACGTAAACTAGATGATAATAATTTCAATAATTTCAGTTTTCCAAACGATTTTTTTACTTCCTGTAGAGATGTGCTAGACGAAAAGCCTAAAACTCAAGAGAAATTACCGGGAATATTTCTGATACGGGATCTGATACAGGATTTTTGCTGATACGGGATCCAATACGGGATCTGATACGGGATTTTGGCTGATACGGGATCTGATACGGGATTTTTCAAATAACACTTTTATTCCCTGTTATTTTCCCAGGGAAAACATGTTATTATGGAATAAAAAGTGGTTATTCACCTGAGCGTATGGTTCTGCACATGCAAAGCCTCCCCTGGCTTGGATTCCAAACACATCATTCAAGACAACACATATAAAATTATGATGAAGTGGGTATTTACCTGGGCATATGGTCCTGCACATGCACAGCCTCCCCTGGCTTGGATTCCAAACACATCATTCAAGACAACACATATAAAGCTATGATTAAGTGGGTATTTACCTGAGCATAAGGTCCTGCACATGCACAGCCTCCCCTGGCTTGGATTCCAAACACATCATTCAAAACAGCACATATAAAGTTATGATGTAAGAATAGACCCGTCCGTTTGTCTTGGATCATAATGGAGAATATTGGCAGACGGGGAACATCTGTTGGACCCAGAATGATCAGATTTGGTACATCTTTCCAATGCTCTATTGCTAACCTTGGTAAAAAATTAAAGAAAAATAAAATAATACATTAAATATGTACACTTTGGAGACTACATTGTGGAGTAAAAGATGAAAAATTCCTGATATGAGTTGGCAAAATATGAAATTCATTGAAATGAATCTCAAGTTGATCAAAATAACCTTATTTGGAAGTGCAAACAATACACCACTAGACAACAGATGTTTCAATTAAGTTTCCCAAATGCTGCACATGTACATTCAACTCACACCGCCTGTGACACACCACAAATATTTTGATACCTGCATAATTCATGCTCCCTCTCAAGAATGACCTCTGGGGACACTGCTTGCTTTAACTGGAAGACGAGTCCTGCCCTTATAGACTCAACAATAGGTGGCGTACCTCCTTCTTCCCGCATTTCTGCCTCTTGGAGATACCTATGGGCCTCACGACGCACCTTCAGATAAATAATAATGGAAGTCAATATTAAATAATTAAATATCATCACTAGAAAATAATGAATGTTTTGAGGTAATTTTAAGCATGAAGTTCCTGGAGCAACGCTTAATTTTATTGAAAAGAAACTCATTATATTCTTAAACTGGAATCTTTGCTGCAGTTTCGAGCCCATCCTCCGATCACAGGGCTTCAAAATCCAGAATATATTCTTTCTTTTTACCCCCTGCGATAAGCAGTTACCATTTCCCCGATAAAGAACTCGCAATCTGATTGGCTGTCGCAACACTGCGACAATCATGTGTAAGTCATTGTGCATAATTAAATCACTTGATTCAGTTAAATCGGGCGCTTCCAAATTGGTTATAGCAGGGGGAAGAAGGAGGTACGGATTCTGGACACCTGCTTAGGAGGATGCTTCGAGCCATTTAATTGTTATTTTCTGTAATCTGACCTTTCAATAACTTGATGAATATGAGCGTAATTGAGAGGAATGAAAACCCATTAGATAATTGAGAAAACAAAAATCCAAAAACTGGAAAGACTAAATGGGGAGTAGTGTTATTGCAGTGTTATTGCCCCTCCACCCAAAGCCTAAGATGATCCATATATACTCACAAAGAAGACAGATCCTCCCCCACAGGCTGAGGGTACAGGGTTCTGGAAAAGAGATTTCTTGGCTACAAGTATTCCAGGGGTGCTGACTCCCCCTATGAACTTGTGAGTTGACAGAAAGATGGCGTCCTTGTAGGCTAGGGCCTGGTCACCACTGGAAGAAAAACATTAAGGTGATTTCATTGAAGTTTTACCAGGCCAGGCCCGTAGCCAGGATTTGCCAAGGGGGGTTCAATTTTCAAAAATTTCCAGGGGGGGTTCACATTTGACAATTTTGGCCCAAATTAGGCTAAAATCACTTGAGAAGTGCTCAAAATGGTCAAAAACAGCATGATTTTGAAAGACTTTTTGGCCAGGGGGGGGGGGGGTTCGCCCAAACCCTGCGAACCCCCCCTGGCTACGGGCCTGCAGGCCCATAGTCTCTATAGGAGGGTTCAGGTGCAAGGCCAAAAATTATTTCAAAAGCATGCAGTTTACAATTTTGAGCAATCTTTAAGTGATTTTGGGCCAAAATTGTCAAATAATTAACTCCCCTGACATTTTCTATACAACTGAACCCACTTGGCAAAAGCTGGTCACAGGTCTGTTAATCCTGGTTTTTATTTCATAACAAAAGTTTTTTTCAAAATTTCAAAAGACACTGTTTTGTTCTAATGCTAAAGATTATAGGCTTTTAAGACACTCTTACAGCCCATGATTAATACATGATAAAACGAACATTATCTACACGAATAAAACTTTAATCACATCAAATTCTTTCATTGAGAATGACAACTACATGTACCTTGTTGACACAGGATTCATGTCAATCTTAACGTAGGGTCCAGCAGTTGCGTAATCCCAGAATGCAAATGCGCCATAGCGATGCAGCAGTTTAGTGATATCGTCAATGGCAACCAGAATCCCAGTTATATTTGATGCAGCTGAAAAGCAGCCAATCAGCTGCTTCTTTGTATTTGCTGCCCTCTGGAAAGGAATAACATGTTTTTACTGATCAGCCTCTGATAAATACATGTATCTTGGGATATTGAATGTTGTTTGTTTTTTTTGTTTCTTTGTTTTCAAACAATAAATATTCTATGAACAAGGCACAGACGTGAACAATATCGTACCTAAAACACAGCATTGTGGTCTTGTTGACCAAGAAAGCAAGATGGCCACAAAAAAGTTAATCAGCTCTAGAACTTATCACTGTGTAACATATGTAAAACATTTGAACGGTTTGGCTGGAAACCTGTAGACAAGCCTCGATAGACAAGATTTTAGGACGGAAAATCTAAAATGGCAGCCTTAACATTTACCCCGGATGCCCAAAAACTAATCAGTTCTTGACGTTGATATGTAGAAACATCCCTGAAAATTTCAGATGAATCCCTCAAATGGTTTGGCTGGAAACCTGTAGACAAGTCTTGAAAGTGAAGATTTTAGGACGTAAATTCCAAAATGGCCACCTTAAAATTTACCCAGAATGCCCAAAAACCAATCAGTTCTTGACGTTGATATGTAGAAACATCCCTGAAAATTTCAGATGAATCCCTCAAATGGTTTGGCTGAAAATCTGTAGACAAGTCTTGAAAGTGAAGATTTTAGGACAGAAAATCCAAAATGGCCACCTTAACATTTACCCAGAATGCCCATGAATCCCTCAAATGGTTTGGCTGGAGACCTGTAGACAAGCTGAAAAGTGAGACGCCGCCCGCCCGCCCGTCAAGCTGACTACAATATCGTACTTCTTGTTAGGTACGATAAAAAGAAATTTTGAAAGACATGGGATTTTCAACAAACATCAAAACACAACCAGTTCTGAGATTTAAATGGATGAAAATGCAACTTAAAATTCCAAAGAATTTATAATATGCAGTGGAGAAGCATGCTATCTGGCAATTTACTCTCCATTCCTCACTACCTAGATGCCAGTTTCATAACTTAGCTAATTCAAGTATTTGTAACATGGCAGACATAGAACAAAGACACACAATGATGAATATAGCACTTTGAAGAGCAAATGTAATTTACCCAGCATGCCCAAAACCTAATCAGTTGTTGGCACTAGTCTGCTTATGCATGTGTAAACATTTCAAGTTGAACAGCTGAGCGGTTTTCCTCGATTTTCTTTGACAAGATTTATCAAATAATTCAAAATGGCTGCCTTGTAATTTACCCAACATGCTAGAAACCAAATCAGATGTTGGCACTTGCTTGGGTTCACGTTGAACAGATGAGCAGTTTTCCAGATATTTTAATTCATTCACGACTGACCACTTTTTGGGGGAAAAAATGAAAAATGAAATATAAATGAAGCAAGAAAATGAAGCAAAAAATGAAAAAAATTGGATATGCAATTCAAGATGGTTGATTTGGATTTTAAAAAAGAATGGAATTTTTTTAGCACTTAATTTTTATTGAGACATAACTTTGTCATAAGCTATCCAACACATATTGTGCTGTAATTTGCTGATAAATATGTATGGATCAAACAAATTTGACACAAGTAAATATAACCTATATCTAAGCTTATCTTATACCTACTACAGTAAATATAGTTACTAAAGTAACTGAGACAATGGTTCAAATGTCTTATTTGTATAGCAGATAAACTTATAATTGGTTACGTGTGTAAGAGAAACCATAGTAGTACACTACAATCAAAAATTACTGCTTCATATTATTCAATGATGCCAGGAAAATACTGAAAAGACAGTTAAGAACAACAGAAAAATGTGTGTGTACTAGTATATTATGAGGCGCATATGTTGATAAACTGTTTTATGAAGTGACATAAAAGTGTAATACAAATTCCATATACCATACAGCACATATGTGTATAATAATAAAGGATACATCAGGGACTATCTGAGATTGCTAGAAAGTTCACCATCAATCGTTGAATAAATGCATATACTTTATGTGAGAACTTATATTATTTATACATGCTATATATACTGAGGCATGCAGAAGACCAGGGAACTAATTAATAATACTTAGTTCTGGAAGGCAGCTTTTGGAATATACCTTTACTATGGAAAGGATAATGGACTATAGTAGCAAGGTCATAATGAAATGATACATCATCCCAAAAGTGTGATAACTAATGCTGATGGTATGACAACTTGTGCCAAAACTATGATGAATAATGCTGATGGTGTGATAAATGATGCTGATGGTGTGATAACTGGTGCCAAAACTATGATGAAAAATGCCGATGGTGTGATAAATGATGCTGGATATATGAAAAAGGATACTAATGGAATGACACATCATCGCAAAAGTGTGATAAAAATGCTGATGGTGTGATAGTCAATGTTGATGGTACCAAAAGTATGACAAACATTTCTGCTTCTTTGATGAATGATGATAATACTTCTAGTAGAAAATTATTTACAAATAGTTTTCAGAGAATGGCAAATGGCCATAAAGGAAAACATATTTGTGATATATGCCATAGGATGTGCAAATATAAGTCTGAACGTATGGAACATTATAAAATACATACTGGAGAAAAGAACTTCAAATGTGATGTTTGTTCTAAAACATTTTCAAGAAAGTCAACTCTTAACATACACTATAGAATTCATACTGGAGAAAAGAATTTCAAATGTGATGTTTGTTCTAAAACATTTTCAAGAAAGTCAACTCTTAACATACACTATAGAATTCATACTGGAGAAAAGAATTTCAAATGTGATGTTTGTTCTAAAACATTTTCAAGAAAGTCAACTCTTAACATACACTATAGAATTCATACTGGAGAAAAGAATTTCAAATGTGATGTTTGTTCCAAAACATTTACAAGAAAGTCACATCTTACCTCACACTATAGAATTCATACTGGAGAAAAGAACTTCAAATGTGATGTTTGTTCCAAAACATTTTTAAGAAAGTCAAATCTTAATATTCATTATAGAATTCATACTGAAGAAAAGAATTTCAAATGTGATGTTTGTTCCAAAACATTTGCACAAAAGTCAACTCTTAACATACACTATAGAATTCATACTGGAGAAAAGAATTTCAAATGTGATGTTTGTTCCAAAACATTTGCACATGCATCAACTCTATACTCACATTATAGAATTCATACTGGAGAAAAGAACTTCAAATGTGATGTTTGTTCCAAAACATTTTTAAGAAAATCAAATCTTAATATTCATTATAGAATTCATACTGAAGAAAAGAATTTCAAATGTGATGTTTGTTCCAAAACATTTGCACAAAAGTCAACTCTTAACATACATTATAGAATTCATACTGGAGAAAAGAATTACAAATGTGATGTTTGTTCCAAAACATTTGCACATGCGTCAACTCTATACTCACATTATAGAATTCATACTGGAGAAAAGAATTTCAAATGTGATGTTTGTTCCAGAACATTTTCAATAAAGTCATATCTTAATAAACATTATAGAATTCATACTGGAGAAAAGAATTTCAAATGTGATGTTTGTTCCAAAACATTTGCACAAAAGTCAACTCTTAAGGGTCACTACAGAATTCATACTGGAGAAAAGAATTTCAAATGTGATGTTTGTTCCAAAACATTTACAAGAAAGTCACATCTTAACTCACACTATAGAATTCATACTGGAGAAAAGAACTTCAAATGTGATGTTTGTTCCAAAACATTTTTAAGACAGTCAACTCTTAATAATCATTATAGAATTCATACTGGAGAAAAGAATTTCAAATGTGATGTTTGTTCCAAAACATTTGCACAAAAGTCAACTCTTAAGGGTCACTACAGAATTCATACTGGAGAAAAGAATTTCAAATGTGATGTTTGTTCCAAAACATTTACAAGAAAGAGTAATCTTAATGCTCATCTTAGTATTCATACTGGAGAAAAGAATTTCAAATGTGATGTTTGTTCCAAAACATTTACAAGAAAGTCACGACTTGACGTACACTATAGAATTCACACCAAAGAAGAAACACACTAAATGTGACATAAATGTTGCATATAGATGTCACCACTGGGTGAAATACATAAAAAAAAACACATCAACAATGAAATATAATTTTTTACATATGATTAAGTTTAGATTGAGATTAATTTGTTTGAGAAAACCATGTGGCTAATGCAAAATCACAAAAACAATGTTTTCTTTCCAATGTAGGAAGGTTTTATTTGAACATATAAAATTATTGTTTATGGAAATACCGCACTCTGAAGATTGTGTCTATACTGTTTCAGTTTTTGCTATAAATCCAATTAATAATTGCAATTTCATTACTTTTATTTTGTATTTTACATGTAAATAAATTTTTCAACCAGTATGTTGGCCAGTTGGTAAAATGATGGCAATCTTTCAACTGTCAAATGTAGTGATGTAATTTCATTAAAACTGTATGTGTACATTAATGTACATGTACATTAAAGCATGTAAAAAAATATCTTTACAATTTTTCGATGTGTCAATTTCACCCTGGAATAGCCTGACAACGTTAAAGTCAGATACCATTTTCACAAATGTCGGAAATAACCGTTGCTAGAATTTTGATGACAAGATTTATTGAAAAATTCAAAATGGCTGCCAACTAATGTACCCAGCATGCCCTAGTGCATATTTGCACTAGTCTGCTCTTGCATCTGTAAAAAATTCAAATTGAACAGGTAATCAGTTTTCCTGGATACTGATGATAAGATTTGACTTAATTTTGAAGAGCTAATGGTGAAAATCAAGATTATTTGCATCTAATCTATTATGAATAGTACTTTATGTATAATTATCCGACATCCAAGTTTGAAGTGCTTCCTTATATCTGGGTATAATGTACCTCAGAAGATAAGAAATGTTATCTTATTCATCTGATAGACAACAGACAGACGACAGTTATGAAACAATAATATTTCACATAATCAGCTGATTGCAGGGGTTTCATTATCAGCAGGCCATAGGCGATTTTCACCAGTTGTTTTCACAAAATTGCCTGTTGTTTTTAGGGACTTTTCAATGTTAAATTTATGATTTGGATTTTTGCCTGTTGTTTTCATTTATTAAGCCTGTTGTGAGAAATTCTAGTGAAACCCCTGTAGTTCAATGATTTATTTAAGGATTTAAGCACTGGCCTCAGTGCATTGGACTCAAGTTGGCCAAGCATCAATTTCAATAAAAGTGATACTTGGCTACATCAGAAAAATTGGTATCTGGGGTGAAAGTTGTCATATTGTGGATTTTGACCCTAAATTGGAAAATTAATGGGATTAATATCATTAAATCTATCACAGCCGATCTTCAATCATCATAATAATTTTATTAATTAAGAGATCATCCTTAGGTAGTATGAAGAGTTTTATTAGTCTGCTGTTCATGGTTGTCATGGAAACCACAATTAAGGTTGAAAAAATCTATATTTTTGGAAAAGTATATCTGTATGTATTATAGATCGCATGTTTATTGTTTTTCAAATCAACAGATATCACAACATTTTAGCACTTTCAAAATCATCAGGACAGTTCAAATTGAAATTGATGCTTGGCCAACTTAAGTCCATATGTTTGAATACAAAGGATAGTGCAGCTAACATGATTGATAGTAATATACAGTATAAACATGTACTCTTCAATCATATTGTCTATCAATACTAAACAAGCTGGTTAATCAAACAAATTATTTATAAAATGAGATCAATAAGCTGTGAAGAATGAAATTAAATAAGTGTACATTATTAACTCCAACATTTTAGTGCAAATACACATCTAAGTATTGCTGAAAAATTACCTCTGCAATTCAATAAATTGCTGAAAAATTACCTTTGGAATTCAATAAATTGCTGAAAAATTACCTCTGCAATTCAATAAATTGCAGAAAAATCACCTGTAATTAAGCAAAGATACTAAATTGCTGATAAACTAACCTGTAGTTCAAATTCAAGATGTGTAGAGTCAACTAAACCTTCTCTTGTCTCCCTTACTCTCACCACCTAAAATCATAACCTCAATGATGTCAGGTATGCGTCATGATGTCAAACAATGGTGTCACATAAAAGACAAAATGATAAATTATGATTTATTTTGAATAAAATTTAAAGACAAGTTTATTGCTTAAATTTAATGCACATTTTTTGATTACAGTAAAACCTGTCTTAGTGAACATCTCTCTCTCTCTCTAGTGAACCCCTGTTTCTAGTAGACACTCTTCCTCCACACATATTCTACTGACTTTTGTATAAATTACCCTATCTGTAGTGAACACCTACCAACAATAAATTTTTTTTCACGGCAAAAATGTTCAATACACACAGGTTTTACTGTATTTGAAAAAAACTTTTGACTTTGTCTGGCAATAAGTAAAAGACATTACGATTCATGCAAATACTAGAGTGTACAAAAACGTTTACCTCTGCGCCTATTTCTTTCCATGGTAACAGATTTGAATGATGTTCATAAGGTCCAACAAACACGGTCTGAAAACATGTCATTGGAAAATTTATAAGAACATTTAACGGTGCTCTGTTTCTTCAAAAGATATCATCTATTTTGGATCTACATGTACTTCCTTTATAAAAATTAGTAACATCCCCCTCCATTACAGTAGCTACAAAGTTGTAGCTACAACATCCCGGGTACACAACGCCCTCTGAAAAGTAGGACAGCTCTTGGGATAACATAAATGCCATACAATCCACTCTACTCGGTTTTATCTTAAAATTGTAATTTAAGTAAGACTGAATTATATTGTAAGCATTTGTCCTGTTTTTCATCGCCAAGAATTATTCTATGAAAATGTTTATTCAAAAATTGTAGTTTTTAACTTTTCCAAGCACAACTTCATCTTTGGAGATTACATATATCAATCTACATCTCAATACAAATGAAACTTGGAAAAAATATTCAAAGAGGAATAATTACATACTGGAAATATTCAATAAGGAGAAAACTAGTAGAACGACCATTACTCAAGAAAGAAAAGCATACATAGAGAGATACATACTGGAGGATGGCTAAAATTCAATGCATGTATCAACTTATGGACTGCTCCAGTGCACCCACTCCCTGTGAAGATCACCGCATCGTGCTCACTCGCATTCACTGCATTCCTTATAATGTCTCTGGAATAAAAGAAAAAAACAATTAATTCATCATATCATAAATATAACAATGTATAATAATTCATATACACATGTAATATATGTTTATTCCATAATACTACTGTTTTCCCTGGGAAATAAAATTGTATTGTCCCTCTTAATATTGTGTAAACTAGAAAAATCGTATAATCTCAGGAATAAATCGCATTTACTAGAAAAATCATATATCTTTAACATGTTCAATATGACATTGAAAGCAAGATTTATTCTTATTTATTGTTACTTAAAAGCATGGGTTCTGCATTTATAGCCTATTTACTTGTAACAAGGCCATAGAAAACATTTAATTATGGAATAAAAGGTTATTTTCAATATGGATTTTATTCCACAGGAAATTTATTGTTTATTAGTCCTATAAAAAGTATGTACAAAAATGCAGCATGACAAATAATCAAGAGCTTAAAAAACGAATATAATAAAAAGGTAACTAGCCCTAATGTGAAATATGACATTGACATCGGTAAAAATGATATTGACACTCACTCACTACGCGCGTTCGGTCAATATCATATTTCCCATGGTCAATATCATATTACCCTGGAATAAAATTCATATTGAAAATCAAGCATGAAATAACCTATATTTATTTTGTTTATAATTACTATTTTGTTTATAATTACTAATTTGTTTATAATTACTATTTGTGAAGGCTTGAAGAAAACAGAACAGGTCTTTCAGCTTCATAATTAAAGTGGGTCAACATTTGAATAACCATTAAGGGCCAAGAGTTCAAATCAGTCCTTAGCACAAAATTATTCACAATTTGCATGTTCTAGATACTGAACAAAATTTCGATCATTTTACCTCGCTTCGTGCCGGAACAATGTTGTCTGTAGTGATGTCACTGAGGTTGTGGTGTGTGTGTTGCCATAGTCAGGTAACACTTCATCTCGTATGTAGTCCTCTATAAACCCCAGTGATCTGGAATATCAATGTGTTGGACTATACTGGCAAGCTTTGATTTTATCAAATTGACAAACAGAAAGTCTGTATTATGTTTGATAAACAAATAAATGATCAGGGTTTCACTCCAGTGACTCCAGTGAAGTTCAATATATCCATCTAAAAATTTGTGTTTACCTTTGGAGTCAATTCACTCAGACATGTAATGTTATAATAAGGGGGTGGGGGGGGGGGGTTATGACATCTAACCTGGCTATTGTCCAGTACTGCAGGTACATTCAGACAATCCTGTCATAATTTTTATGACAAGGAAAGTTTTACACTAATGCAAATATGACAAGTTTGTGGAAAAATATGTATATCTGTTCCAAATCCTTTTTAATTACAAGTATAGAAGGACTCACCTTCCTGAAGCTGTATAGTCACAATAAACCACTGAAATAAAATACAAGAACATAATGAAGTATAGGGCCACATATCTCTAATGCCAAGGTTTACATAAAGCATAATTTTCAGGTTTTCACTGAATATTTCACACACGGTTCATTATGTGAAAACTTTGTTCGGATTGGCTGAAATCAGACACACCTTGCCTAGCTATGTGTGAATGTGCAATAATATATGGAAAAATATATTCCTATTGTACATGAATGACATTTGTATATCTTGGATTGCTTCTAGTTTGGCTAATAAAGTATGTGGCCTCTCATATTTTGATGCTTCTCTGCCATATTTACCTTCTTCTATGGCCACTGTATTGTGGCCTTCGTGGAAAGATAAGTTCCTGCATGAACAACTGGTCATGTCATAATCATAAAATTTGAAATCATATGTCCGCCATTTTTCCACATCACAATTTGAATTGCGAGTTTTGGTCTTATTACCTCACCAAAAATTCCAAAACACACATGAAGTGATCAGTGTATTAGTTCACATCTTCTGGATTGCTAACCTAGAAGTTACAGTCAGTTACTAATGTCAGACATTAACGACATTTCGTCCAGTTTTCGAATATCGCCATTTTTCTTGGAGCCATTTTGTTTTAATTTTAGACGAAATCATGTCATATCTCATCAAGGAGCTGAGCCGGTTCCGTTTTAATTAGAGTAGATTTCATGGCCTGACTTCGTCGGTAGAACTTGAAAAATAAGATTTATCTGAAGATTAGGAGTCTTACTTACCCTCTAGAGGTTAGAACACACATTTTAATGAAACCATATCAGCTATGTTTTGTTCATGATGAAGCACAGTACTTGATTGAAATTTGTGTTAATGCTTTTTTGACTTTTCCATTTTCCTCATGTTTACTTCCGGGACGGCTTTGCCTCTATCACGAAATACTGTATCGACCTTGAACTTTAATTTTGTGACATATCATCCAACCATGTCTGATGTAAAAATAATTAAAATATTTGAAAATAATGTTTTGTGGTCTCTTCTGCAGACGAGTTTAGGACAGGGCAGAGGAGGATGGCCTGTTCTTTTCTATAGAAAAAGTGCATGATCTACAGTTGAACTATTGGTCTGAATGAAATGCTGCGCGGAAAGTATGAATGGGTCTTCTGCTGTCTGCTCTAATTTAGACCAAAGTGTAGACAAATACACGCACGTGTAAATTATAAAATCAACGAACAAAGATTAAATTTTCACAAATGTTCAGTAATTTATCGTATTGAAACTTCCGGAACTTACTAGGAAATCATTCATTTTCATGATCCATAATTTACCTCTTGGATATTGTGCTAAATGCTCTATAGTTGACGCAACAAAGGTGATAGAGTTTCATTAAAATGTGTGTTCTAACCTCTAGAGGGTAAGTAAGACTCCTAATCTTCAGGTAAATCTTACTTTTCAAGTTCTACCGGCGAAGTCAGGCCATGAAATCTACTCTAATGATTTATCTGTTATTATTTTTAAATGTTAAGGTTTTAAATTATATTCTATTCAAATTCTATCACTGTTAAACTATATATCTGCTTTATATGGGCTTATTAGCCTTTTGCAGATTATTGACATAGACATAGACATCTGGCGATTTTTAAAATATTCAATAAAGGACGATTCTCGGTTTGGAGAACGAAGTTCATCAATCTAAATGAGCATTATCCCTGCTTCGGACAAATTTGATTTTTTTACATAATAAAGATTTGAATGTCTTCTTTTGAATAGTCATAATTTAATTTGGGTAATATTTCTAGATTTTTCGCAAAAAAATATTAGCGCAGTACACTGATGAACTTCTTTCCCCAAATCGAGACTTGTATTTATATTGAATCGGTCTATTTGAGCATTATCCCTGCTTCAGACCAATTTGTTATCTTTACATCTTGTAGATTTAAATGTCCTCTTTTAAATATTCATAGTTTAATTTGGGTAATATTTCTATATTTTTCATGAAAAAAATTATTAGCCCAGGAGACTGTTCTCCAAACCGAGAATCGTCCTTTATGACACGGCAGCCAGCTTTTTTCAAATGGAGTTCACAGTATTCCAGATTTACTCACTTCGAGAGCCATGTTAGATTTTGAAACTTATGGCTCTCAAACGGAGAAGTGAACAGCTGATCAATAGTGACATTTGAAATTGAATTAAGTCGATCCGCGGCTTACTTTTGGTCTCTAACTGTGTCTTACATCAGTATCATCAATCCGTGTAAGTATTGGAGCGCTGGAGTACTTCTTTTTCGATCGAGACTTGTAAATTGTTCATCGAGTTAAAGTTTTACAGACCTATTTCCAATATGGCGGTTTGCTTGGTGCGAGATATGCAACGAACGAAATGAATTTTGAGAATTAGTAAGGTTCGGACAACCTCCAGAGATTTACGAAAATGTCCGAGCAGAAACCGCCATATTGGAATTTGGCAGTAAAACGATTCACTCGACTAACAATTACAAGTCTTGATCGAAAAAGAATTGTACTCCAGCGCTCCAATACTTACACGGATTGATGATACTGATGTAAGACACAGTTAGAGACCAAAAGTAAGCTGCGGATCGACTTAATTCGATTTCAAAGGTCACGATCATTGAGCTGTCCAAATGCTCCGTGGGAAAGCTATTATATCAAAATCCAAATAGCTTTCGCAGGAAGTAATTCCAGATGAAATCACCTCTAGCCAAGTATTGGCTAGAGACTCGAGTAATGCCATATATTTTCAAAAAGATTAACATGGCTGAAATTCTTTAAATTACAAGAGGGCATATAGGCTTATTGCCCAAAAAACTAAATAATCTGAAATATACTAATGTCATTCATGTACAATATGAATATACTTTTCCATATATTGTTGCACAATGGTCTCCTGATTTCTTTTTGGGGATTCTCCTGACGAAATAAAACAGTTAAGGTAACTTATAACTTAATCAAAAAATCCAAGATGGCCGAAACCAGGAAGCACATGGCATTTGAGTATAATCTGACCATCAAAATTAACTGTCTTTTGGTTGGATTTTCTCTCAATTTTTTATTAGTTCCACTTATCATTTATATAACCAGGCTCACTCAGTCGAAATGTTGAGGCATGCGCAGACCTCTATTTAGTGATATTTTCATTTCAAATATGGCGCCCAATCCGATGTCTGACGACCCTTACAAAGAATCTAGGCAGTTTGCATTTTTACCTCCTGTGAAATAACAAGTGGAATTTAGTAGTTGTTTTGTGTTTTATTATCATTCTGCATCGTAATTCTATGTGATGTGGTGTTGAAATGTCAGCAGAAATACATATCCATACGATAATCGAGTGAATCAGATAACAGATTTTTCGAAAATCCGTCTCGTGCTAAGAGTGTAAAAACTTGAATTAACATGCTCAAAAGTGCCAATGTGCACATCAATGTCAAGCTAAATCAATGTTGTGTCTAAAACAGGTACCCGATCTACTCAAAACAGCTTGTCATTCACGTATACACACTTAGCAAACACGGTGAAATGACCTGAATCTTGGAATTTCGTTCGAGAGCTAGTAATGTTTGCTCCGGTCTTCGTCATAAGTGTTCATCACACTTCACGCATGCGCAGGAGAAAAACCATCAACCAATAAGGTTTATAAATCAATTTTGCGCATGCGCCTTACAACGGTAAAGAAATTCGTATTTATAAACGAACCAGTTTGAGATAACCCGATATCAGTCGGAGAAATCTGACGATCTACGAAACTCACTTCAAAAAATCAAATGCGGACTGACGGCGTATTCTACTATGTTTGGATCTAAGATTTTCAGTATAGATAAAGTCTTTTATGATCTTTCGAATGAGGTAAGTCTCTAGTTCGAAAGACAATCGTATCAACTTGAACAAAAGTTGAGTTTTGACGAAAAATTTTAACATGCGCAGAAGTCCCATTTTTCGTTGTACCATATTGACTGCACTGTGGTAATGCAAATAGAAACAGTAAACATTTTGGAATGGGAATTTGAGTCCTCTGAAAATGTGACAGAAAAATTGACAAAAAGAGTAGCACGGCAAAGGTCCCTCAACATTTTTCTTCTAATTTCTCTGAAACATTCCTTTCAGTGGCGTAGAGTGGGTATTCTATGAGTGTATGCCACGAGTGAGCGAAGCGAACGAGCTTTGAGAAAGGGGGGGGGGTTCATTTGAAAATGAGATTGCATTTGAAGCGTTCTGGGGCGTTTTAAAATACGAAATTCCGACGACGAAAAAATAATATGGATTAATAAAATGTTAGGCCATTAGTCTACTTCAGAATATTAAACGTGGGTCATTTCAATATTAAAAATTCACTTTTCTCTAAATTTTGAGAGTACGCTATGGCGTTTTTTGCGTATATGACGCTACGCCACTGCCTTTAATATAGCCTAAAATGGAAGGAGCTTTAGAATTTTGAAATCTCTCATACAAATTAAAAAAAATAGAAAAAACAATTTGAGAAGTGTACTTTTTTCCTTATTTTGATCCCAATTTTTTTATCGGGTAATTTTTCAAAAAGCCGTTGCTCCTTCGTTTTTGATATATGTTTGAAGTATATTTTCACGGGCAACTCCTAGAAAAAAATCTTCTCAAATTCTTTAAACGGCACTTTTTTTCTCAAACTAAAGTTTTTTGTTGTTCTTTGATGTCTTTGTAATGATTACAGTGCACAAGCATATGTGAAATAATAAAAAAGACTTCTCAGGAAGAGTTTGAAAATTTCAAGATTGTGAAATTTTCAAATCGATTAAGTTAACAGTCACCTTAAATGGCTGTAAGGCTTAAGGTGCTATGGAAGTTAACAGGAAATGACAAAACAGGAAGTGACAATTTTTTTGCATTTTTAGATATTTTTTGAATAAAGATAACAGAGTTCTGGTTTGACTTCCAGTCAATTTAACTATTTCCACATATCATTTACATGACCAGGATCACAATGTGCATGGTCAGAATGACCCTAAACATGATGAAATAACCTTTTTAGCCCTTTGAAAGTGTGACTGATAAAAAGCTAAAAGTAGGAGCGTAGGGAAGGTCACTGAACAGAATCTTTTGAATTTTTCAGAAAATGTGCCCAATATATTGCTCTAAATGATACAATCTTTGAAAATTTGATATCATTCATAGAAAAAGAAAAAAAATGAAAAAACTGATTTGAAAAGCGATCTATTTTCCTTTTAATGACCGCCATTTTTGTTTAAGACAATTTTCTAAAATTTCAAAGATTGTACTAGTTAGAGCATTATATTGGGCACATTTTCTGAAAAATTCAAAAGATTCTCTTCAGTGACTATCCCTACGCTCCTACTTTTAGCTTTTTTTCAGTCACACTTTCAAAGGGGTAAAAAGGTTATTTCATCATGTTTAGGGGCGGGGTCAAAATATCAATGTTCATATGGAGACGAAAGTAATTTCGTTTGGACAACAACCCCCCACCCCCCTCTAGACGAAAGCTTAGGTCACTTCAAAAAAACATTGTATCCTATTTGCCGGGTTATTATTACGGTGAATTAACACACGTTCGCAATTTAACTGCATTGAACTCTTCAAAAGGAGGAGGGAAAAGTACGGAATTTATTTGAAAAATGATCGAATTATCGTCTTTATCTACCGATATTTTGGACCTATCACACAAAAAAGCTCACGAACTATTGAAAACAAGCCTTTTTATCAGAACATAGCGCCAGAAAAAGTGGGTAAGTGGGTAAGTCCAATTATTTTTTGTATATCAGATCCGAATTATCGATGTTTTTTTGGTCAACGAAAGTGCCCAAAAACCCCCTCCCCCCTCGCGAAAGTACTTTCGTCTCCATATGAACATCGATATTTTGACCCCGCCCCTTAGGGTCATTCTGACCATGCACATTGTGATCCTGGTCATGTAAATGATATGTGGAAATAGTTAAATTGACTGGAGGTCAAACCAGAACTCTGTTATCTTTATTCAAAAAATATCTAAAAATGCAAAAAAAATTGTCACTTCCTGTTTTGTCATTTCCTGTTAACTTCCATAGCACCTTAACAACATTTTTCAACTAGATTTTGCACAAGTAGTCTACATGTATGGGGTGATTTGAAAAATCAAACCCATACGTGTGGATCTCAGTCTTTATACAATTTCCAGGTTTATAAAACAGCGTTGTCTTATGAAACAAAGGGAAATATTGTTTGTACTCACCTTTCCTTGAACCAAACGGTCCAGAAAAAATCTTGTCCTTTCCAACGACATTTTTCTCTATAAAATCAAATAATGATTTTCCTCCAACATCTGGTTTTGAATTATTACTCTTATAACTACTATTTTGATTCTCTGTATTTGGTATTTGATAAAATTTACGATCTGCAACTGGTAATGGTTTGTTATTTTCTAAACTTTGTTCAGATTTCATTTTCACGGGGGCTGACATCTTGAATTTCACTAAACTGCAGCATCATTTCAGTGAAACGGAATCAATAATGTTTGACAACCGGCGCTATTTTTTAGCTTCAGATAACCCAGGGGCGGATCTGGGAACCAACAAGGGGGGCCAAAATTCTGGTGTGAGAAAAAACGTCCATGTTTAGGGCCCCTAAAACCATTTTCTTCAAAAGTTGGCCTAAAATTAAAAACTAAGGCCTATAATCTATAAAAAATAAAACCAAAGAACAAATAACAAAGAAAAATGGAAATAGATGCAAACCAAGGGAGCCTCTAAGTGTGACATCCCCGGGTAAACATCTAGTCTATATTCGATAAATCATGGATAAAATATATGTCAAACTTTTAATGTCAGTACAATCATGGAGTTCCATGTAACAACAAATACATTGAAATCCCAATATATGCCCATATATTATTATGAGCTTTATTATACTTGTATCCCACATTTGGGCAAAGTGTACAGCTTAAACAGAAAAAAAATGAAAAAGCTTAACTAATTATCTATATAGTATATTAACTAATCAAAGGGTGCTTGATCATTGCAAGATTTTATTGGATGCAATTCGTGTTTTTTTCTCTCTCGATAAAAATATTAGATATATATTTTGCTAGTATATTTAATATTATTCCCTCTGAATTAAATAGAAACATTAATTTATGTTCCACGTTATTCATGTTTTCTAAATTTTGACAGTGTTTTTTTATTTTATCCATGTAACTTGACCGAACATCTTTTAACTTATTGCATTCTAATAGGTAATGACATTCTGAACCGGTTTTCTTGTTACATATTAAACATTTTCTTTCTTCAATAGGGGTAATTGGTTTTGTGTAACGACCTGTTTCGATTTCTAATTTATGTGCGCTAATTCTTAGCTTTGTCAAGTTATTTCTGTCTATTTCATTTTTGATTAAATCCAAGTAGGGTTCCTTGTTCCATTTTGCTTTTATTATCTTATAAAACCTCAATTTACCATTATTTGATTTTATTTTAGTTTCCCAAAATTGTATGTATCTATTTTCCAGTAATTTCTTAATTTCTCTTGGTTTTAAGTTTAAATAGTTTGGTGAAGTACCATTGTAAATATATTTAAGTACATCATTGATGTGCGTGAGCCATGATTGTTTATTCATATCTGTCAGTTGTTTATTTACCTCAAGGGCTTCACGTAGAAGCGAGTCGGTTCCTTTATTGTTAATATGATTAAGATATTTCATTTGTTGATAAAACAAAGAAATAAATAGTGGAAACCTACCTAAATCGCCTCGTGTAGCGTCATTACTGGCCTTTCTGTTAACACCGAGTATCGATTTCATAAATGATATATGAAGAGATTCAAATGTTATTCCATCATATTCCTTTTCTAATGCCCATTGTGGGTCTTTTTTAATTTTACTCGAGTTTAAGATACCCGTACCCCATATATCAGATCCATAGAGGCATATGGGCTTTATGAGTTGATCAAATAGTTTTAAGCATAATGATGGTTTCATATTACCATTAGAAATTAGACTTAATAATTTAAATTTTGCCTTTTCAGCTTTGTCTTTGATATGCTGGGCTGCAGGTCTCATTGACCCACTTATGCTTAATTCCATTCCCAGGTAAATGTATCGTGAAACAGATTCTATTTTGTAATTTCCTATAAAGAAGTGATTATCAATAAGTCTACCATTTTTATTCATTACCATAATTTTGGTTTTATCAGTGTTGATATTTAAGTGCCATTCTTCACAGTATTTTTCTAATTTGTCCAATTTGGTTTGCATTTCATCTTTTGAGGATGCGATAATTACTAAGTCATCAGCAAAAAGGAGGCTTCCAATTCGCTTATTATTTAATAATGGGTCTGTTTTGAGATCTAATGTTTTAATAATGTCATTTATATATATATTAAATAGAAGAGGACTCAGGGGGTCCCCCTGTTTTATTCCCTTGTTACAGTCAAATTCATTGGTAAATAAACCCTCATTATCTAGTCTGACTCTTGCTTTTGATTGTGAATATATATGTTTTATCATTTTATAGAATAAACCGTTTACACCCGATTGCAAAAGTTTCAAAAATAATCCATCATGCCATACCGTATCGAAAGCTTTCCTCAAATCAACAAAACACATATATATATTCCCTTTTTCACTTAGTACATATTTATCCACGAGGGTTCGTATTATGAACATGTGGTCAGTTGTTCGTGCTTTCTTTGTGAAACCGGCTTGATTTTCCGATATTATTTTTCTGTCATGTACAAAGGCGTAAAGTCTATTATACAAAATTATTGAAAATAATTTGCCAAAGCAATCAGAAATAAAAATACCTCTGTAATTTCCAGGGTCTTTCGTCGTTCCTTTCTTAAATAACGTAACGATTGATGAAATATTCCATTTCTCAGGGAAAACTGTTTTGCTCAGTAATATGTTAAACATTTTACAGATAACATTATTTAAAACTGAGTATGACGCTTTAATCATTTCATAGCTAATGCCGTTAAAACCCGAACTCTTGTTGTTCTTTAATTGCTTAACTGCCTTGTAAACCTCGTTTTCTGTTATTCTGAAGCTAAGTTCGTCAAAATGATTGTCGTTTTCTATTGATTTAACAATTTCGTTGACTTTTTTGTTGTTTTCGGTATTTTTATCCTTTTCAAATAATTTGGAAAAATGTTCATGCCATTTCTCTGGTGTTATATACGCGGACTTATTGTTTCCGTCTTTTTGCCTTAGTTGCTCAAGTAGGGACCAATATTCTTTAGGGTCATTGTCATAAAGTTCTTCTAATTTATTTATCATATTAGTTTTAAATTTCCTCTGTTTTATCTTACAGCATTTCCTATATTCCTTTAGCAACTTGAAGTAATTACCTCTAATCATATTATCATTTGGTGATTTTATTAGTTTTGCTCCAATTGACTTAACCTTTCTTTTCAGTATACTGCAATCATTATCAAACCATTTTTGAGATATCGAGCCCCCTTTCTTTTTACAGGGTAACTTTTTTCGTAGTGTTCTTTTTGCTGTGTTAATTATAATTTTTTCGAGCTTGTCAATACAATCATCAATATTATAGGTGTCGTTTAGCTCGTAATTGAGTTCATTTATATCATTTCGTGTTTTTAAATTATTGGAGAGGTCCGTTTTAAATTGTACCTCGCGACGGGCGTCCCATTTATATTTGATTGGTTTCATTTTGATAGTATGCCCATTGTTTTTAGTCCGATTGTTACCGTGGTCGTTTGGTATTCGTACTTGCATTAATAGAGAAATCTTGCAATGATCAGAGAGCACACAAAGGTTATCATGAACCTTGAAGTACATAATATCTGGAAGCATATTTTCATGAATAATACAATAGTCAACTACACTGCTTCCATTCCATTTATGACAGGTGAATCTACCGGGCGAGTCCCCAAGTACTCTGCCATTTATAATTCGTAAATTAGATGACCTGCATAGGTCTAGTAGCTTCTTACCCGAAGCATCAACAACTGAATCCATGCTGGAACGTTCATTGATGGTGACATCGTTGGGACAAAGCAGAATGTTTGGGATATGATCATCATAACCGTGATTATTTTCAAAATCGCGTACTTCACCTGTTCTTGAATTAAGATCTCCCATAATCATAACATCACCTATATTAGAATATTTATTTATTTCTTTTGTCAAAATCTCGTATGGGTCATCCCCTGAGTTGAATTTACCTTTTGGGTTATAGTTTGCAGGTGAAAAATACGTTATACATAAGTATATGTCATTACTTGTATTAAAGAACTTTTTTGAAAGTTTAACCCACAGGATATCTGGTGTCTTCGTTTTGATTATTGTCGTTCCTGCTATATATGTATTTCTTATAAGTACAGCTAATCCGCCATGACGTTTCCTGCCAGATTTAGCTCTATTTACCGAAAATGATGTGAAGCCATTAACTCTATCAAAACATATCGGGTCTTTTTCATCACCATGTGTTTCGGTTAGACAGACTATATCATGTGTTGTTAATTCTTTGATAAAATCATTATCGTGCAATTTGTTTCTTACTTTGCTTTCAATTCCCTGAACGTTCCAGCAAGCGATATTTAAATGTGTGGTAATGGTCGTATTTTTATATATCATTATAATACGTAAATATGTTAATTAACATTCAACATCTTACATCTTACATCCCGACATACTGAAAATATAATGTAATGATTGCATATAGTGTACTTCTGCTGATAACGTCTTAAATGCGTAGAAGTATTATACATTCTTACTTGAATTTATAATATAATTAAACGTCTTATATAACTTATTTAGTCGCTGATCCGTCTAAATTATACAGTCATTTTATTACAATGATCAGTCGAAAGAGCAAGCCACATATTATTTGTACTACACACAATCGAAGCTTTGTGTCACATTGTCTCATAAAAATATATGGAATATTATGATTATACTAACTCAGAGACATATAAAAAATATATACACTAAACTAAAGCTAAACTACAACATGATTTATTGCTCTCAAATTTGAACACTTGTGGCTTGCTCACTCTGGAATGAAGAAAATTATTTGACATTGAAATCAAATCCAGTTAACGCGCCTTATATCTTAAAAATCTGCCGCGCTTCGCATCCGTAGATGTCACCATGCCCCTCGGTCACAGTATCAAACCCGTGGGTAAGACACTTCCAAACAATATAGAAAACAATATCAATCTGCAGGTGCCTGTCCAAAGATAGATGTCACGTGACACCAAAATGACGTAGGAACTGACAACTCCTTTTAGGGGATCTTCCATTTTTGCAGTACAGAATATAGTTCTTTTACTTTTGAATTCAAAAATTGAAGTTCGATGATTGTTTTCTCATTTAAATTGGTTTCAATAGCTTTGTATATATATAGTCATTCTTTCTATATTTAGGATAACATTGGTTAGTCAAAGACAATAGCATACCCTCGCTACTGCGTATGGATATTTTTCAATTATCATGGGTAAACAAGTTCATTTAGTTATTTAGTGGTGGCGGAAAATCTTTCAAATTTCTTCAATTATCTTCTATTAATTAATTATTTGACCTTTATTTTCACATTTAATGGATACTATCATGATCACGACATAAGAATCGATAACTATATGGATATAATAAGTACATACAAGTAGCAGTTAAGAAGAAACCATGTAGGAAAAGCCCCATAAAAATCATCCACAAAATAATTTTGGAACAATTTTTCACAAAATTCCTTGGGAATTTTAGTGTCTCATACATTGAAACTATGTAAAGAAGTGGCATTTTGCCTGGTACATAACCATGGCTTCAGATAATGGGTAAGTATGGTGTATTTTGCTCCTTTTTAAACCTTTAACTGTTATATATCAAATGTCCAATGCACCCAATATGTTTGTGCAACAGGATAATGATAAGTTCAAACAACTCACTCTCTTCGATTGTAAAATGTTTGATTTTTGATGGTGTATGTATTATGTGATGTGTGACTGTGTAAAACTATAAACCACAACATACTCAACTATCCCCTGGTATAAGAACCTTGAAACTAGAATTAGACACCATCTTTAGGTCAAACTGAATCTATCACAGTCTAAGTATTTGATTGGTTGATTCTAAACTGCCCTTTGATAACCCCGCAGTCTTCTAAATTTTTGTCATGGCATCATTATCTGAGTCATTTTCTATTCAAAAGTTCAGATAAAAGAAAAGGTAAACCACAGTAGTGGAAAATTTATACATGATGTATACTTCCATATGGTTGATTGTAAAATAGCAAGCCTAATAAAACTTTACAAGAGTCCATCGCTATGTTCATGTTGAAGCACATATGCTAAAGCAAATGTCAGCATTTTAATAAGTTTACAGCTGTTCGTTTGTAACTTGTATAATATCAATAATTGGTTGCTGAGCCTTTATAAATTCCTTTACTCTGTTCATAAGTTCATAGTAACATCAACAAGGACACATTATTGTTATTACCACTATAATTATTGACTCAAATTCTATTTATATACATCATTATTTGTCAAACTTACAAACTGGCCTATAAATTTTGTTAACCTATAAATGTGGAGTTATATGCCTGTTATCAATAAGTACTTCCTAATTTTTGTTTGTGTATAGTATATTCAGATCTTCCATGTTTCTAGGAAATGTTTAAATCAACACCAACGCATTTGCGCATTTCAGTGTAAAGTTCATGACATTAATTTTTTAAATTTTACATACATCAATAAGATTAACATGAAAAAGACAGAATCAAACCATTATCATATCATCCAGATACCTATGATGGACTTGATGGTGCTTTTATTTTATTTTTTGAAACATATTTTATTTTCTGATACAAATAGACAATTGAAAATTAATACAAGTACAAATACTATATTGATTAAATCACCTATTGTCAATACGAGGCATCCTGTTTAAGTTAATAGAAATGTATTGTTTTTTATTTCAGTAATCAAATATTATTAGTTACACTATTAGTCTCATATCGACATTTTAACATAATTGGTACATGTACTAACTGAACTACAATCAAACTTTTGATAAAAAACTACAAATTGAATTTCATTAAATTCCATCATGTCCAGTTGTTTTTTTCTCTTGTGACACACGACCTTTTTCATTTACTCCATTAAGAGAGAGCTTATAACTGCTCGCCTCATCTTCTGGCCCTGGGTAGTGACACGCCTTAGGTCTACTGATTAAAGGTTAAAAAACATTTGGCAGTTTGCAAGGTTGCTTTATTGCTGGAGAGATTGTAGTCTTGTGTCATGTATATAGGAAGCCCCTATCCTGACACCAGAAAAAGATGGATTTTTTCCAGGGGCACGCTAAAGCTGCAATGCAAAAACACCAAAAGTTGTGCAAAAGGTTGTGCCAAAAAATCAGAAATCAAATCATGGAAATGTCCCTTGCATTGAATGTCATAGTCTCTGACTTGTGCCTTGGCATATGTAGAAGCCCTGTGATCTCTCTTAAAAGTCACCAAAAATTGCTTCATCATGTCTATTGCGTGGTCTTATCAAGGAATGTACAATAGATATTGACTAGAAAAGCTGAAGTGTAAAAAATGTGGTAACTTGTGCTGTTCTGTAAAAAATACGCAATTTTTGCAACTTTTGTTTTTTGCATTGCAACTTTTGGAACTTTTTCTGGTGTAAGATTATGGTATTATGCAGGGCAGGGAAGATAACTAAACAGACCAGGATTGATATATTTGAGTGCTTGTTTCATGATTTCTAATGTTAAACTAAATCAGAATATGTTACAAATGTTCATGTTATATGTAATGTAGGTAATATTGCAGGCTAGTAGTTGAGAACTTTGGGATATTGGAACACCTGTTGTGTCAATCAAAAACGATATTGATGGAGCCATTTCAAGAAAAACAATCACATGTAATACTTTCCAGAATCCAGATTTTGATTTACAGCATACCTGTATATACATAGTTAATCCATTTCTTGATATTAAGTCCATTACGACAAATGATTTGTGAGGGCTGGTCACATGTGTTATAGTTATTTTGCAGTACTGTATTATCTAAAGCTAAAGTTTTGGCATATTTTGTTTTTTTAACCTACTTTAAGGCCAGTGTTTACATCATAGCAAGCCATAAAGAACTTCTCTTAACCAGTCATATTGGAATAAACACCTCTGTGTCTAGATTGTCTAATAATGAACCTCTATCTTATCAAGAGGAAGTGTATTATCCTAATAACTACATACCCTGTGTTCATGATAAAAATGCATGTGGGGGAGTATGTAAGCGGAACATTGGTCTAGAAAGACTTTCTGGTAAACATTTTTGGATATCTAACATGTTGGGTGATTAAAACGCATCAAAACAGCATGGACTTGTATATAAGCAGGTCTCTCCATTAGTGAACAGTCACAGTGAACACTTTTTATATAAACACTTCAGAGGAATGATCTACTTAAGCGATAAACCTTTTACTTCAATCCAGTCAGAGCCAGTCTTTTTGTCAGTTGAAGATTTCTTGGTTGTGATTGTTAGAATAACATTTGGGTTTTTGGTGATAAACATCATTGTTTAATAGATATTGAACCTTCTCTCTGTTCTCTGTCAATGAATACTTCCCACAACTTAAAGTTAACACTACCAATAGAGAGACAATACAACAACCTACAGAGTACACATCTTTCTATTAACATCGCCTACATGTATATAGAACCCTTTTCATATTACCACCAAAAGTGGTGACATATTGTTATAGTGGCAGTGCTTTTTGTGGCAGTGGTTGGTGTTTGGTGTTCAGCATCTGTAGCAAATATAACAAATGGCAGGTGGTATTTTGCATGTTAATGTCTTATTTTATGTAGAACAACTCTTTAACCACCCTCAGAGAACTCTTCTTTCTAGAATACTTCATCAGAAACTTGTATACTTGTAACTCAGCATAATATGACCATAGTTTTGGAGTTATATAAATTGAAATGAGTATAGATAAGGACTCAAGGATACTTGGAAATTATATAATAATGATCTGGATCTGATATAATCATTCATGTCAAATAAAGATACCTACATACCTTCTTTTTAAATGTGCCATGAACACTGCTTATTTCACTTCAATGAACACCTGTTGATTGTACCTTTTAGATTTTCCTTCTGAACACTTCTTGATTGCCCCTTGTGAATACCTTCTATTGGGTACACCACTTAATTGTCAGCTATAAAGACTTCTTAATTTCATCCCTCGATAACCTCTTGTTCCCTTTGAGTTCCTTGAAATAATGACACTGTGACATTGTAAAGAAAGATAAACCTGGCCTTATATTAAATGAAAGTTAGTTAGAATGAAAAAATATGATATAAAGAGTTTTTAATAATGCTGGCTGATAAATGTTGTGCATATAAAAATAGAATATTTTGACGTTTAATTTTACATTGAAAGTAATTAGAATGACAAGTTCAAGTTATTTCTGGTAATTTTTTTTAATATTCTTGGCACCAATGTATTGCTCTCTTCATGAGGGAATATAGCTATCTTAAACAAAACATTTACTTAAGCCATGAAATATTGGTGTTTCTTGACCAATTGAAAGATTGTATCTTGAGACCACTTTTCTATAAACACCACTTTTAGATCATCATTAAATGCTTTGTGTGGACACCTTATTTACCAATGAACACTTTTTGAACACTTCTTGTTGTCTTACATGAACACATTCTATTGTCTGCTGTAAATGCCTTTTATTATCTGTTCTAAACGCCTTTTATTGTCTCATCTGAACAATTCTAATTGTGACTTGTAAACGCCTTTTTACTACAACAACGCGTAGGAGTTTAACAATAGATATATCCTTTGAAGAATCAAATCACACATATACTATAACAGCATACCATGAAACCAACTCCTATCAATATTCATGTTATTAAAACCAAGTACATGCATATGCAAAGAAAGGAAAATTTAGCAAGGATTAAAGTCAAGATTGTATAACATCAGCACTTCAAAGGCAGGGCTCTCGCCAGGCTTTTAGACTGTGGCGCAGCACCACACTCTATTTAGCTCCCTCCACACCCTATTGGCAGATCATGACTGTTTCCACAGTCTAAACTTGACTGAATTTACAATAAAAGCATGTAAAAAGGATAAAATATAACATAAATATGATTTATCACGATTGAATGGTTATTCTGAAGACCCGACCCTAAATATTTCCTGTTGAGAGTCCCTGAAAGGATATAGAAATCTAGAAAGTAAGGCAGTTAATTCATTGACTTAGACTTGAACTTTTGGTATACATACATTCTTTACAGAACTCTACCATTGATGATTCAGTATGGTGCAATACAATCATTGTTTATGAGTCAACCAAACTTCTGTGTTTATCTTTCAGTTTCTGGCTAACCTAAATCTGAACAACCAGACTTTGTGTTGAATCAATGCATGTAGTTTGTCTTTTGGTTATGTCAAGGACGTTTATCGTTATGTCATCTTACATGATTCATAATTATTTTATTTTATTTGAAAATTATAGCTGGGTAGCTCTATCAGTACAAGAACTTGTCCTCCCAGAGGCCCTGTGATAATTTACAAATACATCCAGGGGTTTCACTAGAACTTCTCACAACAGGCTAAATAAATGAAAACAACAGGCAAAATTCAATGGAAATCATAAATTTAACATGTAAAAATTGAAAATTCTCTGTTGCCTGCTGCTAATGAAACCCCTGACATGTATAGTAGACGTATTTACAATACGTAAAATTTCATCTGTATCAGAACAATAGTATTGTATTAAATGTGCTAATCACAGTTACTACTCTTCTTAAATGGTCTTCAACATAACTAATACCTTGGGGCCTGTAGTGTAATAATTAGATTAAGTGAAATCAAACTACAATAAAACCCGTCTTAGTGAACACCTCTCTCCTGTAAACACTTGTGTTTATTGAGCACCACTTCAAGACATGTTTTACATAGAAACCGTTATGAAATCCCCTTCCTGTAGCGAACATCTAACTACAGTGAACACTTTTTTGTAGCTCCGTAAGTGATCATTATATAAAGGTTTTACTGTATTCGAAAGAGTATCAAGCCACAGCCTCAAAGAATCAAAAAAAATCAAAGAATCAAAATCAAAACTATTAGAAAGAGTATGATGCCTAGACTCTGATGATTAGCTTTAATAAATATACATGTATTAATCATTAAGAAGTCTATTCAATATATGATGTTTACACTAAGTATCTATATTGAAGTTATATGATGGGGTCAAAGTCGTATGCACTGATTTATCTTTGAAACCAAAACAACCATGTAATTTATTGGTTGCAACTGTTGTTATAAACTATGGGGATAACAAACATATTTGTTTTAGGGGTAGCATACACAAATATCTTATTGAATTGAATAGATGTACATCTTTAAAATCCTGAATTCTTGTTGTTTTTGAGATTTGAGTGTTTAATGATATCAGAGTCCCAGGGTTTGAGTTCAAAGTTTCTATTGATTATTTATCATTTGAAGTGAAAATGCTATCTACCTTCCACCTTTCTTTTCTATCTATTATAAAGTACTGTACCAATGGTGGATCCATGGGGTAGGGCCCTTGGGTGGGCTCAGAAACCTTTTAGGGCCTCAATTGGTGGGCCTTTTTAGGCCAAATTATCAAAAATGTAGGGCTCCCTTGTAAGTTTTTGGATCAGCCAGTATGTACTCAAAAAAATCTTCAAGTTCTTATTAAAGCAATAGGCATGGACAGCATACCAGTGTATTCAAGAAACAAGATGCATAGTCTACCAGCACTTTTTCTGCTATTAGAGTGACTATTGGTCAACAAGAATTTCAAGGATATGTCAAAAGAGCTGAGGTTTTTGTTTTATTCATCTGCAGTAAATTTTGACATAACGCAAGTAATGGGACTTGACAACCTATACTTGAAATCAATTTTCTCAGAAAGTCGTTTTCTATCTTGAATAAATGTACATAGACATAAGAGAATAACCTTCAAAAATTTGAATATAATGAAGGATGGTTTCATACAATCATCAGCTAACAATCAAATTAACACATTGAGGCATTAATGGCAATGACATACTTAATTAAAAAAAAATATTATACAAATATACAGCTGTATGGTGTAACTATTAACCTTCATTATTTTGATATGCTACCACTGCCCTATAACATAATATTGTGTTCCTAAGCCCCAACTATCTTAGGATGGGAGCAGAGACTGGGAATTGACCAAAAAAATAGTGTCTGAAATCTAAAAACTGTATTGACTGAGTTTTCAATGAAGTCATTTTGACACAGTTTTGAGCAATAATTTATTCCTCTAATACCTATACATGTATAAACACAATTGTTATTAAGAGGATGCACTGACCAGGAACATATTTTGTGTTATGATAAATCGGGAGTCCCGGAGTTTACATATAAATAATTCAGATTTATATATTCACTAACACCATCATGTAGCCTGTACATATCTGATCATCAAAAACAAAATGCATTGTCTCATGTCTTGTCAGTCTTGTCGACTGCTTTTTCCCCATACTGAAATAGAGATATTATATCGTTGACAAATGAGTGAGTGAGTGAGTGGGTGAGTGAGTGCAACTTATCTGAAAACATCACCTTACTTTGACCAGTGTAACACTAAAATGGCAATTTATTGTCAGTAAAAGAAAATTGAATATTTTAATTACATAGAGAACCTTGCTCTAAATCAGTCAAATCTCATATGACATTTTGTTTAATGAACAGAAAGACCAGATACGCACATCAACGACAACACAGATGAATGATATGTCTGATTTCTTATTTTTTCAGTGTTCAGTTGTTACGCCAGAAGGCGAGCGAGGAGCGTAAATTAGAACGGGAAAGAGCTTTGGAGAAGGAGAAGTCGTTTTTCCCTAAGTTTGCTCCACCACAAAAAGTAAGTTGAGTGGAAGAACATTGAACGATCCAATTTGAACTTTTTATTTTAAGTGTTTTGATCCAATGTTTGTCACTTTATATGTGACAGAAAACATAATAGTTCACGATGTTCATAATGTAATTTGTTGATTTGATTATCTTTCTACAGTTTTTCGGTTTGTAAAACCCTAGAGGATATATTCAATCCCCCAAAGTAAATAACTTACATGCAACCTTTAAAAATATAGGTGAAACATTTCCAGGGGTTTCTATAGCATTTTAATCTAGGGCAAAAGTATGATGCTGAAAATGTATATCTTGGCAAATCTTGAATACTAGAAATGTTGACTACATTCTCAAAAAAAGTTTTTTCCTCAAGACAATACGTAAAGTAACCAGATATTCCACCTAAAAGAAAAACTCTGTGGTCTTATTGCAGAATCTGTATTTTTGGTGGTTTCACTCCACAAGTAATTGATATTATTCCAGTACATTACCCTTGTCATATTTATGTACAGTGAAACCTGTATATCCGAACACCACTCTTATCTGAACATTTGAAAATGTGAACACTTTCTTGGTCCTGAAATTGTTACCTCTGACTAATGTGTTGATTCAACCTTGAAATGTGAACACCTACTAATCTGAGCACATTTGGCTGCATGAACAGGATTTATGGTGTTTGAATTTCGCTGAAATGATATCTCATTGATTTTTCCATATGGATTCCGTTTCATGTCTGACCTTATTATTCATTTGACATATTAATTGTGCTAATAGTATACATTTACCAGTCTAATCTGATTCATGCTGGTAAGTATTGTAATATAGCCTTGAGATTGTTAAAGGCCCTATGTAAAGTTCAAACTGAACCTTGGCTTAATATATTGTGTGTAGTCTTAACCAGTGTTATCATTATGTGAAACTTTTTTTTAATGTCAAAGCATTGTTTTTAAATGCTGTTGTTTTAGAAAAGTCGTGAATTTATTCAAAACAAAATGTTAGTTGACACATGCATGCAACTTGTCTACAAGCAATAATTTACAACAATGAATAGCCCACATTCGTGACATTTTGTGATGAAAAAATAAGAAGATTGGTTGAAAAGCTACCCTTTGGTAGTGGTAGATTTGAAATGATTTTTTACCCGGGCTGTCAAAGGCACCAATCTTTGGGATGGGGTTACTGAAACTGTAATATAGTCTATACTAGGCAGAGTGTATTTTATAACTAGACTCTGCTTCACACAACTACAAAGCCTATTGAAACCTCATGATGCCCCGCAAAAACCTTTAATTTGAATTTTAAAATCAAGTATTGTGAGTCTATTAATGTATCATTTTTCTTCAAACTTGTTGCATTTGAAACAACTTGAGTTGAATTGAATTGAATATATGTATACTGAATCATGAATATGTATTTCTAATACTTCAGGTTAGTTCACCAGTAGATGGACACAAACGTAAAATAGAGGAATGTTTCGGAAAATATTCCTTTATACAACAAAGTCTCAATATGAACCTGCTGGGCGTCGAGTCAGCTCCTCCGACCCCACAGTCTAAAGGCCCTAAAGAAGGACCTTGGAAGTACAATGCATCTGCTAAAAAGGATCAACTCAATGGTAAGTTAAATAGAAATCAGGTACTCTGGATCCAGTCGACTAAAATGCACAAGGCCATTCAAAGTTTAACATATGTTTACATCACTGCTTTTTATGATGTAGGCAAATTTTCAGAAAACAAACAAGTATGTTAAACATATGATTAACTTTCAGTGGCCTTGTGGAAGTTCACTGTCAGGGTCAGGGTGATTACACATCATGATAAACCATGACATCTCAAATCTTCTCAGCCCTGAGATGTTTCAGGTGAAACAGAAAGGTGCTATTAGTATCAGAATGGTGATTACAAATCATCTGTGAGATGCCAGTTAATGCATTCGGTGATTTGACTGTAACTGCTTTGAATTGTCCTCAATGAGCAATCATACCTCTATAAAGGTAGCGAACCCAGTGGCACATTTTACCTTATTTGGAAGATACCACTCTCGCCAGTCTTCACATCAGTGCGCGAAATAGACGTCCGACATCGGCCATTGGCCTGACAAAATTATAGATGGCTTGTTTTGATAAAAACATCCAGACATTTTGGCCTGCCAGACATTTGTGGCATTCGTTAGCTTGCCCATGAATAGAACTCACATTTCAGTTCGGAAATCCTCCGAATTCCCCGCGATTTCGGCTTATTCCATGACTTTTGTTGAAGATTTAAAAAAATTTCAATATTTTTGTTTTCATACTGAAGCCCAAGATATAACGTGACTTTTGATTGGCTGTTGTTGTTTGTTGAAATTACGGTGATTTTGATTGGCTATGGATGACTCATTTCTTCATCGTCGTTCGCAAATCGAGTGCATTATCAGTATGACGGATGTAGAAAAGAAATTGAAAAATCGAGCCGGCATCTAAGTCCAAAAAGTCGGCAGTTTGGAAGTATTTTGGGACTCCGATATCACAAGGTAAAAGAATTGGTGATAGTTCACCACGCAGACTATGTGAAATGCCGATCACATTCACGGCAGATGCTTTATATTCGATTTTAATTGACGTATTTCTGAATATGATTTTGAAAAGTGAAACTGAAAGTGAAACTGTCATCATCAGACATTGTATCATTTTTAATGTTCTGTCCCGTCCTGTCTCGAAAGTATCGTGTCCCGAGACCATTTGTACCGTTCCGTACCGTACCAAAATTTATTTGGACCGCGACACCTCTAATATATACCTTGAATTTTAGTCTGTTAGTGGAGTCTGTGTACATAGTATGTGTTTTTGAATACCTTGAAGCTTCTGAGAGCAATTCTAAACCGACCAAAATCAGTACAATTTAGTTTGATCAATATGTACACGTTCCTCATGTTTTTGTAAGGTGAATCTAGGGGGGAATCAACACACCCAGGCTGTTGGTTAAGTCATCAAGTACAGTATAGTGAATGATACATGACATGCAATGGAATTAGTTTTACTTTGTTAATATTGTACTAAACTTAATCTCATTTTAGAGTGGTTGTGGAGAAATATGGAAAATGAAATTTTTGGCCAGAGAAGTAAGAAACAGGCTGCAAAAAATTGGCCTGAGAAAAAATGATATGGCTGGTTAAAATCTGGCTGGCCTGCCAAAATGTCTAGGTTAAAAAAATCCTTATTTCACGCACTGCACATGAGTTGAATTTTCAAAAACTAGTGTACATATTTCAATGTTGTCTCTTATAATCATTTGAAATGAAGATTTAAACTGTAGAAGTCACTGTAGTTTAATTTCTGTGTCTGAACATTATGTTGCAATCAAATGTTGATTAAAGTACTTGCACTTTGTGTCGATATTATATCATATGTTATAATAGTTCTATTGCTATCTAGGGGCTTAGTGCAATAGCAGTGCCTTGGAGTTGACATTATATATATGTACATGCACTATAATGGCTATTTTCTTTGATGAGAGAATAACATAAATACATGTATGAGTAAAATACCATGAGAGGCATTGGATATCATTTTTATTCTCTATGTATGGTCATCCTAAAGTTATTGTGATATTCATAGGGTATCGTGTGAAAATAAAAATAAAAAATAGTTTTAACCATTGGAAAAATATCATATTTTTGGCTAATTTCCACTAAACCATCTAACAGTTTTCATACTATGGTTAACAGAGATACGGCAACATTACGGTGGTCGTAGCTTCCCAAAATCATGAGAAATATGCATATATATATAGGGATAAGCAGTATGATGTCGATTTTTTATACTGTAGATTGGGTTAATTTGGCGCTACTTAATTTGGCAATTTTGCCATTTTTGGCATATTGGCGGCTATTTAATTTGGCGGATATGCAAAAAAAATTGTTAAACTTACCCGCTGTTTGCGAATTATCATGTAAACATGGTAAATGGGCATGTTTGGCTATGTTCATTTTATCTTTTGAGGGCCAATGGCGATATTCACCACGTTTGTACATATTTGTGAGATCATCCTTTACATTTTGCCCCTCGATCGATGCTGCTCCTATACCGCGCTTTTCCTTTCTAGTTTTTCCTGAGTATTAATGAGTGACTGACCAGTTCTTAGCCAATTTATGAGAGACATTTTTACATATTTTTGGAAAAAAAACGGAAGTGACCTAGATACACTGGACGAAATACCCTAGATAATTCCCGGGGATTCATTCTAAATTTTGGCGAAGATTTATATTGGCGAATTTTTCAATTTCGCCAAATTCGCCAAATTAAAGCGGGCGCCAAATTAACCCAATCTACAGTATTGATTTTGTGAAGCTACAACCACCGTAGAACAAATGTGACTGAGGCTTTAGTTACAGTAGTTTACCTATATATAGATACATAAGGAAGGAAATGTTTTTAACCTCTCATATTGCATCATACGAATAAATACTCTGTATACCTGTTGCACTAACCTATAAACACATGCGTCCATTGAATGCAGTTTGTAAGCCATAAGCATAAGGCGTTTTCTCATCACAAAACAGGTTGTTAACCTCTTTTTTTTCTTTTTCTATTTAGATATTTATTTGTAAAGTTATAGTTTTGATTTTCACATCCTATGTTTTTTTTTTATTTACTTAATTCTAAATGAATAACCTAGTGATTTAGTCTTTTCGGCACATGTTCGTGAAACACTTTTTAGCGTTCCAAGACCAATTGACTTAATGTTAATTGAACCTCTATAAGTGGAACACCTCGCAAGTGGAACACTTTTTAGAGGTACCAAAGGCGTTCCATTTAGACAAGTTTTACTGTATTTAGAATAAGAAAAGAAACACAATGTGAGAATGTCAATTTCATATGTTCCATTTAGGTTGTTAACCTCTGATAGGTTTCAGATTGCATTCCGTGTTTGTATAACAGAAATCATGATTGAATATTTCATAATTCTATTTGATAACTTTACTTTTATTAGAGTTCATATTCAATTTGCATATTGGTTTTAAACAAAAATCTTCATGTCACATTTGATTTTTATATCAATAATTCAGATTAAATATCTCTACTACTTTCTAATTTATGGATTAATAACTGCTTTGTTTCAGTATTGAAAAATATGACAGCGTTAATATTATAGTGGTCTATATCAGCTATATTAGACCTATTGCTGGTTAGACCCCCCTGACATGTTTGTATATTGAAGTTCAGGGTTTTTCTCAAGGAATCAAGTATGCCAATTTTTGTAAATATTTTTAACATATCATAATAATTGCTCAAAATCAACAAAAGATATTTTCTACTGCAATGACTGTGCTGTAGGGGGGGGGGGGGGGGTTAACCCCATACCCCTTTTTGAGTATCTGATCCATTATTTTAGTTCTCTATGTTTTGTGGGTGTTTGCCTTCATTGCAACAACAGTTCCCAAAGAGAAAATGTTTAAAGATTAGCTGAAAGGCAGTAATACAATAATTAATGAACATGTAACGCTTTGTTTTCCAGGTAATTATAAAACAAATGATCCTTCTACTCATAATGCCAAACAAAGAGAGAAAAAACCTAAAAATGACAAACAAGGTCATCGCAGGAGTACTTCTAGCAGTTCAGATCGTAGCTTATCAAAAGAGAGGATTAATTCTTCGTCAAAAGATGTTTCAAAGGAGAAGCTTAACTCCTCAAAAGAGAAGCATGAGCCTAGTCACGACAAACTCCAAGATCAAATCCAGAAATTACTTAAAGGTAACTCGATCACTTCGAGTCAAGATATCCCGGAAGTTGCAAAAACAAAGCATGAATTTTCCGGGGATAGAAAACCCATGAATTTGAGACTGGATAAAATCAGTCGTCCCTTAACAGATGAGAAATCAGGAGCGGAATCGGATATGTCATTATGTAGTCCTGCGTCATCTGTCGCGATTGAAGTAGATCATGAGCATCACCCATCTATGACATCACCCAACCAGTTGCCAAAGAATCCCCCTTCAACTCGTGTCAAAACCATTTCCATGTCTGAGGAAGAGGATTTATTCCGGCAACCTACAGCACCAATAAAGGTTGAGCTGCCTGAGAAAAACCAGTGGGATTCTGGGAAGGGTCATATGAGACCCCCAAATGGGATTCACCTTCAGGGAATGGGGAAACCAGAGGATTCTGCTCGTCATGGCTTGCCAAAGCTGAAGATGCCCGTGCATCCACAGCCTAGACTGGTAAGTTGTTTAAAATTCCATTATTCCATGTCTTTTGAACCATTGCAGTGATCTTCCCTGCATTAAAGCAAGTTGGCAAAGCACCTACCAGAAATTTTAAAAACAGGCTACCACCCACCTGTAAAATACCAACTTCAGAATTAGAAAAATCATGAAAAATTGGCATATTTTGACCAATTTTGGTCCAAATTGTGAAAATAAAACGTTTGCACCCACTTGAGAAAAAGCCTGTGGAGAACACTGTAAATTGTACTTCTTTATTTATAATTATATGATGGAGTTTACCAATTACCATGCTAAAACCAGTAAAATCCAGTGAAACCCCTAAGCTGAAAGTGGAACACCTCCTTAAGTAGAATGCCAAATATAAAGTCCTTCTGCCCATTTACTAAATACAAAAGCCCTCTATTTGTGGAATACCTCCCAAGTTGAACACTTTTTGAGGTACCAAAGGTGTTCCTCTTACACAGGTTTTACTGTATTCCACTTTTTCATATGTGAGTACTCTGAACATGTTACTCTGACATGGAAAGCCCAAAATGTACAGATATTTGAGTTATGCAGAATTCAGCTCACTTCTCTCTTGAATCAATCATCCACATTAGTTTTTCCACTGAGCACCTGTTGTGGGGGAGGGGGGAGACAATCCCAGACATGTTAATGATTTGGTAGAAAAAGGTATATACGAGGGGTGATCCAAAGGTCTTGGACGCCCTGCCCTGCTCTAATTTTTAAGGTTTTTGATAAAATTACTTACATGTAAAGGTGCAGAAGTCGAAGTTACCTGTAGTCATGTTATAAATATAAGATAAGGTAAAATATGTGGAATCGGCTTGTAATATCTATAGAATCTGCCTGTTGTTCAAAAATGCTGGAAAATCAGAAACTTCATTAAAAATAGAAAGGAAGTGGATAAGATTGAGACGTTATTTGAGAAGCCATCTTATGAGCTTCTTCGAATTCCAAGGTTGTTATAACAAGTTAAAGCACTAGCAGAAACCTTTTGAAACAAGATGTCTTATGACATCTAGTGTGTTGTAACCTGTTAGATTGCTTCACTTTGCACATATAGGCCATGCAACATAAAACTCAGTAGCTCTTGTTGAATTGTTGCAAACTAAAGGTCAATTTTATATTTATTTGTTATCTGTTGCTGGAAGCTTTGCAGATGCGGATTTCTCACCCTTACGCATTGAATAGCATGATTATGAAACGAAAATTAATACTTTCATATATATCCAAACACATGTGGCTTCCTTCTTGACTGGAATGATTCTAAATTAAAATTCGAATTAGACAAAGTGGGTTGTTTAATGATATTTATGGCATATATTTGAAAGGTGTTCATGCCGTTTTACTTGAGTTGAGTTTTCAGTAAAGATAAAGTAGTGATAGGGTATGTTTCCTTATTGTTTACTGTAAAGTGGAACTTTGTGTATATCTATATGGTTTTTAGGGCTTTCTTATGTGCCACTTTTACTTCATAATGAGTGTTGAATATATAGTTAAACCTGTTATATGTGAACACCTTTCTAATGTGAAATCAACAGAATGTGAACACTTTAAACTATGAAAAATATGCATAAACATAGTTCTTATTTTTTACAAATACTAAAAGTGAGCAGAATATCAGATAATTTTGAGTGATATCATTTTTATTAACAAGTTGATATCAAATACCTGGCGATATCAAATATCTTTGAGGTGATATATGATATCACTAGAAATGATCTGATATTCAGTTTATTTAAAGATAAATTAAAAAATTCAAATTTGTTTATCACATGGACAGCCGCATATGAGGCTCATGAATAATTTTCTAAAAATGTCACACTCATCTCCATAATATCAGAAATATCATTAGGTGTTATTGTACAGGGAACACAATAATCGTGGGTTAAAGAGTGATTTCCAATTAGAAAATGTCAATGAAATCAATCTCTGAAAATGATTCTGAGCCACTTATCTACGCTTTATTTGAAGATTCATTATGTCATTAAGGAGAAAAATATTAGTGATGTAGTTGCGCAAATGTTTTTTTTAATTGCTCTGCTAATGGTTTTCTTTATTTTATAAAACTTTGGCAATTAGTACTTGTATGATTTTGTAAATATTAATAAATCATCAAAATTTATTTAGCAATTATCAATTTGGAAATGTCTAATTTATGTTTCATAAGAATGAACCAATCGGGGGCTTTACACCTGCACCTCATTCAACTATTTTAGCACAAGCAAAGGGAAGCCTATTTCTTAGAATAATACAAATGATTTTTTGAAATTTGTTTACAAATTTTAAGTTGAATTATGAAAGTAGGCCTGCTTAAAATGAAATAGTAGGGGTTCCAATAGAAATCCGTAACAAACAAAATTGAAAGGAATTTCTAATTAATCATAACATAACTTGAAAATAGTTCGAAAAAAATTCAAGAAACAACTGGAAAATCTCCTGTTATCTGCTGCGAATGAAACTGTTGTAGTACAAATGTTGTTGATGTTTATATGTTAAGGCTCTAAATGATTTTCAGATGAACATTTAAAAACAGCTGATTTTTTTATTTACCAAGTGCTTCAAGGTCATCAAACACTAAAAGTGAATGCTCGGATGCTTTGCAATCAGGCGATGTAAACACATTCCGTTAATAAAGCTAACTCCATTTGTTTGGCATGGAACTCAGAACTGTAACATTTAGGCTATGTGAGCTCACTGTTCGCCCCAATGTGAATGCTTTGGCGGGGTATGGCATGGGTACACGGTGGGCAAAACAAATAGTTTTACAGTAAGATATCCCCCATCATACCAAATACAAAATTAGTAAATTCAAAATTCATGCCGACACATGCTGATAAACAGTGAGCCCACACAGCTTTTGGGAAAGCTACTTTGGAGAGTATCCCTTTGTCTTGCCTATATCTGGTCAGAATATATAGTCAGGAAATTATGACATTACATTTTCTGCCTGTAAATAGCCAACATTCATTTTATCCTCAAACTCCAAGAATTTAGTCTTGCTTAGAGACCCTGGAGCATTCCCCTTATTTACTACAACAAGAAGTTGAAGTGGGGGAGGGGGTCTTGATGCGAGACGCGTAACTAATTTGAGAAATCATCTCAAATAATCAGAGGGACTACTTACTTGTTTTTCATTTATAAGAGTGAGTTACCTAATTCGCCATGTTTTCTTTGGGATTTTACCAAGAATGGTCTCTTGAGGCACACATATTATGGGTTTTGTTAGCAGAATGTAATTTTCTCCGGTTGTTTTTGCCAAAGTCGCATGAGAAATTTTGCGATTGTTTCTATTTTAAGATTATGATTTCTAATAATTTTGCTGTTTATTTGTCTCGCCTATAGCCTTGAATCCTAATGAAGCTCCTATGTATGTTGAGCACACTGAACTCACAATCTCACTATCTTGTGTAAATATACAAATACAGTTAAACTAATTTCAGCAGGCAACATCATGAAATCTTGGCCCGAATGCCAAAGACTCGAGGGCCAAGATTTTGTAAGTATGTTACCCGCTGAAATGAGGTTATTTGTATTATCACCACATAATGATAACTGCAGTAAGTATGCAAACTCGTTATTCCCCCTAGACAGATAATCAAGTCCCACCACTATGGCTCTACCTATTGCTAGAGTCAATATCATAAAATATAAGTCTCCTAAACTAGTACTAAGACCCTGAGAACAGACTTTGCAAGGTGTTGATAATAGTAAAGTACACAGCTTTATTCAAGAACTTTCTAAAAAAAGATCCAGATTTTCTAGTTGATGTCAACAGATGACATCTATCTTTAGAAAAAGATAAAATACGACAATTTTACAATTGGCATAGCATTCATCAATTTTATATCACCACCAAATGTGGTGACATATTGTTAGTCTCCAACTTTTTTTGTGAACATTGTTCAGCGGTCTGTGGTTGGTGTTTGGAATTTGGTGTCTGCAACAAATGGTAGGTGATGACATATTGCATGTTAACGCCTTGTTTATTTCTGTTATTGCTACTCATGGAAAAGGATAAAAATCAACATTTTTGTCTGAGATCATTATAAATCTGTCTGCAAAACTTAACTCTTAAGCTTTATGTAGTTTGAATAAAGTAATGAATGAAATGAAACTGTTTAAATATCAAAAGTTTTTTTCATAAATGGCCCTGTCATATGCAATTCATAATTTAAAGAAAAGGAGTGAAATAAGGAAGAAATAAAGTAAATAGATTCAAAGATATACCAGAAAAAGGCAAAGTTTTCATTTGAAGCTAAATAGCATCATAATCTCTTGCAAGCAGACCACATTTTCAGTATCATTGCTTACTTTTCTCTGTTTTCCGGCGAGGTAATATCTAGACATTAATTATTATAATACACAGAGTTGTTATTGATCTCGCTTCCCCCTTATGTTACATTTAACATACTGCCCATTCTCTAGTTATTCCTTCAATTTCAATTTTTTGTTTTATATGTTTATTTTTTTTATAAAGGTATGAACGATTTGGAGGCAACTTGTAGGTTCATGGCGCAGAATAGTGTGTGGTACTTTTCCATCTATCACAGGGTCATATTATATAAATTATTCTAGAAAAAACTATCATATTGAAACATGATATCTAGGTTAGGCAGTTATGAAAAGACAGTCTTTGATGCTGGATACACATGGGTGCAGATTAGGTACAGTTTAGGTGCAGTTTGGTGTAAGTGAAGGTATGATTATTCTCGACTTATATTATGATGGTACAGTTATGCAAAGTGTCTTAATCATTTTTTTGCTTGACATTTCTCATGCAATTTACCCTTGCTAAAAATGATCCCTAGATCATGTTTTTTTAATTTATTATCAAATTGCTCAAATATTGCAGTGATATTTCTTAACTAATTAGTTATTAACTACTTGTTCACTTTATTCCTTGCTTTCAATCTATCTTAATTTTGTATTTTAAATATGACCAGTATACGGTTTATTTCTCAACCAAATGAAAAATCCCTTGATTTGATACAAGTAGGCCATAATTCTACCATATTCTCCTATAAAACAACATGTTATCGTATTCTCCAAAGTTCAAGGTTTAGTATGATTCAGATATCTGATAAAGATATAAATATTATTGTAGTTTTCTGTTAATTAGAATTTGATCTTGGAGAAAGAGAAATTAATACCATCTTAATTGATATTACTGCAGTAATTTCAGGTCAATGTTTTTTTGTAATTGTTTATTATTTTTTTGTGAAATTATGTGATATTATTAATTGCAGTAAGACCTATCTATTTGTAATGCCTCTGGGAATCTTATTTGGAAACCAGCTTAACGTGTTTGGTTTAAACAAGCACACTACCCTACCACGTGACCACGTTTAAAAGGGAAACAGGGTACAGCTAAGTTGCAAATGGAGGACGTGGGTTTAGTTCCATATTTCTGAACGTAAAATACATTTTACATTTATTTCTAGTGTTCTACCAGACATAGAATTGATTCACCAAGCAGTTTGTAGAATATTGTTGGCAAAAAACCACTATAGGCAAAGATAGATAATAGTGGACGCAGTGAAGCAAAACTCAATGCAATACACGATACATTTCAGTAAATCTATCAACGTACAGGGAGCATGTAAGTTTCCCTTCGAAAACGTTACATTGATATGTAACAAACAAACAGTTAACTGTTATTTAAACTGCGTGTCAATGTGTTATATGTTGATACGTTTTCCGGTATGTTATTCAACTGTATTTTTGTGAATTAATTGTTTTTCTAAAATCTTAAGATGCAAAAAAGTCGTCCAAGAAATGTATCTTTACTTTGCCGTAAGGCATAACATATTGTGAAACATTTTTCCTCTTGTCACAAAGAGGATAATGTTTGTTTCGAGGTGTCTTGTGATGAGCGTTTCATGATTAAATGCAAAATCACTGGATCAGATGCCATCCAAAAACATCTGACATTCAACACGTCATATAAGACTAAATCGATCTGGTATTAGTTTTTTTTACAATGATAGAGAAATACGACGTCATATCAGTGCTACAGCAAATCGTGAAGAAAAAAATGCTCTCAAGTCGTGGCATGATGGTATTTTGAACAAAATATTTTAAATGATCGGTTTTTGAGGACGGTGTAGTGAATTAGACCATTCAAGGGGTTATATAGAAAGATTCTTTACATGTAGTTCAGGCAATTTTAATTATTCTGAATAGCGGATAGTCATTGATCCTGATAGCGGATAGTCATTTATCATTAACGTGTTCATATTTAATTTCGTTATTTCATTTCAATTTGATACCCCAGAAGCACATATAATCTAGCGTTCTTGTCAATTTAATGTCTGAAATGCATAAACGACCTGAAAGCCCGTGTCTAAATCTACAAAACAATGTTTACTTTATTTGGATTAAATAACAATTGATGACACCTCAAAGCATCAACAGGCGGCCTTTTTAGCATTATTTTCACTGTTTGCAACGTAAATGTACATGAGATCGGGACATAGTATGTCTGTATAATCAGCTTACTTTCTCGCTCCCTGTACTATTGAACAATTTACATTCCTTGTACCATGTATTGATCAACTTTTGCAGCTGTGTACCGTGTACTATGACATATCAAATATTTTAAAATTTGAAACGATATTATTTACATTCTTTCTTCAACTATCATATAACTTGGAACATGGACTTGACTATTGCACCACTGAAGTTCAGCGAATAGCAATATTGACTCACTCCGAGCACCAAACGTATTAACCTTTTGACTAAGCAGTCGATATACTCAAAAGCGACGTGTTTGAAAGCCAAAAAAATTGTGCATGCGCTATCGAGGTAGGGTAGTGTGCAAGTGTTCACATTTTAAGGGAATCAATAGGAGGTTAAAAAGTTGGGACCAAAAAATGGTTGCATTATAGTAGTCTTGTATTGCTGGACTGTAGACCAACACAACATAGGATAGATTGTGTGAGGAGGTGTGTTTTTGTGGTAGGGGGGCTTGCAAGGCCGTGTTCTTGTAGCTAGACAAGGATTAGAGAGGTGTTTTTGATGATAGAGGTGTTTTGATTGAAGATGTATTTGGATTAGAGAAGTGTTTTTAGACACAGATATTACTGCATTAAGTAACTGTTATACCCTGGATTAGAGAATTAAGATAATTCCTGGATTTTCCTAAATTTTGAGTCATACATTTCCAGCACATATTCAGATAATATAATACCAGGACTTTATTTTCTAGACCAGGACGGTATATATTTTATGAATTATACCTTCATTTCAACTGAGCAAGTTACAGCTCAGCTGCTCGTACATGTCAATCTCAAGGATATCATCAAAACATGGTCTACATGCCAAAGTTATTTTTCTAGTTCATCCGATGCTTATGAAACCTAGTTTAGCTACAAGCCCCTGTGACCCCCCCCCTCGCACTACATCACTACACTTGTATGATCAACACTTATCACACAGGGAGTTTGTATTTAATTTCTCATAATGTGCTGTTTCACATTTAAATGTCTTATCTCTTGTTCAACCGCAAATGTACTTCAAAGTCTTATAATTTTTCTGACTAATTCATGTTCTGCTACTCTAGTTTGGAGTTGAAGCATAGTTTTGGTTATTGGCCCTATTTGTTTTTTCCTTTATCTTTTTTCTTTTTTTCTCTCTGTGTTTTGGTCATCCCCACTTTGCCCCTCGGTATCTACATGCAGCGTATATATCAAGTTTACATTTTGTCATCAGTTCATATAATATTCATTAACCCTTTACCGACGTGAATATAAGAGGAAAATGTTGACCCTGGTGACGGATAAGTAAAAGCAAATCATCTACCCCCAGGGACCTATATCCTGAATTTTATCACTGAAACTCAATTTTTAGTAAGGATTATCACATTAGAACAACTTGTCAATATTTGGTGTAAAAATACTTAATAGAACTGGAGATATTGTCATTTCATTCTCAATTATAAATTAAAATAATGGTGCCAAAAGGAGCCTATCGTCCTGAAAGGTATTACATAATAGGACTGCATGTTAAGAGTGTCATCATAAGTATGGCTTCATCATTTATTAAAGCTTTTCTCATTTCAGAGATTCTTTAGCAGTTGTTGTTCACAATCATGGCTTTAGCATTTTGCAAATGGGAAAATATTTAACAAACATATTCCACTTACATGAATATGTACTTATTTAGTATAGCTGTTATTGAAGAATTATAAAGTTATCGGACAAACCGCAGTGTGTTTCTTTTGTTCTTTATTGTGTAGGGAGTCATAATTAGAATCTTATGTGCCTAGAGGTGTGATTTATTTTAAGCTATATTCTGACAAGTTCTCACATGGCCTCTCGATCAATACCATACCTAGAATAAGTTACGTTTAATTATTATCGCAATATTTCAGACGTAATACGACCTTTATTAATAAAAAAGAAAGTGATAATTATAAATATGTGTGACGTGTTTGTTTTATCTGAATAAGAAAAACAGTTTATTTGTTGAATAGACTCAACCAGTTATTAAAGTAGAAAATTGTCAAAAGGTCAAGAACATGACTGCGCTCGTGAATAAAAGAATGGGAGTTTAGTCTATCCTGAAAATAGAGTGCTTTAAAATAGTGAGGAACCCAATGAAAGAGTAAAACACAAGTGCTCAAATTATACAGAACATTCCATCAAAAGAGCCAATCACAAGTGCTCAAATGAAACAAACTACATATGTATAACCAAAGTAAAGATTTTATCAAAAGAGTAAAGCTCAAGTGCTCAAATGATTCTTTATATTTTCAGACAAAGCCATCAGACACAGACTCTGTTAGGACAATTTTACAGGTAAGTGAGGATCAGACAAACTTCAGTGATCTCCCCAGCATTAAGCAAGTAGGCGCAGCTGAGATTTCAAATTTGGCTTGCATCCACCTGTAAATCCCTTTGCATCCAAAAAAATCACGAAAATGGGCATAGTTTGACCAAGTTTGGTCTGAATTGTGAAATTTAGAAAAAATCTTGTGGAGAACACTGACTCTGTAATCATAATTGTAGCCTTGCATTAAGACGCTTCCCCTACCCCCCCCCCCCCACCCCATTTACTTTCTCTATAACAGAGGATGGATAAGCGGATGCTCCTTAGTAAGGGAATAGGGATAAATCTACCTTTTCTCAACTTTTACTCCATCCACATTCTTCGGACACAGACCTCCAAAACTCATAACTCATTCTTCAGAAGAAGAACTGAGCGTAGCGGATGATGTCTGGAGCCTTGCATTCAGAGAATGTGACATCCATATTATATGGTGTCCTGACTTTCCCTCCACTCACTTGTCGGTCTTGATGTAAGACTTCAAATGTTTTTTCAATGAATATAAAAAGGAATAAAAAAAAGACTTGATGAAATTTAATCTTATATTATTCCTGTCAATTGATGCTATAAAATGACTGCACAGCAGTGATTTTCCGGGAAATCATTATCTTTTTTTCATTTTAAGACAAGGATATGTAGTGAAAGGAAGGAAATGCATTGTTACAGCCCCTTAGTGAATGCCTCCGTTTCCCAATAGGGAAAGCACGGAAGGATTTGACAATAATTGAACATTGTAACTAAATCTCTACCTGTTTTCATCTATGCATCATTTAATATCTTCAGTTACAGGGTGAGTCGCATATCTTGACTCACATTGCCCACTCGTCTATCCATCTTTTACATGTTTGATAATTGACTTAAAAAAAATTGATAATAATTTTACATGTTTGATAATTGAATAAAAAAAGTTGATAATAATTTTTACATGTTTGATAATTGAATAAAAAAAGTTGATAATAATTTGTGAGTGGTTCTGATATGAAAACATAGCGTTGAAAATGATGATTTTGAATAAAAATGGGTAATGGCTAATTGATAGTGATTGCTTTTTTGTCTCATATTAAAGTGGCGACAAGATCATTAAATATTGCATCATGGTGAACTGAAGACTAATCTGCTTTACATACCTCCATATTTTTGATTGGTGAAAGCAACTGCGTATGGATCCTTATGGTCTCCCCAGCATGGAACCAATATGAAGCTGCATTGACTTGAAAGTTAAAAACATGAAAATTGACATCTTTTTTAAAAATTTACTTTGAGTGGGACTGTGATAATGAGAACTGTGTTGCCAATAAGAAAAATAAATGTTTGGGAGAAATTGTAGTAGTTCATGTCTGGTGCATAAAAATATAGATATTAGTCATAGATTTTAGATTATTACCACCTTGCCGTGCCAGTTCTGGGGGTTTTAGTGCTAGTTAAGAAGGCATTCATTTTACCATATCGACCTGAGAAATGTGTGACATCATATGGACCGGTCTAGAATATATTCTGGACAGGCAATTTTTCGTTAAGTGCGTAAGATTTTCTTGCTATTTCAGCCCTCCTTAGAAATGACGTTGTTGTACTATTAATTTGAGCATTGACTTGACTTTCACTTTACTGTATTTACTTTCAGGAAATGCAAAGTATAGATGAGCCATTGACTGTCATACAGACACCAATCAAAAAGGAGAAGTTTCCTTTCACTTTACTGTATTTACTTTCAGGAAATGCAAAGTATAGATGAGCCATTAACTGCCATACAGACACCAATTAAAAAGGAGAAGTTTCCTTTCACTTTACTGTATTTACTTTCAGGAAATGCAAAGTATAGATGAGCCATTAACTGCCATACAAACACCAATCAAAAAGGAGAAGTTTCCTTTCACTTAACTGTATTTACTTTCAGGAAATGCAAAGTATAGATGAGCCATTAACTGCCATACAGACACCAATCAAAAAGGAGAAGTTTCCTTTCCCAGATGCCCAGAGTAAAGTAAGTAAATTTGTCTTTATTTTTAAATGTAGAAAAAGGTGAAATTTGAGGAGACTGCCTTTTTAAAAAAATAGTCTGATAAGTCTAACATGTATGCAAGAAGTATCAACTGAATATACTTGAATGTGTTCTACCTCTTATTATAATGTCATCTGATAGTTTAGGAAATATAGAACACCAGACTATAGCTTACAAGACCCCCAACATGGCCCCTCATTCGGATGCAGACTAGACAATCGTCAGTTTCAGTTAGGTTTCAACATTGGCCAATTCTTGTCAATGGCCAATTTCTTGGTCAATTTTGGCCCAAAATTGTCGAAAATGAACCACACTGGAATTTAGTGCCCCCCCCCCCTAAAAAGTTGGTTTCGGGCCTAGGCATAGAATAAAATCGTTTTTCTGGTAATCATTGGTACGGCAAGCTCAGAGGTTCCTCAAAGAATGTCAATGAAGTTATCTTGACCCCTATTCAAATGAAAGATCTCAAAATACCTTAAATCCAAGTTATAATACCATCTCATGACTGAGTAGAATCCATGGTTCTCACTAGGCTTTTAGAACCCGACGCAGTGTCATTCTCTCTCATGTTAAAACCAGACTGTACCATTCTCTAGCCTGTACCATGAATTCCACAAGGTTCTGTTATTTGTATCTTTCTTCCTCTTTCACTTTAGTTATTAAGGTCCTGCCCCTCAAAACATAAGCGTTTACCTGCCAAACAGATTCTTAATTTTCCAAAATAATGTCTGAAACTCAACAATTTTTGTGTAGGAGCTCATAGTTGTTCGAATGGTGAATTTATTCTAAAAATTTCTGGGGAGAACCCTGGAATTGATATATTGGTTTATCATGTTGATTAATTTACCACTTACAACATAAAGATGGCAGCGTAATGCGATAGCTAAGTAAAAACAGGAAACTGATAATATAATTCATTGGAGACTAAATCAACCCTTCTTAACAGGAAAAATCATTTAACTTGAATGCCAATTTTAAGAGGTATTAGTGTATACTCTGACTTATATTAGCAACACATAATACACTCTGAGCGGTACAAAAGATTTTTCAATCTGAATGATCTCAAAGGTAGTGTTCATGACCTTTAATTGGAGCTTTAACATGAAATAGGCAGAAAAGAGTGTTGTTATTGGCTGAAGTAGTGTGATTGAAAGGATGTTTTCAAGTGAGTTCATGTCAATTCCGAAGGGTACTATTTTTATAGTGAACTTTTTTATGGAAGGTGTTTCGGCAGTTGGCGTCTTTAACAAATGTTTGTTCTGCCCCTAATTTGCCATGGTAACTTAAAGGTGGTGATATTATGTCATGTTAATGCCTTGTTTACTTTGTTCTTGTCATATTTTTTAAAGTTGCCATACCATATTATAATTTGTGCAGACCATGGCTATGTCATTTATCCAGTATGTACCAGGATGTAACCATAGTCTCTCCATCTACACTGTATATAGAGCTTCACCTTTTTTATGGTTTCTTCATTTTAATGTGCAAAATAATGTATACAACTGAAAGGTTGAATCCAGTATTATTTGCCCTGTTGTAATATGTTGATATACTGTGAAACATGTACCTCTGAACACCTCTCAATCTGAATACCTCTCAATCTGAACACCTCTCAATCTGAACAACTCAATCTGAATAACTCTCAATTTGAACACCTCTCAATTTGAACACCTCTCAATCTGAACAACTCTCAATCTGAACATCTCTCAATCTGAACACCTCTCAATATGAACACCTCTCAATCTGAACACCTCTCAATGTGAACACCTCTCAATCTGAACACCTCTCAATCTGAACACCTCTCAATCTGAACACCTCTCAATATTAACACCTCTGTAATCTGAACACCTCTCAATATGAACACCTCTCAATCTGAACACCTCTCAATATGAACACCTCTCAATCTGAACACCTCTCAATATGAACACCTCTGTAATCTGAACACCTCTCAATATGAACACCTCTGTAATCTGAACACTTCTCAATCTGAACACCTCTCAATATGAACACCTCTGTAATCTGAACACCTCTCAATATGAACACCTCTCAATCTGAACACCTCTCAATATGAACACTTGCTTGATCCCAATTTTGTATATTTGAAAAATTTTGTAATGTGAACACCTCATTCTGATACTCATCACTTCTTTATGTTGCACTAGAAACATCTCAAGGCTGAGAAGAAATGAGATGTCATGGTTTATCATGATGTGAACACTTGCAAATCCAAACACTTTTTGATGGTCCTAATGGCATTGCATTAGACGGGTTTTACTGAATTTCCAAATATAAAGCTTCATCATTCTAAGCTATTCACTTTAGCAACATGCAAGAAAGGCTGTGGCTATAAGGCTGTGGTTAATCACCACAGGACTGGCCGAAAGTGTTTGGATTAGCAGGTGTTCACATATTGAGGTTTTTACAAGGAAATCTATGGCAAATGGGGTGAAAAAATGTTAACATTGAGATATATTCAGATCAGATTAGGCAGGGTTCTGATATAAAGGTTTCACTGTAGATCAGTAGATGTAAAATTCACCTATAAATTCACCACTGTTCTATCCCTTATTTATTGCTCATTTTTATTATGTTTAATAATTAAGAAATATAGACCCAAGAGCAGGGGTAATAATGTCGAGAGGGCACAAATACAGTCATGTTCGAATGTTGATTAAAAATGTAACATCATCTGCAATATCTTATCGGTCAAATAAATCTGATCGCTAAATAATTTAGACTCCAACGTCTCCCTTTAAAACACCATTCCTTAAATCACATTTCTCTTTACTTTAATCTTCATCTCTTTCTCTAATTAAAACTCTTCTACTGAACAATTACTCCTTTTGAGAGTGCAACCCTCGTCAGAGAGGGATGAGTTATTTCTGTGTTACCATGGTAACTGTAGATTTCATCTGTTTTATTACTTATAAATGTATAAGTTATTTGCAGTCAACTCCATCATATTTCCATTTGCTTTCGACCATTCATTCTCTCAGGAGTTAATATAGATGGGCGGATGCAGTGTTATTATTGGGATCTGAGGATTTATTGGATCTTTCTATTCTCTTATGAAATGGCAATGAATCATGAAGTCAACTTGGCAATTGTAAAATACTCTAGGATTTAGCAAAACATATAGGATCTAGAGGCTCCTATAAGCCTTATAGATAGAAACATCATGGCGATCTTCAACAAAATGGGTAAATCACCCATGCAATTTTGAAATCTCCAACATAATGTGTAAATCTCCAATGTAATGTTTAGATCTCCAACATAATGGGGACATCTCTCTCTGTTGTGTTGAAATCTCCAACATGTTATATAATTCTCCCATGTTATCTTGAAATCTCCCACATATTATAGAATTTTCCCATTTAATGATGAAATCTCCCACATATTATAGAATCCTCCCATGTTATCTTGAAGTCTCCCACATATAGAATTCTCCCATGTAATCTTGAAATTTGCCACATATTATAAAATTCTCCCATGTAATCTTAAAATCTCCTCTATTGTATAGAATTCTCCTTTGTAATATTATAATTGCTTAGAGGAGCATATGATAACAAATTGTAAAAATGGCAAATATTGACCAGATTTGTCAAGTTCAATCACCAATTTGGGAAAATTACCTTCTCAGAATGTTTACTATTTGTGTATGTACATCTTTGATGTAATTGTTCCGTTTCATTGAAGGCCTCTAATCAATAGATCTATTATCAAGTCACTATCAGCGTATCCTTATAAAAGCTTCTCTTACCTTAACAATTCTTATCTGTTATTAGATGATATATTTTCCCAGCTTCCTTTTGTACTCCCATAAACTAGATTCTGTATCAGGTATGCTCAATAGTAACTTATGCTACAAAATTGTATAGCAATTAGGGAAAATATGAGAAAAGTGAAAGGGTCATTTGTGGCTTGCTCTAGTGATCAAAATTCAAATAGAAAATAATGTATGGCAGTCCAAGAATGCCGTAAAAATGCAAGTGCTTTGGAGGGTCTCCTTTGAATAGTCAATAAACTACAACAGAAATGAGATTTTAAGCATTTACTCGTAACATTAATACATATCAGTATCATTTTTAATTTAGAAGCTTCTACATTTTATTGATTTGAAATAGACAATAAGTTTATTCATTGTCATGTTTTGCCATGTAAGAACATATCTCCTGTTTCTTTTAATTAGTCCTCTCGCTTATAACGCAACATTAGTGTAATAACATTTTGTTCTTAGCGCTGATGAAGATTTATTGAGCTCTTGCTACATATTCAAGGTGATATACTAATAAAAGCTAACTTAAAGATATACAAATATTCATTTGTGATTAGTAAATGCTTATGATTAATCTTACATTTAATTTTGTATTTTCAGGACAGCACCAGGGGAGATGCAATCGAGCATGTGAAACGTAAGTCAGACTTTATATATTAAATTGTTGTTTAATGAGGTCAGCAATAACTGTAGTTGTTGTTACATGTATATGCCATTATTTTCATCAGTATTGTCAGACTATGGAAACACTAATTTGCTGTTCATAATTTTCTCAAGGACCTTGCGTGCTTTTTTTCTTGTACAGATTATTATTCCAAAAAACATTGTTCCAAATATGTATAACACCAAGAGGCTAGCCTGCCAGTGCAACTTATATTAGCTGCACAAAAACCCATAACACCTCACGGTTACTATTTTTTCAATAATACAATCTACAATCTTCTTCAACTTGGCCAGAATTTCTTCTCTCCTGTAAAGCAAAAAATGAAGAACAATTGGGTGTAGTTGCTATGGCCAAGATGACATTCTCAGTGCATTGTGACCTAATCTTTCTACCCTTAATATCTGTTCTTTCCCAGAGTTCAAGCCTTTTGATCTGCGCAAGATAAGACTTTTTTGTCAGGTTATTTTTCCAATAGTATTTCATGAATGAAACATTTCCGATAGACAATGATTGATCGTGACTCTATGAACAAATCCCTTACTTGAGATTTCAGAATTCCACGCTGTTTTTCTCCAAAGTTGGAAAATCCAGTGTTTTTGATATTTCTATACAGTTAAGTATATATATACTTCATGTCAGTATTCTTTGCCTATTCATTTTCACTCTTTTCAACTCTGTTTTTTGTTATTTTTGAAACATGACCTTTAGGTTTTTTCTTTGGATGTTTTGTTGGTGTAATTGTATTCGATACATCAGGGAAACAAGATGGATACCATTTCATATCAAGTAGACCCAGATGGGACATTACTTTACTTCATAATAATTTCTTCAATTTACTCGAAATCCCAATCAAATGATTTGTGTCATTGAGTTAAGTCTTCAAAGGTTTCATGGGCTTTGAATCTGTCAATCAAGTGTTTCAAACAAAGAACCATGTGACCTTTGTTAGCCAATCACAATTTGGTAAGTGGTCACATCACTGATGTTAGCCAATCAAACACCTCCCAAGTTACCAGGTGACATATTTTAGCCAATCAATCATGCTATATAAATCACCCAATTAAATACATTTATCCTACAAATGACAGCAACTTTTAATAGGGAAAAGCTTGTGTGGCGTAATATTTGAAGCTATTAATATAAATCAGTTGTGAAAGTAGTCAGACTTTGATCCTAATCTAAGATCTATCAATCACATATTGGCGTATAATTATCTGCGCATTAATAAAACATCCCAACCGACATGTTCTGAAATGTAAGATAGATCCCTCAAGGAATGATATTCAGAGGGGATTGACTCTGTAAATTTTGATGAAGCTTATAGAGTTCACATTTGAGAAAGAAATTTGAGAGAAACTTGAGGAAAAATTGATTTTTTATTCAAGCTATGGAGAGAAATCCTTTGGAGACAGCATGGCTGTATACGTATAGATGCAATCATCTAATGGATTTTGTTGCAAGGTTCTTGATTGAATTACATATATAGAGACCTGAACTGTCATGTAATAACAAGGTCATGGTGGTCTTCCAGTCATTCCCCTCATAAAAATATATTGCTGGAGATTTTTCTATATCTACAACTTATACTGTCAGGTTTATAGATGTCACTAATTTATGAATTTTTGTGACGTAGATTCAATCTTATGGACGTCCATATATCTATACGACTTGGTTTATGTTATTACACTTCAAATATCTCATTAAGATCTGAATTTATTTGATCTCGATTTATCGGCTTCCGTTCCCAAGTTGGGTTGACCTTTAATCTCAGCCAGTCAAAGGCTTTTTCTGGTTGGTTAATATACACCATTGAGCCGTCATCTCACCTTAGGGTCATCATCTCAAAATTTCCAGAAATTTCCAATGATTGTGATTGAAAATTAAGCAGATTATCTTGTGAAATGGTGGTCCTCTAGCAGATTAGCTTGTGAAATGGTGGTCCTCTAGCAGATTAACTTGTGAAATGGTGGTCCTAAGCAGATTAGCTTGTGAAATGGTGGTCCTCTAGCAGATTAACTTGTGAAATGGTGGTCCTAAGCAGATTAGCTTGTGAAATGGTGGTCCTCTATAAATAATTGGATAGTATCAGAGGCAAACAGATCCAAATTTGTCAAGCACTCTTGGTTGATATAATACTCAACACGATTGCATGCAGTTCTAATAAACTAATAAAATAATAAACAACCACAAAATAATACTTTTGAATTAAAACATCTCTTTTTATTAATTAAAGAAGAATCCATTTTGATTACATTATTGGTTGGCAAAATTTTATCCTGTGCAGGAAGTGTCATTTTTATCTTTATCATATATCATGAATATTGAGGGCATACTTATTCTAGCTCTTATTTTCTAAAATTGCTACATAATGCATTTCATGTCAATTCAATTTGTATATTACCATGAACGATATTAACACAAATGATACTTAATGTTGTACCGTAATGACATTAAATCTGATATCTAGAATATGCATCCCAGTTTATCCCATATTGAGTTTATCCTATATTCAGTTTTATGTTACCACCACAAGTGGTGACATATTGTTATTGTTATTGTGGATAATGTTTGGCAGTTGGTGTTCAGCATTTGGCAGTTGGTGTTCAGCATTTGGAAGTTGGTGTTTTGTGGTCAGTATCTGTTACAAATGACAGGTGGTGACATTTGCATGTTATTGCCATATATCATTTAACCCAGGTCAACATCATAAATGTTTTCGTATGTTTCAGGTGACTTGACCATTACTCAGAGAGGAGGCGGTGGCACAAGTGAATCGCATAAGACATCAGAGAGGTATGTTTCCATGGAATATGTATAAAGAAACCCAGTGTAATAAAAATATAGTCCCCAGTGTTCTCCCTAGGATTTTATCTCAAGTGGGGTCATAATTCTAAATTCTAAAATTTAGGCCAAATTTGGTTCTATTCTGTATGGCCCTGGCCCTTATTGAGGAAATGAGGAAAACAGTGTGTAATTATTATGTTTTGAAGAAATATATACAGAAATAATATTTTTATTCTATGACAAGGGCCTTCATTAAGATATCTATATTTCCCTTGGGATATACCCCATATCTTAAACCTCCCATTTCGACGCTCATATCTGTTCCTATTATACTAGATCGCATAGTCTATATCTTCAAATTAAAAATTGAAGTTTTACTACAAATATTAATGCTTCTTGTGATGGTTAGATAAAAAAAAGATTGTACAAAATGTAATGTAACATTTGAACAGAGCACATAGCATGATTCTCCCTGGCAGAAACACCATTATTCTTCTATTTTGAGCTGTGGCTTAGTGAGTCTATTAGTTGTACTTTTAGTTTCCCTTAACAATCCATGTTAAATGAATACAAAGGGAATTGATTATTTGGAACAGAAACATGTCATTTTGACCATTAATCAAATCATTTGGGTGAATGCATCCATTTTGTTGCTATAATGGATGTTATGGACTAATTGCTCCATAGAGGCGTAATTTTAATTATTAAATATTTCTCTTAACAATTTCAAAGGGATTCTACGCAGTTTTCATTATTTATTGTCAATATGATTATTTGTATAAAACACAATATTAATGTCATGCTGTATTCCTACATGTAATAAGTTATAGTGGCTTCTATGTTAAAAAGGTTCTGTTTTAAACAGCAACATGGCCAGATAGTAAAATCAATCAAAATTCTGAACATAAAGCTGTTCCCACCTGTTACCATGGCAACTGATGAAATAGTATCTCTTATAGAAACCTTATATTCCTAATATTTAAATTATAGAATTACATGTATATATAGATTTGTTGTACATGTAGAATATGCCATTTTTGAAAATTGATTCCATCTAGGAATATAGAGTGGAATTTCAAAGGAAAAGTATAAATTGGCATGAAAACACATTCTGATATTCAGATGTGAGTTGTCAAGGCGACAGCAATCTGCAGAGAAATATTGTGCATATTCCAAGAATAGAATAAGAACGCATATGAAAAGCAACCATTCAAAAATTGATGTAGTAATTCTTTAAAATATGACATTTTCTCTATTTGTAAAGCATCTTTGGAGCACTCATTTTCTGACTAAACCTTAATTGAAAAGGAAGATTTTCTGGAATATCTGTATACTTTGTTAGTTTGATTACATTGTGTTGTATCATCATTTAAAATGAGGCTGCTCATGGGCGATATAATCATCATTAAAAGTGAAACTTTAATCACTCACGATACCATCATCGTTTAACATGTGGCGCCGACTCTTAAATTAAAGCGTTCTTTCTTTCAGGATCTATTAGGATGAAAATGAGAAATTATATAGATCTGAAACGCTGAAGGATGTAAACCTAATAACCGTTGAGTGGAATGAACGTTCATTGAACCATTCACTTTCCCCTTTGCTAAAGTTTGAATTCACAACTCAAAAAGAGCGCTTGTAATTTGTACTACTGGGTCACAGGATATTTTTCTTCCTCATTCAATATTCTCTATTGTCTTGTTGAACAACCAACACTATATCAGATATCGAACTGGGTTAAATCAGTCTCAGAATTAGCCAGACCGTAATATCATTCAAGATGACATTTCTTCGATTATATTTATTCAGGAAAAGATTCATAATGTCAAGTTGCCATTTTATTTCTGTTTTTATATACATTCTCTGTGTTATTGCTATTTCACGGATGTGACTTAAGCAATAGATCAGAATATTTGTAGAAAGTGATAGCTATGCAATTACATACTGCATCATTAAACTAACCAAGTCGATCAGGAATATTATACATGTACACTGTTTCATCTTCCATCTGGAGATATTCAATATAAATATGCAGATTCTTTGCATTTAGACCATGTGTTTGAATTGTCTGTCTACTTTTGAATTGTCAGTCTACTTTTGAATTATGTCTTTTTTTTGATTATCTGTCTACTCTTGAATTTTTGTCTGCTTTTGAATTCTTGGTCCACTGTCGAATTGTCTGTCTACTGTTTAATTGTCTGTCTATTTTTTTGAATTGTCTGTCTGTTTGAATTGCTAGTCTGCTTTTAAATTGTCTGTCTGTTTTTAAATTGTCCATCTAACTTAGACATAATTCAGATCTATATCAGTAATAGTTTTAATTTCTGTATACATATGGTGTTTTGTTACATGATTGCTTAATATGTTTAAACGTACATGTTGATATTATTGTTCCATGTTAGCTACATCTCAACAATGGATTCTTTATGTTCCATGTGTTTACTGTCTCAAAATATGTCGATTGCTTATTGATTATGCTAGAGTACTCTGCTTGTATTTCTCATTTGATCATCCAAGGTGACACTTCTTAAGCCCCTGTTCCTTCCCCTAGTTCCCTTAAGCAAAATATCAAGTTTAAGGCAATCAATTTTTATTACCTGTTATGTACTTAAGAGACAAGTTTTAGATACTTCTGTCATTGCCTTTTTAACAAGATGGTTATCAAGATTGAAGTACAGTAAAACAAGCATATTTGAACACTTCGTTAATCTGGTTCTGTTTTTGGAACTGCCTAACATATGATTTGGTCGCAAGTTATTGTTCGTCAGAAAGTAGACATTGGGTTTCTCAGAATTGGAAGTTACAATTGACCAAAAATGAACCCCTGAATATCTCTCAATGTGAAATGCTCCCAGTTTTGTAAGCTCCCGTCGCTTTGATTTATTAAGAAATACTGAAATATGAATACCTACTAATCCCAACATCTCTGAACAGTTCTAATGGCATTCCGATTAGGCAAGTTTCACTGTAGTTCTTGCAATTGTTATTATTGAGTCTCCATCTGACCATCCATCTTAACTGTTGACAAAACACAGACTGTTTGGCCAGACATAATGTTATATTTCATCTTAATTGCCCATGTGGTTAAAGTGTGAAGTAGAACGGATTAGTAGAATTTATAACATATTCCAATTATTTATTTAGTTATTTATTTGTTTATATCTGTATTTGTGTCACTCAGGGCGTCATGTGCAATTAAACTGTATTTTTTGATAAAACCACATTTGATATTATGAAATTATTTATAAACAATAATTATCAACTTATTCCAATCTATTGAGATTTTGTTTTGCATTGAAACTCATTCACTGATTTGATCTGTTTTATTTTCCAGTCTGATAGAAATAGAGCCAGTTTTGACCCCATTAAGTGACCTTGACCCCAGTGATGGAGAGGAGCCAAAGGTAAGGAGTTTAGACACCATTTTGTTTGTTTCACACTCCATGTAAATTATACATGTGATAACTTTTCATAATTGTATGGGTGGTAAAATATGTTTCTTTAATAAGAATTTTTTTTTGAGATAAAATTCACGGGTCCAGCTATTTTTTTTTTAACAAGGATGGATTGGTTGACTTGGCAGCCATTTTGAATTTTTCAGTTGAAAAGTGTGATATTTATCACTGTCTCTTGTTTTAATTTCTCATAAACATTAGCTTATTTCACTTAACTCTGTAGGCCAAGTGGCCCTAAACTAAGAAAAATTAAAACTTCCTTACAAATCCTACTGCAACGATGATTGGGAGTTTTGGGCCTGAAACACCACATGCACCACATGACATTGAAAAGCTAACGATATTCATTAGGTCCTTCTTTACAAATACAATCAGTGACATAAGCTCCTTAAAATTAAAGCAAGCAGGAGTCAAATTATCGCCACCTATAAAAATAGTTTCACTTGCTAATTGACAATCCAATGAGACTTGGTCAACACTGAAATTAAATTAACCTTACAGCGACCATTTTACTAATGCATTTGATTGAGCTTGAACGAATTAGTCAGGAATTGGTTTGAAAAATTTGTTAGATAGAAATTAAACTATAAGGAATTGAGTCGCACGACTGAGATTGGAGGAAGAGCAAAATATAAGATTACAGATTGTGTAGGTTGAGTAATATGATTAACTCTTTTACACATAGACTTGAATACTGATGTCTGTTGCAAACAGGTCTCAAAATAATTGACTTTCAAGCATGTATTCGTGAATACAAATTTTGAATAGCATCTACCGAGTTGATTGCAATGTGATGGCAAAGATAGATATTTATAGGATATCCTATGATTTTGAGGAATATCATTTTTTATTTTTTATTTATCTACGAGGTGATATCTGCACGAGAGAGCAAAGCGAACGAGTGCATATATCAATATCACCGAGTAGATTAAAATGATATTCTGAAAAAAATCATAGGATGTTCTTATTATCCTACACTTACAAGGAGTGTACTAAATGTATAATATCACTGCAAAATGAATTTCATGCCAAATAGAGTCAATTTGGCGGGAAATCAACAAGCGGAGTAAATTGTCACAATATCCTCCGCATAATGGGTTTTCTGGAGTATATCGTCACGATATCCTCTGCCCCGAGTATATCGTCACGATATCTTCCGCCTGGAGTATATCATCACGATATCCTCCGGTTATTCATTTTGCCAATAAATATCAAATTTATTTTTTATGTTCTTATACATTTAGTACACTAAGTGTATGATAAGAATAGATATGAATTCCTGCCGTATATCCCATCAAACCCAATCGCTGACCTAAATAACAGATTAATCTGCCTATGTAGCAGCAAGTAACAATGGCCTCTGGCCTGTTCACTAATTCAACTGAGCGACTTTATTATAATTGATCGTTACAGTGCTATGAAAATTCATGCTATCACCGATCACTGCTCATCGACCTGGTTATTCATAAAATCAACTTCAAAATGATGGCTTAATTTGAGAAAATTATTAGGTTAATCCAGTAGCAGAAAGCCGAAAGTTGCATTCAAGCTAAGCCAGGAATAAAAGGGCTGAAGTTCTGTAATAATGTCAGAAATGGTGATCAACTTTGATGTTATCTTGCATTTTTTCTCCCTTTTGGGGCATGGCAACTTGATATTCATAATATAATGCACAACGCACCACTTAACATCCACACTGAAGCACTAGGAAATCAGCGTTCTAGGATATTTGTTTTGACACATGAATTGCTCAAGCTTTAGCAGATTTGTGTTTTTGTAAAATAATGTGAATCTGATTTATCACAGAGAGCAGGATAAAAAACAAACATTTTAACTTGTCTTGGAAGAAATTGTGAATGGTTCAGAATAGTGGAGTCATCACTACCATTGACAAGACACAATTTGTGTTTGTTATTTTTCAATTTGATATAGTATTATTAAATGATTTCATTGATTCGCTAATTTATTGTTATTCAAATATTATTATGACATTTATTCCAATCTAATCACTGAGATATTATTGTTGAATTAATAAGTATAAATCTTGTAATCTTGTATTATTTAAGAAAGGATAGTTTCCCTGTTCAATAAATTCAGCACTGTGTATGATTAAGCTCAAATGGATCCTAGGTCGATATCCTGCTTTCTATTCCATGTTATCTAAGAGATAAATGCTAAATAAGAAAATTAGGTTAAGTGATTTTTGCACTTTTAATAAGTCAAGAAACTCTTTATTGGTGAATTATCACTGGCTTTATTGGATTCGTCGTATTAAATGTAGAGTTATCTTCATGAATTTCCAATGTTAACGTAGCAGATGACAATTTTTATTTATTTGAGGCTACAGAAGTGAAATCCTATGTTTAACATTGTTTTGTTCAAGGGTGAGGAAATCAAAATAAAGTCTTGTTTCATCACGATTGTTCAAGATATATCTGAGAACGAAAGAATGAAAGACAACCAAATTTCAGTGAGTTATACCAGCAAGGATTTTGGGAAGTCAGAGGGCCACTCGTCATACATAATTTTTTATAGCAAATATATTATCGAGGTAGTATTCCCCCATGCATTCTTCTGCTTGTACCTATTTTCAGATATGGCCTTCAAAAGGTTACATAAAAATTTTGTTTCAATGTGTTTCCCTGAATGTTTTCTCATTTCATTTCATTAATATAAAACGTATTGATCCTTATAGGATTATGCTGTTCTACTTATCTACCAGTGTCTCTTGCAGTTGTATACTCAATAATTCATAATAATGAAAGCAATTACATAATTCAGTAGTTTTCAAAGTATTATTTTAAGTCTGGTAAATGCGTTAAAGATTTTAGATATATTTTGGCTAAAAATATTGTGCGAAACGTCTCTATTATTAATATAAAAGCTGCTGATCCAATGTAAAATTGTGTCATTATTATTTTATTTAATAAAGGTATACCAAAAAGAAATGTGATAATTAATTCCAATCTACATAGTCCTCTCATATAGAAAAGAGATGTTTATAATATCAATATAAAAGTCAATACAGTATATAATATTATGCCACCTTCATGATATTATTCCACTTCAAATATTATGTCACTTCAAATATTATGCTACTTAGAATGCATTATTATGCTGGACTTGTTCTGCTAGACAGACATGCAGAATAATCCTTTCATTTCATTGTGCTGGGCTTGTGCTGCTAGACAGACATGCAGGATAATCCTTTTCATTTCATTATGCTGGACTTGTGCTGCTAGACAGACATGCAGGATAATCCTTTTCATTTCATTATGCTGGGCTTGTGCTGCTAGACAGACATGCAGGATAATCCCTTTCATTTCATTGTGCTGGGCTTGTGCTGCTAGACAGACATGCAGGATAATCCTTTTCATTTCATTATGCTGGGCTAGTGCTGCTAGACAGACATGCAGGATAATCCTTTTCATTCCATTGTGCTGGGCTTGTGCTGCTAGACAGACATGCAGGATAATCCTTTTCATTTCATTATGCTGGACTTGTTCTGCTAGACAGACATGCAGGATAATCCCTTTTATTTCATTGTGCTGGGCTTGTGCTGCTAGACAGACATGCAGGATAATCCCTTTCATTTCATTGTGCTGGGCTTGTGCTGCTAGACAGACATGCAGGATAATCCTTTTCATTTCATTATGCTGGACTTGTTCTGCTAGACAGACATGCAGGATAATCCCTTTTATTTCATTATGCTGGGCTTGTGCTGCTAGACAGACATGCAGGATAATCCTTTTCATTTCATTGTGCTGGGCTTGTGCTGCTAGACAGACAGGCAGGATAATCCTTTTCATTTCATTGTGCTGGGCTTGTGCTGCTAGACAGACATGCAGGATAATCCTTTTCATTTCATTATGCCGAATAATCAGGCAAGCTATAACTATATTAATTGTGTCCAATGTCAAATAATTCATCTGGTCAACAACAAGAGAACATTTCTATTATCACCCATTAGATTAATCAGAATTCAGATCGTTTTTCTCATATGGTCACCATTCTTTGGTTATTTCCCAATATTTCTTGAACATTATGAAGCCGTTAGGGGGTGGGCGCTAAATGCGGTGATTAAGGTGTGTCCAAAGTCTAATTATTCACCTAGTCAATAAGAAACACTACATTTCTTCGCCCCTTGGCAATTACTATCAGTGCATTGACTGGATGACTCATGAAACAGTAAGTTCTCAACCTGTGGATTACCTGTTATAATGGCGAACTTTGATATACAAAATACAATGAAATATGGTAGAAATCTGCAACGAATTGCTGGACATTTGGTCAATACAGAAATGTCTAGAAATGAAAGTTGTGTAGAAATGAGAAGTAATTGGTAGTTTCTGACAGAAATGGGTTTTAAACTGGGAATGAATGTGACCTTCAGCAACAGTTATGTTTTATTCCTAGGATTTTTCTTGTTAGATACGTCAACACATATATGTCAGCCCACTACTCTTGTCAAAGGATATAGTAGCCATTGTTACATTTTACATGGTTGGATTAAATGTTACTTGCATTTAATTTTCAAAATTAAAAAATTCAACCCTCACCCTCCCCTTTAAAATTATGTCGGTAATGGATAACATAATCGCATGTTAAAAGGCAAAAACTAAGCAATTGACCTACAAAAACTCATAAAAGTAGGTGAACATTTGAAAAATAACCTGTCAGACTTTGCTCAAAAGCTAGTAGAACAAACCAACAATATATATACATTATATAAAAGGTTAATTGTTGAACACACAAGTACTATATTATTATTGTTTGTGCTAGCTAGTAAGAGGACAGCACCGGAAGCAATATTATAAAATATAAATAACTACTCGCTTTAAAGTCAGGTATGTACATACATTTACGATTTTACTAATGGCATTGCATCATTTAAGTTTCCTGTATCATTTTACACTATGGCTTCATTAAAAAAAGCTTTCTATTATTCTATTATAAAGACAATATGTACCTACATTGATTTAGTACTGTCTGCTGAGCTGTTTATTATGCAGAATGTTATCAAAGTTTTAGCATATGCCAATATTGTAATTGTACGATGACTAATTATACAGTTCTGCGCTATCCAGAAAAATAGCAAAAATAAGATGTTATTTTAACGATTTTAACGAAGTATTTTATTTTGAACAATATATTCTGCCAAACTTGTAAAATATTCATATTAAATTGTAAAAAATGGTTAGTTATACTTTGAAAAATACTTTACTTCATTGAATATACACCAGTAAGACTGTCTATATGAATGCCATAAAATGAGACTGGAAAATCTTCATATTTTTAGAGCTGTGATTTCAGAGGCGTTTGGATACACAGCTTTGATTTTATTATACTATGACAAGTGAGGTTTCTGGTACATAGAAGCGGGATATATAATTGCCCTCAGTAAGATATCTATATTTCCCTCAGGATATATGCCACCTCCCATAACATAACCCTCATAAAACTCAACAAAATAAAAGTTCATATTTGCTTAAAACACTTTGAACAAATCAAGTCCAAGGCCAATAATGCCAACAACATGGCACCTAAAGAATTTATTATTACTTGATCTGTTTTTATTTTAACAACACATAAGTGAAAAGAAAATAATGTTAATCCGATCATGTCTCTGCTTATATTCTAAAACATAAAATGAATTTTAATAGCCTGGAATCTCTTTGAATGGAGAATTACTACCTAATAAAGACTGGTACAATGTGCTCATAAAATTTTTCTGTTTCACTAGCTAAAAGAAATGAGATGTCGTAGTTTGTTGTAATGATGTAACACATATTCTATTCTATTAATATGAATGTATGTTCATCTTACTTATTTCCTGTATCCTGAAAGGCTAATTCTTCAAACTCATTTCACTCTCTTACAGTCAGTTTCACAGTTTATAAAGCAATCACATTGGCATTCCAAGTAATATCTTTCTGAGAAAATATCAATTATTTCTGGGTAAATAGATCAATAGTTATCTAACAATAAGCTGTATATCTGAACACCTCCCTTATCTGAACACCTTTAAATGTGAACACTTTTTCTCAGTCCTAATTTTGTAATGACACACATATAGGCTCATTATATCACCACAGGCTCATTATATCACTATATGTTCATCATATCACCTTGTGAAGTTAAATTGATAGAATTGATACATATACAATCTTCTTGACTTATCATCATTTGCATATTTTATCATCATGAGCTGTCAGAATATCATCATATGTACATTATATCATCATATGCACATCATATTCATATCATCATATGCATATCATATTATCATTTGCATATCATATCACCATCACTCATAATACCATTTGCATGTCATATCACTACACATATTTGCGCATCATTTGATAAATTGATAGAATGTGTACAACATACAATGTACATGTACAATGGGCTAACAGTAATTGAGCAGTATGTTCTTGAAACTGTATCATATGTAATTTATTTATAATATATCTTCATTTCGAAGATTCATCTATTAACTACTCCCTAACTCTAAATGTACTCATTCATAAAATTTTCAATAAAAAATCGTAATTGACAATTTGAAGTCTTGCCGAGAGTAATTTACTGAAAAGCAAACAGACGTCAAGGGAACAGTATAAATAACTGGCATTCTTGCCTGCGGTGTTTACTTGCGATGAATGTCACGCTACCCTTTTGTAAGGTCCATTGAAGACTAACAATGATTATACCATATATAACACCATATTGCCATTCGCTCATCATATCATTTGCACATCATATCATATCACCATATGCTCATCATATCATCATGTGCTCATCATAGCACATAGACTTATCATATCACCATTTGTAATATCACCATTTGCATATTACACCATAATTTACAAATAAGTACCACTCGACCTCATTTTCATGCCAATCAACCATATTCCATGTTGATTAATCATGTCAATCAACCATAATATGCGTGCCAATCAATTGTGCAATGCATGCCAATCAACCATATTCCATGTTGATTAATCATATCAATCAACCATAATATGCGTGCCAATCAATTGTGCAATGCATGCCAATCAACCATATTCCATGCTGATTAATCATAATATACATGCCAATCAACCTTACGAGTAGGCCATTCAGTTTTAATATACACGCCAATCAACTTTATAACGGGGTTGTTCAGTTGTCAACCAATTGTACTCGACATGCTAATCAACTGTAATATTCAATATTCATGCCAATCAAACTGGTATCAATTGCCAATTTTTCAAGTTTGTTCAATTATCATTCAAGAAACATCCCAAATAAAAGTGTTCCAACCAAGATAGATCAATACGTAGATACAATCAATCAGATAAATCGCGTATGGGTTTTATATATACAGCAAAACCTGTCTTAGTAAACACTTCTCTCTAGTGAACACCTGTCTCTAGTAGACACTCTTCCGCACATACTCTACTGACTTCTGTATAAAATCTGTAGCGAACACCTACCAATACTGAACATTTTTTCTTGGCAAAAATATGTTCAATATACACAGGTTTTACTGTATGTCACTATGCCCTGAATATGCCTTGCAACCTGATATGTGAGCTTGTTTTGAAAAAAATAATAAATTAAGCATAAAAATGAATTATTGCTCTTACTGCTTCCCATTAGTTTATATGAAAAGTGCAATTGATACATTCATATACTAAAACGCAATCATGAATTAGTGATCTCCCCTGTATTAAAGCATGCATTTGTTTGTTGTGTTTTTTATATGCACTGTACTGTAAATGTGTTGGTGCATAACATTAACCACAGGGTCTTTTCAAGCAGGGTTTTCTGGGTCTGTCTGCTAAGGAAATAAAAGTGATAAAAATGTTGCAGTGATATATAGGGTAATAAGCATATTCATGCAATATGAATACAGATATCACGATATGTCAAATGATGATATCATGAGAAATGATCTGATCTGATATTGGGTATATCCCATGATTGCTATCAGAAATTCCAAAACAAATTATTTTAATTGGACAAAAGTATGCTAGAGTGATTGTTCTAAAATGTCCAGTTAAAAATGTATTCCAGCAGAAAATCTTTATGAGCCTGAAGAATGCACTCTTTCACCAGAATATTTTCTGTAGATTTCAATGGATTCCAAAGTATTTATTCCTTTGAAATGAAAAATGTTGTTAAGAACAAATGTTTTTAGTTTTTCCTGACCAGTTTATGAAAAAATGTCTGAAAATCTCATTTAATTAAAATTTAAGAGGACATTGAAAAGGAGGAAATCAGTGATAAATTGGAAAATATTCGATATTTATGAGCAATGGTATACTTACTTAATATATTCAATTTATGATATCAGCTAGAAAATAAATGCAAACCCCTGGATTATATTAATATTATAACATGACCAAACCTATAAAAGTAGAGCTGAATGAGTGCTGTTTTAATGATCAAAATGTCTGACTACTTTTCCTTATTTTACACTAATTCTCTCTTAAATTTAAATAAAGTGTCTGATTTTATTACATTTCAGTATTCACTATATGCTTGTTCATAGAATTCTTTGCTAATTCCTCTGTATGTTAATGAAATTTGTTATGGAACAAGATCAGTGTGATGTTTTATTTTCTGGCTGCAATCTGATGCACTGTAATTTTCTGCACCTGAGATGTACATTAACAACCATTACCAATTAATGTCAATGTTCCATTCATTAGGGAATGTGACTAATGTCCTCAAGTTTGAAAAAATTAATCTTGCTTCAAGCCTATCCCCCCCACTTTAACAACAGCTGTTCAGGTAGATAAATTGGGTCAATGGCCTTGAAGCAAGAATAGGGAAAAGTGTAAAATGTTGCTTTCCCGTTGATCCCCTCCTTACCAGCAGTACAACCCCTTAAATGTAACCTTACAAAATCATTGGATTATTAGATAATCTGTAAAAGTATTTAGCCTCCTTATTCCAAAATTAAGATGGGAACTTCTGAGTCTTCATGTATTTGGAATATGACTTTGGTAATAACTAAAAATGAAATAAAAAAGATATTGAGTCTGCCCCTTACATTTATTAATAAATATATACAATGTATGAATATAAATACGATGTCTGCTGAGCTTTTCCCAGGTGTTGATACTTGATAACGCTTTTGTCATTATAGACTAATTTGATAGAATATATGCTACTGTACTAAATGTGAAGAGAAACAACTGATCGTTTGAATTGGTACCATGTCTCGTGAATTTCAGATTTCAATATCAGAATGAATTTAGAACTACGCAGAAATATAAGGATAGTATATTGAAAGGAATTTTACCATGTATATTACCCTGAGGTACAGAGCCTAGTGTTAACAATATGATGAGGATCTCCTCTAAGGAAATCAAATCACAATTATATTGAAAATGGTACATGTTCATTAATAGAATATCACCCTATGTTTAACATGGCATGATTAATTCGCACTCAAGGAAGAAAACAGGAAGTTGAAACTAATTTGTTTTGAATTTGAGAAAATTAAGCCCTTCATTTAATTTCCTGTTGAAAATAGTGAAACAGTTGTGATAGTAGTTCGAATAGCAGAGGTTAACTTTGCTGTACTGGTGCCCGCGTATAGATCAGAAATCCAATTTTCTCTTGAGCTTTTAATGTGTTTTTAGTAATGAGTATAGTATCCCTTAGAAAAATGCCCAGAATAATCTGGTCTCAGCAAGGTAGTGGTTCGGTTGGGTGATGGTGGGATTATGGACAATTATGCTCTAAAAGGGCAATACCGGCAATGACCAAATTTTATGATATGCTGTACAGATTTTTACTTGACATGTTTTTTGTTTTCATTGATTTTCTGAAAGATCCTGCTCCTGTTAGGTCATTTCTTCCGCCTTCAAGTAGCAATTAATTCTAGTTATGATCCAGTGGGCCAATCCATCGTATTTCTGCTGTTTTCATCGTTAATTCATTATTATTGTTTTGGAGGTTACATATCATCTGGTGAATTTGAGAACATTTAGACCTATTGAAATGATATCATTCCTTGTTTATTTCTCTGTTTAGAGAGGAAAGTATGAGAACGTTTGACATTTTCATATATATACCCATTCTTTAAAAGTCACTATGTTCACATGTATTTCACATCATTTCATGGAAACATTTGAATAAATTGTCTGTTTTTTTCTTGCTTTTCTGTTGAATAAGAGAACCTGCTCGCATCTGTTTATTTTATTTCTTGCTTATTCCTCATTTTCCACTCTACTTTGGCATGACCATATGGGATTTTATGTTGCAGGAAAGTGCAATTAATCCTTGTTAGGAATCTTGGTAAATCAATTAATGTGAGAAGCATTTCTCTTTTTTCTTTTTGACCCTGCAAATGATTTCACTCCGTTTCTGTATACATCTTTCCATTTCTCCAAAAATGGAAAACAAGCTCATGGTTTTTTGAATAAACATATTATTATAGGAGTCTGTTGTATGTCATGTGTCTTTTCATTCAACTCTTCAGATATCTCCCTTTTCTCTCAGTTTTATACATGAATTTTAGAGACTTTCTCTCAGTGGTTATGCAAATGTAATGTCGTAATTGGCTGCATATGAGAGGATATTTTACTGTTTTTCCTATAAAGCCTCGTCTTAAAGGTCCCACTTGGCATTCTTAGATTAAATATGACATTTTCTATTGTGTGCTCTTCTGGAAAAATCGTTGCATAGAAATGTTGCGGTGATTATGAACCGTAATCATTAAGGTGCACAGCCTGGAGAAATATGGGATATTTCCGTAATTGGACCATGTTAATGGTACCTTTGTCTCTAGTTTTGATATATATTTTGATTGATTTTGTAAAGAGAACAGTGTGTCATCTTCATTCTTTGAATACGATATAATCCTTTGATCTTATCCAATCAGATTAGGTCGTTCAAAATCCAGCTATCCAATCAGAATTAAAGTCACTGAATTTGATGCCTTCATAATTAACTAGCGTTTACTTAACATTTAAAATCATATAATGGCATGTACAGGTAGTCACCAGAAGTGGTGATATATTGTTATAGTCTCCCAAACTTTTTGTAGACAGTGTTTGGTGGTTGGTATTCAACGTTGGGCATTTGCCATCTGTAACAAATGGCAGGTGGTAACATTCTGCATGTTAATTTTTCATAATTTTTTAATATCAGCATCAAATCTGTAAAATTATCTATAACCGTCAGAGTGGAGTAATTCCTCCCATGCACTTGACCTCAGGGTAGTAAATGAATGGGGTTCCCCAAGAGGGGGAATATCCCATAATTCTTAGATGAATCTTTATAAGTTCATATCAAGTTGAACCATTATTTTTATATGGAAAAAGGTCCATCCATGAATTCTGGGTATGTCCTCCTCTTGGGTTTCCCTTAATGTATAGGGCTGTAAGGAAAAGCACAAGAGTATAATAGATTAGGACTCCAATGAACTGCACAGAACTGTCAAAACAGGTTGTTTATGCTATTTGGTGCTTAACATCTTTCGCAATATAATTTTTCAAGAACTGTAAGTTAGAGTAACCTCAGACCTGGCTCTATGTTATATTGAGGTCACTCATGTTGAAGATCTCTGTCAGGGACAGTTATGTATTACACATTACACCATTCACTAATTCATTCACATTTCTATTCATGTTGCGTTGAGGTCATTAATGGTGAAGATTTCTGTCAGGGACAATTATGTATTACACATTAGACCATTGACTAATTCATTCACATTTCTATTCATGTTGCGTTGAGGTCATTAATGGTGAATATCTCTGTCAGGGACAATTATGTATTACACATTAGACCATTGACTAATTCATTCACATTTCTATTCATGTTGCGTTGAGGTCATTAATGGTGAATATCTCTGTCAGGGACAGTTATGTATTACACATTAGACCATTGACTAATTCATTCACATTTCTATTCATGTTGCGTTGAGGTCATTAATGGTGAAGATCTCTGTCAGGGACAGTTATGTATTACACATTAGACCATTGACTAATTCATTCACATTTCTATTCATACTTTGCATAATGGTTGTGAAGCAGTTCATCCCTTGTGGTTGTCTTGATGGAGGCATCAATTTTCAATGTCTCTTTAGATCTAATTAAATCAACTCCATCAACTTAGCCGTATTATGAGGCTGTATTAATCAAGAAGTGACCCCATTACTTCATTTTTGTGGTCGCTCTGTATTTCTGAATATGCATTATCATATTTAATTTGATTTGTATTCGTGTTAGAAGTACCCAATTTGTTATAGGGTAGTCTACCTACAAGCTCTTTTGAGCCCCCCCCCCCCCCCCATTTATAACTACATACCTCCCCTGTGTTGGTGAAGAGATAAAGGGGGAGGGTCCACAGTCTTGAAACAAAATCAGGGTATTTCTTTTTAAAGTATCCAACATCATATAGATGTTGTTTGATCCAATTGCCACTGGCAGAACATAATAACATGGGAGTTTTGCCTTTCATCTATACAGATCAAGTACTTTGGAATAACTTATGAAAGAAGCACAATATTATGCTGTTTTGTTAAAGAAATAAATGATAGTTGTTGAGTTTGTTTAATAAACTTTCATCAAGCTTAAATGTATTTATTTATTTATTTTGATGTTTATTGCTGAACTGGTGGAGGGTACACTAAATAAGCAATGTTGGTTATCCCATCAGGTTTTATTTATTTAAAGATGAATATAAATATATTAACATGGATGAAATCTATTGTTCTTTCAGGATGTTGTAAAATTAAAGAAGCACAAGCATCATGAGGCAAAACACCATCACCATGAGGCAAAGCATCATCATCACGAGGCAAAGCATCATCATACAGTAAACGGCAAAAAGTGAGTACTGAACTATTACTGTTTCATTTGCAAATGTCTGACTTGGAGATCTCAACATGTGTATTTTGAAGATCTTAACATGTGTATTTTGAAGATCTCAACATGTGTATTTTGAAGATCTCAACATGTGTATTTTGAAGATCTCAACGTGTGTATTTTGAAGATCTCAACATGTGTATTTTGAAGGTCTCAACATGTGTATTTTGAAGATCTCAACATGTGTATTTTGAAGGTCTCAACATGTGTATTTTGAAGATCTCAACATGTGTATTTTGAAGATCTCAACATGTGTATTTTGAAGATCTCAACATGTGTATTTATATGTTAAAACAGTGAGACACTTTATTGTCTTTTTAATGTGAGATCATCATGATAAACCATGCCATCTCATATCTCCAAACAGAAAGATGCTATCTCACAAATTACATGTTCACTTTTATGGAATCATTGCATGAGTTGATTATATTAATTGAGATAGATGATGTAAGGAGAATTAGGAGTCAGCCAAAAGTGCTCTCTCAAGGTTATTTTAGCTTTAACATTTTAGGATTCTCTTCATTTAGAGGTGCATTGAATTATTAAGATGTAAATCTCACTCTACTATACCTCACCCCTAGAAATTCATAAGACATTTTGTTTGTGTAATTGTATTGTTTTTGAAAGTACCTTGTTAACATCTAACAGTCATAAACCATTAATAAGGAACAGACAAATAAAAACAAATAACATAATCATTACCAATTAGCCAAAGGGTTGGTCATGAACACCAAATGCAAGGTATAGTAGAGTGAATCTGGGTAACGGGAAGAAACCATTTTTAAGCAAAACATCCAACTTCAACCATATTTCCTTGCTGTTTCAACCATTTCCCCATCAGTCATTCCAACCTATTCTCCCTCATGGCATCTCATTTCTTCTCAGCCCTGTTTTGGATGAAACAGAAAGATGCTATGAGTATCAGAATGATTCTCCCGTTGCATTTACATTTATAGCATTCATTACCTGCTAAGTAATAAGGACTTTAATGACACTGTAATCAGTGATGCAATTGAAGAATCTCATGTCAAGTTGCATGACCAATCAATATGATCCCATGAAGAAGATGCGGAGACAACCCATAATTGCTTCATCTATATTAAGTTCAATTTTACAATACGTTGTTAATATATAATAAATTGTTGGTATGCTCTTACTTGGGTATGCTCTATGGGTGAATGGAAACGGAATGGAGCAATGTGCTAAAAAGTATGGTTTAACATATTATTTTTTTGAAAAAACAACCAAGAACCTCAGACAAGAAGTTTGTTAATGCCTTATATATACAGATTTGTTTTTCAGTTCATTGTAGATCAGAGATAGGATAAAAAAATGATTTCTCTTAGAATGCATGCGTATTGTGTAACAATTTTCAGGAAGAATATTTGATATACAGCCTGTAAAATGATAGAATGCCCTTAACTATACACTCAGTCACTCAGTCTACATACAATGTATACTTAATTAAACTAAATTGTACCTTACCAGTTAAATCAATATAAACAAGTTGGTGATGTAATCATCCAAGATATCCAGGCATTGCTGAATTGATGTACTATGTACTTTAAAGATTATTAAAGGGATAGAATACTTCCAAGATTCAGATAGCGCAATTTTAGATCTCTTGTTTAAGGTGATAAATATTATGTAACCTGAAAACCTATTTTCCGACTCAATCAGTTTATCTTTAATACAAAGTTTATATTGAATTGGGTACTCTAAGTTGCAATTGGATTGATATTGAATTTTGTACTTTAAAGGGATGATATTATATTCCAAATAACTTGAGATTACAAGGATTAATGGCTTTGTTTGAACCAGAGAGTTTGTTTGAATCATTTGAAAACATAATTTATGATACAATATACAGTAAAGCTTTTATATCCGAACACCTCTCTAATCAGAACACCTCCCAATATGAACACTGCAAAAGATGTAAAACCGAGATATTTATTGAGAATTTATGTTCCCATTCAAAAATCAAGGATCTTGCAAATGGAAACCTTGAAATGTGAACACCTCCCAATCGAAACACTTTAGCTGGTTCAAATGACATTTGAAGTCGACAGGCCGATTCTGCTGAGTCAGATTAGGCTGCCTGGACCTAATTTATTTATTTATTTATTGTATAGGGTTCTTCAGTGCCAAGCAGTGTTTATACAGAGATATATAGGTCACCGATTAACTGTTGTAATTGTTTTTGTATTAATTTAGTAGGTTAGACTGTCTACACTGTCTGACTTAACTGGGTACTTGTTTAATATTGTTTATATTTTCTTACTTAAGTTATAATTAGGTAATCAGAGAGTTTCACAGAATAAACACCTCAAGGCTCATGTTCTCCTTGTGAAAGATCATGACCTTTTATCAGATTTGTTTCTTGTTTCTAGAAAGGTCTACATCTTGCTAATTGCAATACAAAAAGATGCATTGAGTGTCAGTAGGTTGATTCCCCATGCTATCCTTTACCAGCCCCCACCCCCTTTCATAGATGAGGATGTTAAAATGTGGGAGGGGTGGGTCAGTTTACATTAGACCTTGATACAAAACTACATTTCAAAATGCATGATTAAAACTTCTACAGTAGATCCTTCAACCATTAAACATGTTTATGAGTGTTTATGGCACCACCATAGTATTCGGCGTTCGGCAGACTGCATCTGTAACAAATGACATGTGGTGACATTTTGCCTTGTTATATATATGCTTGTAGCGTGGCATGTGATGACATTGTGGATGTTAATGCCATGTTACATGCTTGTATTATTCACTTTAGACAGGTTCTGCTGCCATGTACATTAAAACCTTTTTAAATAGAACACCTTTGGTATCTCTATAAGGTGTTCTACTTGGGAGGTGTTCCACTCACAGGTTTATTTAACATTAAGTGAATCAGTCATCTTATCTTAACATAAAATATAGATGTGTTGTCTTGACTGGATGAAGATAGCTTGTATTTATTCCACATAACTCTCAGAGGGATAAATGCTCATGTAATTATAACATGGATGAAAGTAATGAATTAGATGCTGTAATGTAAGTCATTCAGACCTGCCTAATGAAATCTTTTTAGAATAGAACTACCCTGGGATATCAGTGTGTATACTACCTGTCCACTGACTAGGGCTGATAACTTTATAGTAGGCATTGAACCAATCAGAGAGCACAGTTTCAGAGGTGTGTCAGTGATTCAACCAATCATAGAGCTCAACAGGCCCACATAATATGACTTTACTCATTGATTTACCAGTGATTTAAAGTGTTTAGGGATGTCAGTCACTTTTGCCAAGGGTAGAAAGTAAAAGACATGAGCTGAGTTTTAGTAAAGTTCAAGAATATACTGTAAAACTTGTCTAATATGAACGCCACTAGGACCACCCAAAAGTGTTCAGATTAGCAGGTGTTCACATTTCTTGTTTCTTCATACATGAGTCAGTGGGAGATATTGAAATTGAGACTGAGAAAAATTATTCACATTGAGAAGTGTTCGGATTACAGTGAGATGTCTGGATATACAAGTTTCACTGTATGTGGTTGAAATGAACTGTGGTATATGTTTATTTCTAGGGCCTGTAATATATGAGAATCTCTTTTAAGGAGTCATATTGGATGGCAATATCTCTCTTAATTTGTATTCCTTTCCTCAAATCACTAACCAAAATAACTTACTTTTTCGAGCTTTCGGTAGCAGCTACTACCTTTGTCAAGATGATATATTGGCGGGAAATGGGCTGACCCTTGACCTTGTTTGGCTTTTACTCCTGTGTAGTTCCAACAGTCCAGTCCCGTACAAAATTCTAGATAGAGAACCCCATTACTTTAAACGGAAAGTAAAGGAAGCACTTCATATTCATACAAGCAAGCCACAACTTAACAGGGACTCTGGATTTAAGGTTTCCCCCGGGACTGTTGGAACTACACAGGAGTAAAAGCCAAACAAGGTCAAGGGTCAGCCCATTTCCCGCCAATATATCATCTTGACAAAGGTAGTAGCTGCTACCGAAAGCTCGAAAAAGTAAGTTATTTTGGTTAGTGATTTGAGGAAAGGAATACAAATTAATTATCTTTACCTAACCGATGAATACATTTGGAAATATCTCTCTTATTCCAGAAATGTCATTCTGATACTGAGACCACTTCTACCCCGCAAACAAGATTCAAGATTTATTGTTTTGAGCCAAATATTTCATCCTCATAAATCTGTTTGCATTTAACATTACATCATTACAATAAAATACATGGAAAGAGTAAAATTAAAAAATCCAATTATTTTCTTTTTCAAATAGCATATATGAGGGACTGATATAAAGCCATGCTCTTTCAGGATGCTCAAATGTTTCTCTTGCATTTTATTATGTAATCCTTTCTGCAGTTGCATTCACTTTAAAAAATTCCTGATTTCCTGAAATTTCCAGTAATTTGCTACATTGTCTGTTAAGTATATTCCTTGTTATATCAGCTTGTGCTAGATCTAATTTGTAAAACATGGTTGTTTTCTTGAGTATCTGTCTCTCTCTCTGACTTGGAGGTCTTCTCGAGTCTTGCACCAGTTATCTGCTCCTTTACACCCTTTATGCACTCTACCCCCTGTTTTAGACTACATTAAGACTGCCCCCTCGCCCTCTCTCTCTACCCCCTGTTCTAAATTTGAAATGGAAGAATGATGTCACATATTATCCACACAGGACTACATCATTGCAAGGGAGAAAAATTGAATGCTAATGTGGCTGAGGAGGGAAAGTTACTGTAACATTGGAGTCATCCAAGGCCAAGTGTGTCTATTCAAGTATGTTAATGATCTCAGCTATGGAGAGGTACTACCTGATTGTTGTCTTGTCCCCTTTTTGTTATACCACTTCATTACAACCTGTCCCAACCTTATTAGTATATAGTATAAAGAGAGCTATTGATAAACAAAACATATTTACCCTTTGGAATTTATTATACAGTATAACCCTCTATAT